AAATATTTACTGAGAAACCCACCCACATTATCTCAAGTAAAAAGGGGGACTCTCACTGAAGGGAAATGCATGAACTGCAGCTGGACATCCGGGGAACAAGGCAGCAGCGGGCAGCTGCTCCAGGGCCGTGGACGCCTCACTACACTTCTCTCTTCCCATCTGCTCCGGTGTCTACCCTATGCGACTAGCTCCCCTTGCTTGAACATGGCTCAACGTGACCACAAGCCCCGAGTTACATAATCTTTAGGTCCGGGTTTGCCACAGACTTTTTGTCCTACAAAATTCAAATTTCTGAAAGAGTCCTGATTGCGCCAGTCTTGGCGTATCACTCCTTGGCCTGTCACCTACGCAGTGCTTCGAGGTGCTGGTCATTTTGTCACCTCTCCGCCTGGGATAGGAAGGGGGTCAGTTCCTCTTAAAAGAGTTATGGCTGGCCCGCAGTGGCTCACGCCTGTAATTGCACTCTGGGAGGTTGAGGGTGTGAGGATTGCTTGGGGTCAGGAGTTAGAGACCAGCCTGGGCAAAGGGAGACCTCGTCTTTACAAAAAGTAGAAAAATTAGCCGGGCATGGTGGTGCATGCCTGTAGTCCCAGCTGCTCAGGAGGCTGAGGCAGGAGGATCGCTTGAGCCCAGGAGTTTGAGGTTGCAGTGAGCTATGATGAGCCACTGCACTCTAGCCAGGGCGACAGAGCAAGACTGTGTCTCACAACCAACAAAGAGGCCGGGCGCGAGGCTCCGTTGTATCCTGCACTGGGAGGCCGATCGGCGCGGATGCTCAAGGTCAGGGAGTTCAAAACCAGCCTGAGCGAGAACCTGTCTCTACTTAAAAAAAATAGAAAGAAAATTATTGCGCCATAATTATGTCTACGTACTATATAAAAATTAGCCGGGCATGGTGCACGGGTGGTCCTGTAGTCCAGCCTACCTTGGGAGGCTGAGGCAGGCAGGATCGCTTAAGCCAGAGTTGAGGTTGCTGTGAGTAGGCTGACGCCATTGCACTCACCTCTAGCCTGCAACAAAGTGAGGCGGGGACTCTGTCTCAAAAAAAAAAAAAAACACAAAAACAAAAAACCAAAAAAGAGTATATGGGAAGAGATGTAATGTCTAGCACATCTAATAGAGGCTGGGCTGAAACGAGGACGCGCATTTTTATGGAAGTCTCCCAGGCGGCCACTAGAACAAGATGCCTTCTCTTGTGTGGGTGCAAAGTACGCGGACCGTTCACACACAGCCCCGCACGCACACTTTACGTAGTTTACCTAGGTAGGTCCGTGTAGTAGCTACCAGAAGACTCTGGTGCAGAGAGATGGTGTCTGACTGTTTCGTGGCCCTGGTGGTGCCAGGAAGCCAGGCTGGGTGGAGGTTGTCCCTGAGGGAACTGGACACAACCGCTGTTCATCGGTCTGGAAGACCTGGAGAGAGAAAGTGGGACTCGGATGGGGCGGGGGGCAGTTCCGTCCCCTTCTGAGTCCCCAGGGGCTGCCCGTGCGGAGGGTGCTTCCTCCCAGCGGGGAGCCCCTGACTATGTGTGTCGGGAGCTGGCCAGAGGTTGGCTGAAAATTCGGCTGTGCTGTGAGTCCTGCTTGTTCTGCCTTGACCATCTGACTCGCCTGGGTGGGTGTCCCAGCCCCGCCGGGCCTCCCCGAGCTGTGGGGAGTTAGGGAAAGGTTTGTCCATGCCCAGCCTGCAGGGCAAACGAGTGCGGGGCCCGTAAGCCAGCATGGCATGGCCCCTAGGCCCCCCGTGGGCTTCTCCCCAGGAAGGGGACCCTCAGGGACAGGAGCAGGCCTGTGGGGCCACTGCCCCTTTCCTCAGGAGATTTCCCCCATGCAGTCCCGGAGGTTTGCTGTGAAGCCTTCCTCAAGACTGTCTTCTCAGTCACTCTAGTGTTGTTCATTTTTTTCAAATAACGCGTTAGTAACTGAGAAAGATATTGTCTCCCCTTGCTAGTGAGTTTGCCTAATTCTCCACAAATTTCCAGCCATTTTCCCCTGATACCTATTTCTCGTGGGATTTGGTACAGAAAAGTATTATATATTTTTTACTGCAAATTATATTTTTTTAGCCACAGCAATATTGATGCATGAAATGATTTTTTGCCTAGCTGAATTTTGTCTTGAATTATTGATATATCGCCCAATACTAAACGATCCTGGGTTTCTGTTTGCGTCTGCTTGACAGACTTGTGCTCATTCTTTTCCGTTTAACCTCTTTTGTTTTCAAATTTGGTTGTTCCAGATGTCTCTCTCCACGTCTGTTGTGAGTTTCTGTGCTTACTGACTGATACGCTGCCCACCACATGGGGGGTCATCTTGCTGAGTCGTGGAGTGGCCGAGCAGACGTGACTCGCAGTGGCTGCGTGGGATGTCCCAGGTGCAGCTTTTGCCCAGCATCGTGGATGTGGTGTTGCTCCTCACTTTGACAACCTGCACACTCATGGGTCTCCCAAGTACCTCTTTAAATGGTGAGTTAAATCACGGCTAGCAGACATGAATTAACGGCTTGGGGAAGCCTTGCATGATGGGACGGTGAGAGGCTCTGTCCACCAGGGGATCGGTGGCGGTCAGTGGCGGAGAACCAGCACCTGGTACTTTCACGTTCACCTCCTTAGTGAAATCCACCGGGGCAAACAGGGAAGGAGGATGGGGCGAGGGGGATGGAGGGCAGGGAGTGGTGGACAGACTGACCTGACATCTATGAGCGCCTGGAATTCAACTTTGCCTAGAGCCAGATGCAACCCTTGGACTTTTCGGTTTTGTAAGTCGATACATTCTCCTTTTAAACTAAGTTAGTTTGGAGTGAGTTTAAGTTGCAACTGAAGAAATCCCAACAAACCCTGGGTCAGTGCTCCCACACTGGGAGTCTGGAAACTTGTTGGGCATGGGCAAAGCTCTGTATGCAAGAATCCCTAGAAAGAAGAATAGTTCGGTAGTGTGTGCAACTCGATGCCACCTGCGGCTTGACTGGACACTATCAGAGGCCTCGCACTTCTGGAATTTTAGTTTTTTTAAGAGACAGGGTCTCACTATGTTGCCCAGGCTGGTCTTGAACTCGTGGCCTCCAACAATCCTCCCACCTCAGCCTCCTGAGTAGCTGGGACCACAGGCACGCACCGTCACGCCTGGCATATTTCAGGAATTTTTACCCATTTCCTTTCCATATGCTGTTCATATTAATATGATGAGACAGACAGCTATGGCATTATTTCAACCTACTGCAGCCAAACTGTCACATAAATTTGGGTCAGGAATGCTCTCAGCTGCAAGTGAGAGACCTCCCAACCACAAGCATTCTCTCCCTCTCACGTCTGCAGGTTGGTAGTTCTGGGGCTCAATCAGGGACTCAAACGATGTCATTAGGGGTCAGACTGCCGTCTTTCTGTGCCGACAGCGCAGGTGTTGGCCTCTCAGCTTCTGCTGCTTACCTGGTGGCGGCAAGACTGAGGGGGAGCCTGAGGCGCCCTGCTCTGGGCACAAAGGGAGCGGGCAAGGCCTTCCCCAGAGCCGCTGGCCGGCTTCACAAGAGGGGCTGGGAAGGAGAGTGTCGCTCAAGCAGAAATGAGATTGTCAGGAGGGACTTCAATCCAGCAGGACTCTCCTGAGCCGGCAGAAAGTCCTACCTTTCCTGAGACCGAAGTATCTCCAGTCACCACCTGCAAAACACTGGATTCTGTCAGCAGGGAAGGCGGGGAGTGGGTAGGAATGGCAGTTAGGTAAAGGACAGGGTCCACCCCAGGTGCACAGGGCCATGTTTAGATTTGGCTGCATCTGAGAGCCCGGGGTGTTGGCTGGGCGGCCTACCTGAAGCCCTGCGACCAGGCCCACGCTGGTTCTGCAGGGTGCTGGGTGCTGGTGAGTGCAGGAACGCGGCCACGGTGCTGGGGCTGGCCCAGCTCTCCACCGCTTCCGGCGCAATTCCAAGCTGGCCTCTCACGGCTTCTTTATCAAATGAGGAGGCTCAGCTGGTTGAACTCCACACTTTCCTTCAGTTCTAAGCAGCTGGGGTCCACCCCGCCTTGTCCCTCTGTGAGCCTCCGTTAGTATGTAAGTGCTGGCTCAGTCTCCGCAGCGACCCCCCGCACCGCTGCTCCTGCTTTCTGGCTAAGCAGGGCAGGGCTAGGACAGACAGACCTGCTCTTCAGAGTCAAGCCCCAGTGTGCTCAGGCGGCAAGGGGAGGTGGGCAGGGCAAACATATCAGCACCAGGCTCTCAGGAGACTCTGGGGCTGCACAGGCCGTGGGGGCACCCGGTTCTGCTGAGTGCCATGCCTCTTGCCTTGGGGATAGAAGGGCAGAGCTGGGTCCAGGTCACTGGCTGAGGCTCCCGAAAAGGCAGCTGGGGCTTAGGGGGCGAGTTAGACTCTGTGGGGCTGGAACAAAGGGGCCTCAGAAGTTGGTTAAGCCCAGCTCTCAGCAAGGTGGGGGCTGGTCTTCTCTGATCTGAGAAGATCAGAGAAACCTTCGGCCCCAGGAGCGTGTCTAAGAAGCGGGGGCAAACCAGAGCAGCACGGGCATACCAGAGACATGAGGGAGGAAGGAGAAAGGAGACCCAGGGACCGGTGCACACTAGGCCAGAGGCAGCAGGAGGAAACCAGTCCCTGGAGAGCAGCGAGCCCCACAGCCTGAGCCCCGTCATCTTCTTCTCGGCAGCATCCTGCGAGCTACAGGACAGGCTGAGGCTGGGCGGGGGGACTGGGGGTGCGTGGCTGGAGAGAAGATGACGTAGGGGACACCATTTGTGTGTGCGAACCTCTGGATAGCTGTGCAGAGGGGAGGGCATGTTCCTTGTTGGGGGCTGCAGCCAGGCTGGTGTGGGGAGAACGGTAAGAGGATGATCCGCTCAGAGCAGGGGCTGGAGAACCTTCCTGATTCTATTCAACCCTGAGGCCTGCAGAGTCTATAATTCCCATCAGTTCGGGCTTGCTAGAAACTCCAAGTATAATCTTTGCAAGAGAAAGAGCAAAAGGGGAAAGAGGAGGAAAAAAAAGTCCACACACAATTGTACTTTTTATATAGAATTTGTACAATATATTTCTCTTCATTTGCATATTTTACTCACAACTTAACATCCTTTTTACAGGCTGAACTCACTCAGCGGATATAATCAAAATTCTTTCTTTCAACCAAATAAGAAAAATTCAAAATCGTAAACCCGTAAGAAAACAAATTAAAAACGGTGATGAAAATACGTCACTCCTCTCGTTAGGAACAGTGTCTGTCTGTACAATATATACGATTTGGAACAGGATTTCTTTATAGATTAGGCACATGTTTCCACGACACCTTTGTTCCTGCCGGCTGTCTCACTCCAGGCAGTCCTGCCTCCTAAGAAGGGTCTCTATGGAAATCCTTTGGGACACGGCTGCTCCCGGTGGGGACCGGGAGGGGAGCTGGGCCTGGCTTGGCAGCGCCACCCCGGCCGGAAGCAGAGGAGGCGGGGCCCTGGCAGAAAGGCGCAGCCGAGGAGTGTGAGGGAAAGCTTAGACTTGCTCTACACAAACCGAAGTGCAGAGACCAGAATGGCGAGGGCGGTGTGTGGAGAGAAGCTGTGAAGAGCCCAGGCTTTATTTACAACCGACCTTCCTGGAGGGGAGTGGGGCGCAGAGCTGGCAGCCGCTGCCACGGGGAGTGACCCCTGCCCTGCCCTGCTGTCTGCCCCGCTTGACTTGAGTCAGTCTGAGGTGTGGAGGGGCGTGGGTGGCACCACCTGCTCATCTATCTTCCAGAACGTCCGTCAGTGGGGCCGAGCCCGCAGCGGGGCCTCTTTCCCGCTTTCTGCAAGTCCCCTCTTGGGAAACTCCCCTCTGTGAGACCCACTGGGGTCTGAGTGGCAGGGATGCGGGGCTTCTCTGGGGGTACAGGCATCTGGCAAAGCGCACTCGGTTTGGCAAAGAACAAAAGATGGGAAAAGGGTTGTCCAAGCCACAGCACCTGCCTCCTCACGTCCCAGCACTAGGGGTAGCAGGCCAGGCCCCCCCTGGCATCAGGGTGTGGCTTTAGGTCACTGAAGTTCAGGACCCACCGCCCCATTTGTTCCTTTGACTCATGCCCCCTCCCGCTGCAAGACGGTTCCACCTGCACCCCAGGGTTTGCCTGAGAACCTACTCTAGGGCTGCAAAAGTCGTGGCCTCCTGACCCAGAGGGCAAAAGCACGCTCCAGAAGATGCTCCCAGCCCTGCAGGTGCGGGCCCTTCCTACGCGGACCCCCGCAGACCCTGCCGAGGGGTCTTGAGAGGCCAAGGGGCAGGCTGGGCCACGGCAATGCTGAGCTGGTCAGCTTTGGCCCTGGCTGTGATGACCCTTCCTTGAGTTTGGCCCTGTGCGGCAGGACGTGCTTCTGGCCCGGACACCCATCCTCAAAGGCATTCTCCCTTCCCACAAGTCCCACCAAGGCTGGGGCATGGCTCACGTGCCAACCCAGCTTCCCGCTCCGAAGTGTGGCTCTGGGGAGCGAGTGATAATCAGCACTTCAGGGCAAGACTAAAACCATAAAAAGGAAAATGTAAAACAGCATCACTAGAACTAACGTAGTTATTGCTAGACAAGTGACAGCCAAATAACCACGCAGAGTCCCAGAGGTGGATGTGACGGATTACCATGACTATCAAGCAGAAATAAAATCATAGGGTTTTCTTTTTTAAACTCTTAAAATAAGATCTTCTAAGATCTCCTGTGAGAACTCTTCAAGTCTTTAGGTACAGAGGCTAGAGAGTATTCCTTAGGTTCTGCCACTTTCACACAATCCAGTTTGTCCCCTGAATGACCAGTCCCTTGGCCATTCCCCTGAGGCCGTCTCAAGGGAGTCAATGTGGTTCTGTTCTAAAAAAATGAAGTGGAAACTGAAATATGTTAAGACAAAAACTAAAAAAAACGCGGATGAAGCTGACGTGTGAGCAGACGCACAGGGCGGCCTGCGGCTGTTCCCAAGGGCACTTGTTCTCACCAAGGAGTTCTCAGGGGTGGCGGGCCGCGCCGGGAGCGAGCTCATCACCTGGTCCTGGACCCACTGCTTGGGTCAGTGCTGCCAGGAGGGGCTCTCGCCTGTTTCGGTGTGTCTGGATTACCAGTCACAAGAAGCAAAGGCAGAGAGGAGCCCCCAGGCCAGGCACCGCTGCTGGAGGTCTTGCTGAGAAACGTGGCTAAGGGGAATGTACCTTCATCCGACGGTGCCAGCAGTTCCAGCTCAGCCGCGACCGAGTCCTTTCCAGAGAGGCTGCTTCCAAGTCTTCCTGGGCCTGTCGCTTCTGCAAGGACAGACCCTGGAGAAGGCTGGTCTCTGAACAACCTTCCCAAGGGCCTCTAGCCTGCCCTTTCTGAGTCATCCTGCATTGCTTTGCTGCTTCTCGCGTGCTACGGCATGTGCACGTGTCTGGCCTGTGCACAGGGGGTTTCTGGAGACGTGCTTGCTTGGCGTCCTAACTGGAGTGGAGTGAGCTCGAGGAGAGCTGGGCACTGACACCACAGGAGTTTTCCTGAATGAAGTTAGATGTCTGCTCTAAAATCCCTGTGGACAGATTAGCTAGTCCCATGCACGCCACACCGAGGGCTAACACTCGACATTCCAGAGTCGCGTTGCCTTGTTTGGGTAGTTGATGGCCAGGCTGATGGCAGCAATGTTCTGCAGAGCCTGCAGAAGGAGAGAGAGCAGTCGCCAATGTCAAGAGCCACTCACCTGCTCAGTCGCTGAGTGCTGCTGAACCAGGCCCTCAGCAGAGCACGGAGGCTGTGGGGGTGTCGTTCCCTCCCCCGGAAGCAGGCAGGCTAGGGCGAGACAAAAAGCTACCAAGATCACATGAAAGCTCCAAGTGTAAGGCAGAGATTGCCACTGCCCCAGAGGGGCAGTCACAGTGCTGAGGTGACAGGGGGCTCGGAGGACACTGTCTGCCAGGGTCTGGGAGAGCTCTCTGGGGAAAAACAGCATAAGAAGGTCATGGCAGACTTAAGAAACAACAGCCAGTGCCAGGACAGCCTGAGAAACAGTGCCGGGAAGGTAGTGGGAATGCCGGTGCCCTGAGGCCAGGCCGGGTGGGGTCTTCCTGCTCCGGTGGCAGGAAAGTGGAGGTGGGCGCGGGAGGAGAGGCGGCAGGCAGGGAGAAAAGTCAGAACACTGGCCCAGTAAACTAGATGGGCCAAGGGAGAGTCAGAATGAGGGTGACGAGGCAGCAGAGATGGGACACGGGCAGGCAAGAGGGACAGGCTCATAGCAAACCTGCCATGCTGAGCTTTCGGGCCTGAATGGTCAAATATCAAAATTTCTTTATAAGGTGTCATGGAACCAGGGAATGTTGGTAGGTGGCCGTTAGGCAGGAAGGGAGTTTTATTCTGCCTACGGGTCCTACGAGGATTCACATAAACCCTTCTGTATTTGCTGTGCGGATCCCCATGCCTAAGCACATGCTCCAGCCCCGGCATCGGTAAAGAGGACCCCTTTCCTCCTGCATGTTTCAGGATGCTTCTCTGAACACACCTGAACAGGAGTGTGCTCAAAGAAAACTTTTGGGAAACACAGTGCCGGACTCAGGCAGGGCTCTGAGTCCCAGTTGGATGCCCACCCAAGTGTGACCCTGTGAGCCTTGGTGTCCCCTCCCCACCGCTCCATCCACTGTGGGGGTTGGACCACACACTCTAAGGCACTCAAGGAGTCTGTAAGCCCAAGGTTCTCCAAGTGCCGCCTGGGCCTGCAGATTCCAGAGACCCTTTCAGGGGCGGGCAAGGTTCCCTTTTCACTTTCAATCTCTCACGAGCATACAGTGGCGTTTCCCAGAGGCTAGTGTGAGCTAACACGACAGACTGACTGCAGACGTAGCTGTGAGAATCCAGCTGCCTTCTATTAAGCTAGACATTTAAGCCATCTGCAAAAATGGAACACAGTGCCACCCCTCATGGTAATTATTTTCTTTTGAAAAGTAAGAGTTGTTTTTCATAAAACATGTTATTCACGTTAATGTGAAATGGGTTTACTACTATTTTTTCAAATGAATTGATAAATGAATGTTTAAACTTTTTGTTTCAATTTCTCAATTTAAAATCTAAGTTAATTTCTAAAGGCATGTATATAACACATATAACCAAAAACTTTCCGGGATCTTCAATAATTTAACAGTGTGAAGGGTCCTGAGACAAAACAGCTGTCCGAGGAGGATTTCTCCTACTGGGAAAGCAGCTCACATCCAAAAATATCTGAAATTTAACTCTATGGAAACTTCAGGCATCGGCCAAACTAAATTTAAGGTATTGGCTGTTTTGGTTTTAAAGACACAAATTCTTGCTAGTGTCTTCTGACCCCGCAGTTGAACATGAATGACGCTGACAAATGGGGCTCGCCCGCTCTCCCTAAGCACCGAGCTCCGTGCAAGCTCTGGCTGGATTCTGTTCCAGACGCAAAGCGCCGACACCCTGTCCTGGCCTCGGTGAGACGGTGGGGTAGCGCCAGCCCCAGGGGCCAGCTCTGCAGGGCAAGGCGAGTACCTGTGCTGCGCAGCGGAGAAGGTGGTCATCCGTGGTTAAGGCCAGCAGGTAGTCCTGCAGCAAGCCGAGCTCCTGTGGAGAGAGAACAGGCTCCGTGAGCAACAGCGGCAGGGCCAGACGCCTGGTGCAGCTCTAACAGACCACCCAGGCGACACTAGGCACGGAAACAGAAACCTTGAGTGGGAGGACGCCGCTCACTCAGCCGGGCACCTCATGGCACTGCCTGGCTCAGGAGCCACGGAAGGAGCCTGCCCGGCAGGAGCCCCATGTGGGCTCCCAGGCTGGCTCTACCTTGACCGAGTCTCGGGGGACCAGGCGGGGGACGCCCCTGCTCAAGCCAGTTTCCTCATGTATGAAACGAGGGGCATAAGCTAATGAACTCTGAAAGGCCCTTTCATTTCTCACATTCAACGAGCCTATTGTGCTGAGGGGAGAAAAAAAGAGGAGGAAGAAGAAAGAACCCATCGTTTTATTTTCCAAAACTCACTGTTGTCAAGGATTGATCCCAGGCAGCCTGTCCCCCCTTTGGCTCCGAGCCTGACAAAATAAGCAATCTCAGAGCTGACCCGAGGGCTTCCCAGCGCTAGGGGGAGGCGAGGGCCCAGACTGCGGGCCAGGCCTGCCTTCCTGTGTCGCCTGCTCACTCAGAATTGGGCAGAGGCCCGCCTGGGCGGCAGAGGGAAAGAAAGCACACGGAGGCGCCATGCTCCCTGCCCAGACCTCAGGGGGAGAGGCAGGGCAAGGCAGGGCAGGGCAGGGCCCTCACCTGGGCGCGGTTCTCAGCCACGAAGAAGAGCTCAGTGAGGGCGCGGTGCAGGGGGAGGAGGATGCCGGGCTGTGTCACGTCCTCAAACAGACCGTACTCCATGTGGGTGAAGAGCTGCCAGAGGGGCTTCAACAGTGCAAGGTCACAAAGGTCACTGTGGGAAGAGCCCCGGGAGGGCATCGGTTTATGAGCACCATGCCTGGTCCGACAGCTGATGGGAACTGCAGCTCAGACCCTCCCTCTCCCACAGCTGCCACAGTGGTTATAAAATAGTCCCGCCCTCCCTCCTCCCAGGCAGCCACAAGCAGTCACCAACAGCAAAGAAGGAAAGGGGTGCGACCGAAACTTCAAAGCCAAACTCCAAGGGAACAGGAGACCCCAAAGTGCATCTCTAAAAATGGTTACTATGAAGACCTACCAGTGACAGTGGATCTCAACATAAATGTTAAGTGGGAAAAAAATAAGACATAAAACTACATATACAAAATAAAATTTAAAAAGAAAAACCCACATACACAATATTGTGTTTATGCATATTAAAAACAGCAGTGGCCAGGCATGGTGGCTCATGCCTATAATCCTAGCACTCTGGGAGGCCGAGGCAGGAGGATCGCTCAAGGTCAGGAGTTCGAGACCTGCCTGAGCAAGAGTAAGACTCCGTCTCTACTAAAAATAGAAGGAAATTAGTTGGACAACTAAAAATATATAGAAAAAATTGACTGGGCATGGTGATGCATGCCTGTAGTCCCAGCTACTTGGGAGGCTGAGGCAGGAGGATTGCTTAAGCCCAGGAGTTTGAGGTTGCTGTGAGCTAGGCTGATGCCACGGCACTCTAGCTTAGGCAACAGAGCTAGACTCTGTCTCAAATAAATAAATAAATACATAAACAAAACAACAGTAAACAAACAGCAAACAGTGTTGTCAGGAGTTGTCCCTATCAGCTTTCTAGATTTCCTACAACACTCACTGCTTTTCGAATCAGAAAAAAAGAGCTATTTAAAAGACAACGAATATAACCATTATTATTATCTTAGGCTTGGCTTATGAAACACAAGAAATATGCTTGTAAGGTTGCTCAGGCAGAAATCTTTTCCTCAAATAAAGCAGAAGCCTTTTGAAAAAATGAACTGAGGTTTTTTGTTTTGTTTTTTTTTTTACTCAGAGAGAGGCTATGATTTAATTCTGATTCAATGTCCTTCAGTGGAGAAAAGTTTTGAAATAAATAATATTAATATAATGTTAGGTTTGCTTCTTCTAATTTGCTTTTTCTCTTATGATTTAAGAAAGAATTATGTGCATTTAATTGTTATTTTGAAGCCACTCTGTTTCCCCCAGAGAAATAAATCTTCATAAAGTAAATAAATGGGAGAATTCAGACAGCTTTATAGCTGGTTTTCAGGAAAGCACACTTTACAATGTGAAATAAAAAGCACCTGCATGGCCAAGTGGCTGAGATGACTGCCTGTGGCCGCCCCTGCCCTGGGGGCTGCCCCCAGTCTGGCCTCCGAGCCAAGCTCTCAGGCTAGCACGCCTGTGACTCTGCATGGAGCACTCATGAAACAGCCCAGGGTGGCAAGTTATGCTGGGAGTTCCCTCCAGGCTTGGGCAGAGGGGTGCAGGAGTGCCCCCACTGGAAGGAAAATAGGCGACGGCCAAAAGACTGTGCAGGAACTCTGTGCTGCAGCCCGGAGACCACGGAGAGGGTGCGTGTTTCACACGCATCGCTCAGCCAGGCAGCTCTTACTAGAAGCCACACTCAAGCGAACAGAGCTAAGCCCACGTGGGGCTGCGTGACTGATGTCTGAAAGTGAGGACGTGTGGGTAACAGCAATCATGCCCAGCTCGCCCCCTTTCCCCCCTTGACACCTACACCTCCCGCCAGCATATGGACTACTCGAGTTATTTTGTCTTCCCTGACTTGGAGAGTCCCTTACTTTTTTAATGATATCTCTATATTATGTGAGAAGACAACCTGTTACTTCAAACATCACCACCCCACTCTGGCTAGCATCCTGTGTGTCTGTGTGCCTTAAAAATGCAGGAAAGAGGAACAATGAACTCCTACAGGTGGGGGTCTGAGCAAGGAGGGCGAGGGCTGAGTGTATGGGTGATGTGTCCAGCACCATCACTACCACCTTCCCTCTGAGATGAGGAATACGGCAATTACGTCTACAATTCCCACTTCTATTCAACACTGTATTTGGAGGTCTGGTTAGTGCAAAAGGCAAAACCAAGCAGTTTCTAAGGATTAAGAGGAAGAAAACTCATTACCTACAGATGACATGACTGTGCACTGAATAATCTACATATATAGTCTTAGAATTAACAAATTTAGCAAGGTAACTGGATACAAGGGCAATACACAAAAATTAATTATATATCAGCAAAAACAAAACTAAACATTTTTAAGTATCAATTATAGCATCAAAAACATTAAATACCTAGTAACAAATCTAACAAAATGTTGTACAAGTCCTCTACATAGAAAACTATAAAATATTACTAAGACTTAAACAATAGAGGAATATATAATGGTTGTGGATTAGAGGACTCAGTGTTCTAAAGATCTTGATTCTCCTCAAACTGATCTATAGAGTCAATCAGAATCCCATTAGATACAATGAGAGTGAATGTGAGAGGTGTGTGTGTGTGGGGGTGGGTGTCTGTATGTGCATATGCACATGCATATGCAGAAATTAACAAGCTAATTCTAAAATGTCTATGGACATGCAGGGTCAAAAATACCCAAGACAGTCTTGGAGATGAGGAACTAAGCTGAAGGATTTATACTACCGGAGATGGAAATCTGTTATAAAGCTACTGTTTAAACAGTGTGATACAGACACATTGGATCACACTGTGATTTGGTCTTAAAACCAAGACCAAAGGAACAAAGGAGACCAGAAAAACATCCATCCATACATGGACACCTGCTCCGTGACAAGGTGGCGCCACAGTGCGGTGAGAGTCACCTGTGTGCAGAGGTGGTCTCTGGAGTCAAGTGGAGATCCATATGGAAAAAACTATTAATAACTTGACCCCTACAGCTCACATCATACACTAAAATTCACTCCCGGTGGATTATAAATCTAAGTGTAAAAGGAAAAATAATTAAGCTTCTAGAAGATAACATAGGAAATATCTTCATGACTTTTGAATAAGGCAAAAATTTCTTACACAGGACACTAAGAGCACTACCATAAAGGAAATAACTGATGAACCGGAAGACATTAACATCACAAATGCCTTTTCATCAAGGTCATCATCAACAGAGTGAAGAGGCAAGCGACAGACAAGGGTCGCACGTCCAGGAGGCAGCTCACCTGTGGGTGCAGCACCGCACAATCCTCAGAAGTAAGTGGATGGCTTTTAGTCGCTGGTGACCAGTTTGGCGACAGGCCACGCCCACCAGCCATTCCCAGATTTTTGCCAACGGGAGGTGAGGCACAACCCTTTCTTCTGACAACATCTGCTTCAAAATTTCGAATCCTGGCCAACCCCCCAAAACACAAATATTTTAAAAAATAAAGTCTAACAAGTGTTTACATTAAGAATGACATTATTTTATAAGCTGCTTAAATTTTTAAAAACAGGATGAAATCATTGTGATCATTTAAGTTTTGGTGGAAATTAAGCCTTTTGTAAAAATAGCTTAGGAGCAACATGTTCAGTTCTTCCTTTTTGCAAAAAGCCCTGGTCAATTCTCAGAGAACAGGCATCTGTTTCAGGCCTTGACAGAACAGCTCGTACATCTGGCCGTTCTAGTTTACAACTAGCCAACAATGTCAGGTTCAAGAGCGATGGGTATGGGATTCGTGAGACCAATTTGTGGGAGTTGGAGGGAAAGCACCTGCTTTGATTTTAACAACAATCAGTGACATAAGGGCTCCTACAGCCAGGGAGTGGCCCCGGCAGGCAGACCTTCCAATGCAAAGACCAGAGCACACACCTGTCTGGAAGCGCCCCAGGTGTCCAGCCGTCACAGTGAATTTGTAGCCCCACTCGGTGTTGCTCATGTCGGAGGTAAAGCGGTAATACAGAGTGTCTCCTGGGCCACACAAGAATCAGAAACAGATCAGGAGACTGGAGCAACAGGGAAGGGCAACTGGGGTATCTCTGATGAGATATATTAAACCCATTTTAAAATTCGCCAGTAATTTCCCTACTCAGTATTAGATTTAAACACTTTAAGTGAAGAGTGTATATAACCAAGTATTTTTTTACTACCTGGAAGCTCAAAATCTTTCCATTTTTGTTGAGACCCGCTGAAATTGTGTCGATCCTGCTGGAAGTCACTGCTACTGGACATAGCTAGCTCGTCACAGCCTTCCTCTGTGTTGCACTGAGAATCGAATTTGATCGAGAGGTAGATGGCACCAGGAATGTGGACTTTATCCTGGGGAAGGGAAGCAGGACACTTCTATCGTTACCATGCGCTGGATATTTCCTGCAGGCTGCTCTATGCCAAGTCCTGCCTCTGGGGTGTGAGAATGAGTGAGCCACAGTCCACCCTCCGGGGCCCGCAGTGTAGCTGGGCGAGGAGCATGCGCACTGGCTGCACACACAGTGCGGGGCAGGCCAAAAGGGCCCGCTCAGAGATGTTCAGGTGCTGTGAAGAATGAACAGGACAAGAAGAGTCAGGAGAAAGGGGGGCAGGAGGCCAGGGGAGAGGCAGGTGTGAGCACACGGGGTGCATCTCAGGCACAGGAGCAGTCCTGGAAAGGTCTTGGATGAGTTCAGGAACAGCAAGGAGCTTGGCGTGTCTGGGGTAAAGGGTGTGCCATGTGGGCACATACTTGAGAAGTGGGGATGGGTGAAACAAGGCCCTGGAGAGGTTGGCAGGGACAGACCCTGAAGGCCTTGAGTACTAAAATGAGGCACTGAGACTCTGTCTGGACAAACAAGGGGAGCCCTGGGAAGGTCTGAAGCAGGAGTAAGCCTTGCTCAGGCTGGTACCACAGAAGCACCACTCCGAGGATGGGAGTAGCTGGCGCAAGGCTGGGCTGGGACCAGGCAAGAGCAGGGGTCAGAAAGCAGCAGCAACAGGAATGCCAGAGGAGGGAGGGGAGGGCCTGGGGGCGGCGGAGAGACGACATGATCTTCTCTGGGGTAGAACTTGGCGGCTGACCACATGTGTCTATGTGGGGTCGAGGGACTGAGACAGAGCCCAGGAACATGGGGAGAGAAGAGGCTTGGAAGGAAGAGAGTTAGGGGTTTATATTTCTGCAAAACAAAATCTCAGCTTTGTAATAACAAAGTTCCAAACTGGTTTCTGTCATCCACCACTGGGGCTGTAGGGCACCTTCCACCCAGACGCTGATGCCTGGCCGGCTCCAACATTTTTAATAGGACTAAAGAAATGCACGTGGCATTAAGTCAATGAGATAATGGAGGGTGCCCAGCCCATGCCTCATCTAAACCCTATTTCTCTCTGTCCAGATACAAAGGGGACGGAGAAGATGAGGTTTTTCAGTTCTGGGTAATTTTTAAAAAGGGGCCGCAGTGTCCAAGTTGTGGCCAGTCATCAGGAGACGACAGCAGGGCGAGGGTGGAGCCGAGACCCACACGCAGACCCCACACGCAGACCCACTGCCTCACTGAGTAGCCACGGACTCTCTCAGAAGCTTGCTGCAGGAAAAGTAAACGCTCCGTGAGAGCCAGCTGGCCCTTTTTTATTCTATCAAAAGAAGAAAGGCCAGGAGAAGGGAGACTTGGTTGTACAGAACCCCTGGCTTCTGGCGGGGCGGCAGCTCAGCGTGCAGAGGCTCTCCCGGTCAGGGCTGTCGGGGCACGCTGCTGAGAGAGCTGCTGAGGTCTTCGCTACTCAGTAAGCCCTGCGGGGCCTGCCGACGGGGCCATACCTCAAAGTTGGTGTTGTTGTTATACGGGTGTTTCGATTCCCTCACTTGCACCTCCATTCCCGGCTCCTCCATGAACTGGCAGGCAGCCAGGGCCATGGTCCCCAGCATATTCTCTCGGCAGCCCTGGAGCACCTTCTGCAGGATCTGGTGGGACACAAGCGGGTAAGGTCTAGGCCTGGCAGTGGCATCAGGAGGAAGGGAGAGTCTGCTTTAACCTAAGATGTACCCAAAGGTGCTGGCATCGTCCTGGACCCAGAACAAACCTCTGTGACCCCACCCCAAGACCCACCCCACCTCTCACTCCACCAGGCCCTTGCTGTCAGTCAGGACCCTGCTTTAGGGAGGTCTGAAGAAGTAACAGGACCAATCAGAGATGGCCCTGGTCCCTGAAGAGTTCCCAGCCCAGCAGGTCGCTTGACCTACAGGTAAATAATTACAGCACAGTGTGGCCAATACCCCGGTAAGGTGCAGAGTTGGGAGCTCCAGGGGGCAGGAGTGGGCGAGGACATGTCTGAGGGAGGGGCCAGTAGGGGCACGATGGTTCTCTTTTGTCCCTTCCAGAAGATAAATAAGGCCAGAGCAAACCTGCCAGCACCTTCAGGGCTGCGAGGCTGAGAAAGGATTTCAGGGACCTAGAAACTGGTGGTATTCTTACATGGGAAAAGGTTTAGAGGGAAAATTACCTTCTTTCTGGACTGCATGTGTGTGTGAGGGTGGAGGGGGATAGGATGGAGAAGGAGCTACCAGATGTGCTTCAAGATTTCTGCACTTGGGGATGGGAAGAGGGTGACTCTGGCTCAGCTGGAAATCATGCCCAGGGCTCTTAAGGTCTCTATACCATGATGTTTTCTGGTACATCTGGTCCTCTGCTTCTATGCAGCAAGAGACAGAAGAGAAGCTTCTAGCCCTGTGAAGGTTTGCTAACCCAACACTATTTTAAAAGAACAAGTTAAAGACTTGATTTCAAATACTCTCTGAGTATCGAGTCTGGGCCAGGCTGTGAGCTCAGCTCTGGGCCAATGCTTGGAAGAGGATGCAGTGGCCCTACCTCTGTTGCATTCACACCTGTCAGGGAGCTGGATGGCCATACAGGTGACCTCACTCCAGGAAGCATGTGCTAGAGGAAGCTTGTTCAAACACCCTGGGGTCAGAGGAGAAGCCTGGAGGGTGAGTGCGAGCTCGTTCTACTTAACTACCTTTTCCCACTGGTGCTTTTCTTCCAGCTGCATGAACATATCCAAAATGTAGGTCATATGGGCAGGGCCACTGAGCTCCAGGATGTCCTCGCTCACTGGCACATGCCCGGGCCACTCGGCGAGCAGGGATGCGAGCACGTGGCGGGCGTACAGGACGGCTGTGGCCTCATTCACTCGGAAGAGGTAGTCCCGGACAGCTCTCTTACTCTTGCAGTTCAGCTCCTTGTGCAGCAGGGCGGCGCTCTTGCTACGGCGCTGCCTGGCGTAGCTCTGCTGCAGCTCACTCTCCGTGCTGGAGATCAGCTTCTGGGTCACTGGGTTCGATTCAGCAGTGGCTTGGTCGCAGCGTGCAGGCCGGGACTGCAAACCCAAGACCACCGTTACAAAGGCCTGGCCTTCTTGCTTGGGGGTGGGTGGGGGGACAGGGGTAGGAGTGGGAGTGCAGACACTTGGGTGCCAAGGTGGGGGGACATACCAAGCATGGCAAGATAATCATGTCCGTGTCCACAGCTTTGACGCTCTGCTCTTCCAGCCTCAGACTCTTACTGGGCTGCCACCTCTGAGCCAGGGACCGTATCCTTTCATCGGTGGTGAGCTCATCTCCATCAAACCTGAAGAAAAGCAGCACAAAACTGGGTACAAAATGTGTAAAAGGGCAAGAGTTTAACCCGCAATTAAACTGGTCAGAAATGTTGATTAAATTTTTTTTATGTAATTACATTATCACTTTCTGTATTTTGCAAACTGGATTCACAACACTCATTTATTCGTGAACATACGCCCTGTGGCAGTGGACACAAACTGTTCCCCGGAATCCATTCTCCTCTTCTCTTTTAGAAACAAAGTTCTCAGCACAGTTTCAGCAAGAGACACAGTCACCCAGCTACAGACATGGTTCTCGGCGCCACTGGCAGCCAGATGCAGCAACGCGACTAGGTTCTGGCTGATGGCTGGTGAGTGAGGTAGCATGCCACTCCTTTCTCTACCTTCCCCTCTCGTCTGGGCTGGAATCCAGAAGTGGTGTAAGGAGCTAGCTTTCACTACGCAGTTGAGAATAACACCCCTGTGATCAGTGCATTACTTTGTGGAGCAGAAATGCCCACCCACCCTGGACTGCTGCCTACCTCTGGACTGTTACATGAGAGAAAAACAAATTCTATCTGCCTTGATCCAACGTATTTCTGCATTTTTTGTTATGGCAGCTTAGACTATAAATAATGCATCCTTGCTTCATCTTGCAAAGGATTTGAGGCAACAGGTAAGAAATACATATGGTAAAATACAAACATGAAATAATGAATAAAAGAAAAATTAAATAAGAATTCGCTATAAATTAGAATAAGAAGTCAAAACCAGGCTTTGGGAGGACGGAGGAGGAGATCAGATTATAGGTTTGTAAAGTTCTAGACAAACTGAAATGCAGGGCTGAAGAACCAGCTCTGAACTTCCTGGCCAAGAGAAAGGGAAAATTGTTAATTTTATAATCATCCTTTAGGGAAAAAAATGAAAACAATTTACACTGGTGAAAAAACAAAAACATAAATAAGCAACGTCTTGAGTAGAAGCGCCTGCTCTGTGCTGCGCTGGAATGACACATCCTGGCGCCTGCCTCAGTGTCTGAGTCTGTAATATGAGTTTACTCTGAGACCGACCGCAAATGTCAAGTTTTTACAAAGGAACCTACAAGCACACTTGGAAGATGATCCATGCTGCGTAGCACATATCACCTTCCATATCACTTTACCAAGGACTGAAAACTGCTTCCTGGCCTGTCGGGGTTTGGTCCAGATCCCGCTGACAGGTGGTACAGGTCTAACCACCCTCTCGTGTCCTCTCCCTTGCCATGTTTCAGCAGCACCTAAATGTCCCTCACCTCTTCTGAACCTCCAGGAAGAAAGAATCGGTCCTTTTCATCTGCAGTTCGTATATGGCGCGGAGAATGTGCAGAGGGGCGTTGAGGGCATCGTGAGCCATCTGAAGGCACAGGGAGGAAGAGGGACAGAAACGATTAAAAGTGCTTCAACACATCACTGATAAATTGAACTCCAAAGTGATGAGACGATATTTCAAAAGCCACTCACAGGTTGTAATTGAAGAACATTATGTAAGTACTTTTAAAAAGCATATAAAATTATAAGCACTAAAACATGGACTGTAAAAGCTGCATTACTATTATAACTTCAAAGGAAACTATAAAACACTGAAACACCAAAAGAAATACTATGCCAAAAAAAATCAATGCTAATAGTCAGTACTTATTCACGGCATTGTGTTCACTGCTAGCTTCTCTGTACCTGTCTTATGCTCAAGTTTGACAACTAGGACATACTTGGGCACTGTATTTTCTTTTGAATTTTTTTTTTTAGTGGTATTTGCTTTTCTGATACCCTATTCCACATTCTGTTTACTCTTCATCTAGTTACAACTTTTTTTTCCCTTTTAAAAACATTTTTATTTTATTTTTAGAGATGAAGTCTTGCTCTGTTGCCTAGGCTGGAGTACCGTGGTATTACTATAGCTCACTGTAGTTACAACTTTTGACATCCATGCCCTCAATCTTTCCCACATCATTCTGAGGAAGAGTGGATTACCCAGGGAAGGTAAGAGAATATTTCTGAGAAATTATGAGGAGGGGACCATCATGTTAAAGCTTATGGGTGGGTCTTAGGGCTTCAGTAAACCCTGGAAATTTACGCAAAATTTTAAACAAATATTTGAATGTGTATATTACGGGAGAATGGTTCTAAAGCTTTTCGGTCCGTGACCCAAAAATGTTAAGAACTACTGCTTTAGGGCTTTTTTGTTCTTCTGGATGAATTCTGTACGATACAGACTGGATCTTCAGAAAGTGAATTCTCAGGACATTATACTGAAGGACTTTCATGTTTACGCTAAAACATGGCCCAAGCCAAAGAAAATCCACTCCCCGGAAGCTCTTGCCCAATCTATAAGATGACCCAAGAACACACCAAGAAACATATTCTGGTGGGCTCGTCCAGGCCCTCGAGAGGGTCTAGCTTTTTCTGCTCCGGGTCACCAGGGCTGCTGACTGGCCGCTCTACCTCTTCCTCTGGGTCCCCTCGCTCGTCCAGCTCCAGGTCTCCATGCTCGGCCAAAGTGTTGATCTCCTTTTTTGACGAGTACAGCATGATGGACAAAATCTACACAGAAAGAAAACCAGGCAGGACAGAATGTGAGCATGTAGTGGGTGAGAAGCTTGCACAGTTCTTTTTCTTTTTTTGAGACACAGTCTTGCTCTGTTGCCCAGGCTAGAGTGCTGTGGCATCAGCCTCGTTCACAGTAACCTCAAACTCCCGGGCTCAAGCGATCCTCCTGCCTCAGCCTCGCAAGTAGCTGGGACTACAGGCGTGCACCACCATGCCTGGCTAATTTTTTCTATTTTTAGTAGAGATGGGGTCTCACTCTTGCTTAGGGCCAGTCTCGAACTCCTGAGCTCAAGTGATCCTCCCTCCTCGGCCTCCCAGAGTGCTAGGATTATAGGTGTCAGGCACTGTGCCCGGCCTTGCACAGTTCTTTAACCATGTAAGGGTAGAAAATATTTGACATGAGAATTCACTTACAGAATGTGAAACTATCAATAATAAAGAAATATAAAAACATGTTCAATTATACTCTGTAGTCAAGGAAATGCTAACTAAATACCACGGGGACCTTTATGTTTATTAACTTTTCCACTGATGGTGTAAACTGCTATCATCCTTATATTCATAATATGGTCAATGAAGCATTAATAATGGCAGAAAACTGAAAGCCGCTTTCATGTATCAATATGTAGCCATCAAAAATGGTAGTTACAAGAACTATATGGAAACTTAGAAAAATGCCTATCATATGGCCTGAATTTATTTGAATACTATGCTCACCATGTAATTTAAATTTATGTATGTACTACAGAACCATAGGAAAAAAATTAGAAGAAGGAAATAGACAAAAAGCTAATGGTGGCTATGTTTGGGTATAAAATAATGGAGTTTTTCTTTCTTTTATAAGTTGCCTGCAATGTGGTTCTATTTTTTTTTTCTTTTCTTTTTTTCTTTTTTTGAGATAGAGTCACACTCTGTTGCCCTGGCTAGAGTGCCATGGTGTCAGCCTAGCTCACAGAAAACTCAAACTCCTCGGCTCAAGCAATCCTTCTGCCTCAACCTCCTGAGCAGCTGGGACTATAGGCATGTGCCACCACGCCTGGCTAATTTTTTCTCTATATTTTTAGTTAGCCAATTAATTTCTTTCTATTTTAGTAGAGACGGGGTCTCGCTCTTGCTCAGGCTGGTTTCGAACTGCTGACCTTGAGCGATCTGCCTGCCTTGGCCTCCTAAAGTGCTAGGATTATAGGCGTGAGCCACCGTGCCCAGCCATGGTTCTATTATTTAATAAAAAAATTATAATTTAGAATATTCCCTAAGAATAACAGTTCACATAATCTTCCGGTTATTCATTAATAAGTTTCAGCATATCTTCCTTAAACCTAACCAAATCCTCTTCTGGGAGCTGAGGGCTGTGTCTTCCAGTTCAGGCCTCTGTGCGCCTGGGAACAGCTGCTCCCCACCTCCCCTGCAGCAGCAGCCTTTCTTGGGCCTGAAGCTGGCATTTGGTACAGAAAGTCCACAGGGAACCACTGCAATTCTGCTAAGACAGATCTAAGGTCTAAGGGGAATAGTAATAAAATTAAAATTATCAACTAAAATCTTCCATAAGATACACATAAGGAAAGATAAATTTAGAAGCAGATTTTAGATCAAAAGAACTTTAAAGGGAAACAATAATTCAAGGTACACTTTATTACCATGATATAACAGCCAAGCATGTGTTTCCATAAAATACTTTTCTTCCAGTGTTCTTTGAACAAACACCAAATTCATTTTCCCTGACAAGGGGGGACAGTGTCATAATCTCTATTTCCAGAAGGGAAGTCAGAAGCAAGGGGTGATTTTAAACACTGTACGAAATGAGTGCACAAGGCAGAACCAGGTGCAACTAGTTGATGCTTCTAACTCCCAGGCCAGTAAATCTGCATCAGGCAGCAGTAGCAGGACACGCCCCCCCTCCCGCCCCCCCCCCCCATCTCTTACTTCAGTCCCGGAGGAGCGTTTTACTCGAAGCCAGTCCTTTGCTACACTTTTTCACCAGCAACTTCAGCAAATCAGTCTGGAGGAAGGTAGCATGGGTCTCTTCAAAATCGTGAGCCTGCCAAGCGAAAAAAGAATGATAAGTGACTGCCTCAGAGTGAAGGTAAGCTCGGCTAGGGAGAAGCAAGCCTTTCTCAGAGCCCAGCTCAGCTGGTGGCAAGCTGACCTAGCGAAACTCCGATCAGAAGCGGAACAGCACAATACCGTCGAAACTCATGTCTGTCATTCACCTAACAAGTATCCACTTTCGATGAAGCCTTGGTATGTCACTCGCCCCTGCTTTCTACTGTCCAAGCTTCCAATAGCACCTTGTAGCCTAAAATAAGACATCAAGCTGCAAAGTCCTACACAGGCCTGCTGCCTCTTGGTTTCAACTCCCTCTTTTGCCCATTTGACAGCCTGCAGTCTGCTCCCTATTCCTGCTACCCTGACACAGCCACTCCGCCCTGCTCAGCCGCCCCCCAACCACCGACCACAACGCTCACAATACCTCTCATAAGGCTGGAGCTAAACCATTCTCTGCACTGGAAGCTTGCCAACTTTCATCCCAGATTCTACTCTTATTATCAAAACCAATTTTTACCTCTTCAGAAAAGGCCTTTCCGATCATGCATTCCTTGCAACTCCGTGCATGTCTTCTTGTCTGTTAGACAAAGTAGCTCATAGAAACCAGCAGCAACCGATTCTTCATCTAGTTCACCCGCCCAATATTCCAGCTCCATCTGGACATCCTATGGCTAGCTCAACTAACCAAAACCTATTACGTTTCTGACAACAACATCAACAGACAAGAAATGACACCTCTCAGGGCTTTATCCCATCCCTATCTCCAGTATACTGTACCATGAAGTAAAGTGCATTATCATACAATGCCACAAACTACAGACATAGTGAGGAATCTCATCTACACATGACTCTCAGCTGCGACCAGAGCGAAACCCCATTGTAGTTCTAGTCTCCTTGTGCTTGGAAGTCTTGCAGTGACTCTCCCCACCGTGTCACCGCCACTCGCACTACGCCAAGGAACTCAAATTGAAGGACCTCAATTCATATCACAATAACCAGACCGAACAAAGTACCTAGGAACAACAAATAAACATACCAAGGAGGTAAAAGATCCTACAGAGAGAACATAGAAATGGGAGAAACTAGCAAGAAGGATAAATCAACCACAAAACCAATCGTTATTCACAGCAATGATCTACAGATTCAATGCAATACCTACCCACCATTAAATCCACCCACACAACACCACTACTACACAGATATACGCAAAAATAATTACATATAGCTTCGATATCGGAACCAAGAAGACCTCGATATCACAACAGCAAATGTGCTAGGCAAAAAAAAAACAAAAGGGAGAAACATCTCAATATCCCACCAGATATCAACCACTATATCCACAAGCTGCAGTAATGTAAAAAATCAAACTACATGGTGTTATTAGAGCAAAAATACGCCCGGATATTGCTCACGTGGAAACAGATGTTACAAAACACAATACTGAATCAACCCAACACAACAACCCACTCCTAAATAATTAACATTAATTTACAAAGCAGACAAAACATACACTACGAAAGAACTCCTTCTCCAATAATGCAGTCGCTCGAGAAAACTGAGAATAACCCAGCCCACCTGTAGCACAGGCCTACAGACCCACCACCCTTTCACCCTCTCACAACTCAAACTCAGCTGGACAACAAAGAACCTTAACCTACAGGAATCGAACCATTAAAGCAAATTCCAGGAAAAGGTTGAAAACCACTCTCCTACAGTCGGCCTAGGCAACGAGTATGAAGACCAGAAGCTCACCAAGGCACACAGCAGTACGCAAACAAAAATAAATACATGGCGCAACAAATGATCAAACTAAAAGCTTCATCACAGCCAAAGAATAGCATACATGCAAAGTAAAACCACAAAAACCAACTACAGAATACGGACACAGACAATTTATGCATCCTATGCATCCTAATAAAAGATAACTAGAATACTACTTAAAAACATCAGAAATCAGCAAGAAAAAAATCAATAAACCTATTAAAAACACAACAAACAACAAAAAATGGCCAACAACAGAACCAGAAAGAACTTTTCTAAAGCGACAGAATATGCTAACAAACATAATGAAACTGCTAATATCTAATATCAGGAAATGCAAATCAAAAACCACAATGAGATACTCACTTAACTCCGTGGAATGGCTTTATCAAAGTCTCAAACCTGAATCTGTGTCGGATGCGGGAGAAGGACACTCTCACCTGCGTGGTGGAACGCACTGAGTTCAACTCTTGTGGAAAAGCAATAAGGCAGTATATCTATAAAGCACGATACACCAAAGTAGACCGTACCATTTGATCCACAAATCCCACTAACTCGGGCATTACGCCAAAACAATAAGAAACACGCAAACAACTAAACAACAGCCACTAGTCGACTACGAACCAAAGTTTCATACACACAATTCAATCAAGGCTGATAGAAACAGCCAACAGACAATCAAACTCCCAACGACCCGACTCATAAATATAGGTATAACACAGACTAACAAAAAATAAACCATCCGGACTACTATATCAGCATCTAAGAAACGGCTAACATACAAAGCACACGTCCTTTCCCTACCTATTTCCCTGGTATAAAAGAACAAGCTGACCAACCATTAAGTGCCAAAGTTCAAGAATCAAGAACAAAAAGCACCACATCCACCACGAACCCACTCCCAAACAACCCACCAATGGCATATAATAACCTGACCAGGCACCTAAGTGGAACCATAGGTACTACAGTCAATAAGCGGTATTGGCAGGTGCGAGGGGGGGTGGGGTATAATACATATACTAATCATGAGATGTGCACCATCTGGGGGATGGTCATGCTGGAGACTCAGACTTGTGGGGGGAGAGGGGGATTGGGCATTTATTGAAACCATAAAATCTGTACCCCCATAATATGCCGAAATAAAAAAATTAAAAAAAAAGAAAAACACAGGCAGCTTCAAAAAAAAAAAAAGCCAAGGAACTCACAAATTTTTCAGCTGAGCTCCTTCTTTCATAGCTCCATTGGGAAGATGATCGTAGAAGTGAGCTGAAAGACACCTCTTTAAAAGATCCTTCTTTCCAATCAATGCCTTTGGGGCATCGGACGAAGTTCCCTAACTCAAGGTTTCTCATCTTCACGCCAAATGTCATCCCACTCTTTAACTTGTCTACCTCCTCCCACCCCAACTGCCAAACCTATTGCTCAAAGTTCCCATAGGATTCCAGCCCTGTTTATTCTTCCCTTCATCTCCTACAGTGACACAAAGGAGCTGTCATTCAGAGAGGGAAGTGAGAAGCAGATTCATTACCAAACGGAAGAAATCATTACCTTTAGTGTCTTATATAATCCTTTGAGGGCCAAGGACAGGACCCATGTTGCTTCCACTGCCTCAGGACAATGGCTGTCCATGCTGGTTTGCAGAAGGTGACTGGCAATGAGGGCAAAGTGCTGGGAATATTGGCTGAGCTGGGCCTGAGAATCACTGCCTTCTTGTCCTCCTCCCTTCTGGACCAGCTGGTAGTCCTTCACTGAAGAGTGACGTCAAGCAGGAAGAGAAAAAGCACAAAAAATACAGTAAATGATTCCTGCAGCTAACTAAGTTTCTTCCACAGTAATGTGCCTTACTAAAGTAAGAAGTGCAAAAACACAAACTCCCAGGCTTAATTTTAGCCATTAAGGCCAGCTTGTAGGTAAGTACAAAAATAGTTATGGCCACCTATCCACCAAGTAACTGAGAGGGACAAATCACATTCCTACTACTGTGCACAAGCAGTTTGCCTCCAAAGGTGTTAACAAAGTTCTCAAAAATAATACATGTGACTTTAGGAGGCTGAGGCAGGAGGATCACTTGATGCCAGGAGTTTGAGACCAGCCTGAGCAACATAGCAAGACCCTGTCTCTACAAAAAAATTAAAAAATTAGCCAGTGTGGTGGCATATGCTTGTCGTCCTAGCTACTTAGGAGGATGAGGAGGGAGGGTCACTTGAGCCCAGGAGTTTGAGGCTACAGTGAGCTATGATTGCACCACTGCACTCCAGCCTGAGCAATAAAGTGAGATTGTATCTCAAAAAAAAAAAAAATTTGTACACATGAGATTTCTACTTCCAAACAACATGCAAAAGGTATTGGATTTACTTTTCTACCTTAACCAGAACACTAAAAAAATATGAAACAATGGTTTGCAGATATTAGGCAATAGGTAGTACAGGACTATGTTCCTTGAGAGAATAGATATAAATTAGGTCAGCCCTCTAATAACACCATCTGGAGATAATTTCTAGGATGCAGAGCAGAGAGCAGAAATCTAAGCAGAGTTCAGTAGCCTCAGTGAATTGAAGAGACAGAGATGAGAGTTCAGGGAAATTAAGGCAGCTAGAGAATTTGCGGGGCAGAATATCACAGAGAAGCGAGATGCACAGACAGAGAGGTGGGTGGGAAGAGCTTTCCAGAGAAACTTCCTCACGAGCCATTGCCTCAGTACTGATTTATACATATGTGAGAAGAAACTATCTAATGGCAGGAAAAATAACTACCAAAAAGTGGTAGGCGGAACAATTCCTGGAGCTTACACAGAGCTGGGACTATTTTGTCTTCCCACCAGCCTGAGAGTGGAAGTGTCCTGGTTGTGGGGGTGGGGGATATTTGAAAACATGGTGGTCAAAATTTTTCCAAATGTGATGAGCACTATAAACCCAAGGAGCTCAATAAACCCCCAAGCAGAAGAAACACAAAGAAAATCATGCCAGGGCACACCATAATCAAATTGCTGAAAAAGCAGCCAGAGAAAAGAGACACATTACAAAAAAATAACAAAAAATAAGAATGATAATAGACATCTATATAAGCCAGAAGACAATGGATCAATATCTTTAAAGTAATCAAAGAAAAAACTCTTAGCCTAGATTTTTTTTAACCAGCAAAATTATCTTTCAAAGATGAAGTAAAAATAAACATCCCCCAGACAAACAGAGATTTTGCAGCAGCCAACTTGTACTACAAGAAATGCTAAGGGAATTTTTTTCAGGCCCCCCACCCCTAAAAAAAGATACCAGGTAGAAAACTGAATCTATACAAGGGAATGAAGAACATCAGAAAGGGAAAATATGTGAATAAATATAAAAGCAATTGTTTTCTCATTTTTAAATCTTTAAAAATTCTCACTTTTTAAAGCAAAATAATATTGTGTTGTGGGATTTATATTATGTAGAAGTAAAATGTGTGGTAACAGCAGCACAAAGAACGGGGTTGGAGAATAATGTTGTGATGTTTCCACACTCTATGTCAGGTGTCCTCAAACTACGGCCCGTGGGCCACATGCAGGTGTTTTCGCCCATTTGTTTTTTTACTTCAAAATAAGATATGTGCAGTGTGCATAGGAATTTGTTCATAGTTTTTCTTAAACTATAGTCCAGCCCTCCAACGGTCTGAGGGACAGTGAACTGGCCTCCTGTTTAAAAAGTTTGAAGACCCCTGCTCTATGTAAAGTGGTATAATATTATCTGAAGGTAGATTATGATGAGTTAAAGGTATATAGTATAAACCCTAGAGTAACTACTAAGAAATTATTTGAAGGTAGACTATTGTAAACCCTTGAGCAACACCTAAAAAAAAAAAAAAAAGAGATAATTAAAAAGCCAATAGTAGAAATAAATAAAATAGAATCATTAAGCAAAACAAAACAAAAAAATCCACAAAAGGGAGAAGAAGAAAAAAGGAACAAAGAACAGATGAAGACAAATAGAAAACAAGTAAGAATGGCCGGGCGCGGTGGCTCACGCCTGTAATCCTAGCACTCTGGGAGGCCGAGGCGGGCGGATTGCTCAAGGTCAGGAGTTCGAAACCAGCCTGAGCAAGAGCAAGACCCCATCTCTACTATAAATACAAAGAAATTAATTGGCCAACTAATATATATAGAAAAAAATTAGCTGGCATGGTGGCGAATGCCTGGTCCCAGAACTTGGGAGGCTGAGGCAGGAGGATTGCTTGAGCCCAGGAGTTTGAGGTTGCTGTGAACTAGGCTGATGCCACGGCACTCACTCTAGCCTGGGCAACAAAGCGAGACTCTGTCAAAAAAAAAAAAAAAAAAAGAAAACAAGTAAGAAAACAGAAGATTTAAATTCAACCATCTTGATAAATGGATAAAATGTAAATGCTCTAAACATGTCAATTAAAAGGCAGAGACTGTCAGATTGGATTTTAAAAAAGTAACCTACTATGTGCTTACCTACAAAAAAATCCATTATAAATGTAAAGATATACGCAGGTTAAAGTGAAAGGATGAAAAAATATGTGGAACCCATGGATACAGAAGGCCGACTATATTTTAGATCCAAGGTTGATTGAACCCACAGATATGGAGGGCCAACTATAAGGAACTTGAACATCTGTGGATTGTGGTATCCAGGTATCCACGCCTGTAATCCTAGCACTCTGGAAGGCTGAGGAGGGAGGACTGCTTGAGCTCAGGAATTTGAGACCAATCTGAGCAAGAGCGAGACCCCGTCTTTACTTTTTAGTAAACTTTAGAAAAATTAGCTGGGTGTAGTGGTGTGCACCTGTAGTCCCAGCTACTCGGAAGGCTGAGGCAGGAGGATGGCTTAAGCCCAGGAAATTGAGGTTGCTGTGTGCTAGGCTGACACCATGGCTCTCTAGCCCAGACAACAGAGCGAGACTCTGTCTCAAAAAAAAAAAAAAAAATTCAACAAAGGTGCCAAGATAATTCAATGGAGAAAAGATGGTCTGCTCAACAAATGGTCCTGGAACAAGTGGATGTTCATGTGCGAAAAGAAAAAGAAAAAAAAAAAAAAAGAAGGAACCTAGATATTTACCTTATACCATAAACAAAAACAGCACAGACACTGCCTAAAGCTGAAGCTGAGTGAGACAGCAGACTGCTTCACGAGCAGAACTAGGAACATAATGGTTAGATACTGCAAATTGTTTAGGGTTTGGCAAATTAAGTCAAAAGGGCACTTAAGATATAATACTTTCAATATTCTATTGATGAAACAAAATGGAAAGTTACATGAACGCCAACACAACTATTTTAAGTGTAGTCACGTGACTCCACAATGTTTAAATTACCCATTAGAAAACAAATGACACCAGCATATGGAGAAATGAATGTCCAGAAAGTAAATATCTGGCTAACCAAAAAAACACAGAGCCATATACACAAAACAACAGCATGGAGAGGGGCCTTCAAAATTATCCCAATTCAGTCAACCACATCATTCCACAGATGAAGAGAAAGAAGTTTATGTTTTTAAAAATCACATGCAGGGCAAGAACCAGGGTATCTTCATTGATTTATGGTACATAAGGATTAGACAATTTTCTTTCATTTTTAGAAAAAATCATTATGTTTGGGACCTGTTTTCCTTTTCCGAGTTTTGACATCAACGATCACAGCCCTGTTCTTCTCAGTAAAGTGCTTCAAGATGATCACATTGTGGGGCTCATTGGCATTATCCATATAGACACAGCGGGTGCCCACACAGAGGACCTGGGACATGATAGAGACAGAGAAGGCAACTCAATAGCACATCGAGACAGGAAAGAGCACTTAGCAGAGTACAAACCCGGCCCCTTTGGCCTGTGCCTCTGACTTCAGCCAGCACTCAAGGAAAGGGTTCTTCTCATCTCTAGGTCCAAACGGCCTGGCACAGAACTGGTTTAAGTCCTTACGGGATGAAGCCATGTTTCTACAGTCCCCTTTGTCCCAATCAATTGAGAGACATGAAGATTAGAAATAAGATCAAGATGAATGCCAAACTGAATGACAATTGTTCTTTGAAGTTCTTTGTAATTTAATATATTAGTTACATATTATTCAAAGACAACTATTGACTAATAAAATGAATCAAATGACTAAAATGTTAAAAGTGCAAGTTGAACAAACCATCCCACAAACATCCAAAGAGAGATATATACACATATGCCAGAGAGACTTTGATGTACAGGCTGAAGATGGGAAGGGGTGGCCAGGCCTTCAGAGTGTGGTACCTGGGGGAAGCCGACCAGCACAAGCAGGGTGAAGATGTTGGTGTGCTTCAGCTGGAAAGGCAGCTGCTTGATACAGTGGTCTGTGAAGGTGGCAATGACATCACGCCACAGTGGGGCACTGTTGAGTGACCGCAGGATCTCTGCCATGGAGCACGCCCAGTCCAAGCCCACCCGGCTGGAAGGCAAGAGCTCCATTAAGGGCAATGCACAGGGCTCCAAGCTCAGCTCATCAGAGCTAGCTACACTCCAGGCAGACCCAGAGACGTGCAAAGAGCCATTCATTAATCAGCTTAAAAACGACCAGAATAATGCTTTTCATAAAATGGTGAGCAATAAACAAAATTAAGATGACACTTACATACTCAGTCTACAACTATGTTCTCAAAAATCTTCATAAAAAGTCACCCATGCATGTGTGTGCACATGTACACTCACATTCTCTCTCTCTCTCTCTCTCTCTCTCTCTCTCTCTCTCTCTCTCTCTCTCTCTCACACACACACACACACACAAGCTTAGAAGGAAATACAGTAAAATAGCACCAGTAGTATTAATATGGTACAAGTCAGGGTGATTTCTTTTTCATTTCTGTTTTTGCAATTTTGTATTGTGGTAAAGCTACTTTTATAATGAAAAGATTTATTTTCTTCAACCCCAAGGCCTACACTTACTGCTCTCAGGAAAAAACAAATCAGCATATATATCACAGAGAGCTGAATCAGCAGACAGTGTTGAGACTGCTCAGTTGTTTTAATGTGGGTTTTAAGCATTGCTATAATGAGGGTTGCCACCGCATTGCTAATAAACCCAATTCTACTCTCACAAAAGATGCTCAGACAACAGTGCTGTAACACACTTAAATTAATTAACAGCCAGACCTTTGACTTAAAGAAATGAACACCAAGGTGGGGTAGAGTGGAAGCGGCTGGGGGAGTGAGAACCAAGGCTACCTGTCCAGACACACAGCTCCCAGGCTAAAGAGCAGGTGGGTGGTCTTCCAGCCGTCTGGCACAATGGAACTGTCCCCTGCAGCAAACAGGTTATGTTTGGCCGAGAGGACCTTGATCACCGCAGCATCTACCTCTGCTGGTAAAAGACGAAGGATTAACTGGCCAAGAAGACCCAGGGTGAGGTGGTAGGTCTCATTCAGGTGGCCTGCGTTTGAGATGACAACCTGAAACATCAGTGGGAGGACATGCTCCAGGTCTATCAGGGGGACTGTGGGACCCTGCCAAAAGAGGGAGAGAAATCGGTTCAGTACAAAATCCATGTAATCACACCAGCTGAACACTCCATCCCCCTTGCGTCTTATTTACAACTGGCCTAGTGCCAATGGAATTATGCAGTGGCTTTCATTAATGCCACAGGTACAATTACTTATAAAATAAACATTCTTAGGTATCATCTTACAATCCTACTCCTAATATATGTTTACCATGAAAAATAAACTTAAAATATTGGTCCCTCCCTACCCCGATATGTTTGTTGAAAATAATTCAAATAATTCAGAAATATAGGAAAGTTAAAACTTCCCATAATCCCCCCAGGAGACAACAAGTGTTAAAAGCTTAATGAATAATCTTTCAACTTTTTTCTATATATGTTTATATATATAAAATAAATTTTAATTTTAAATAAAGTTATTTTTCTTTCTTTATTATCATTTTTTATTTTTATTGTTTTTAAAGACAATGTCTCATTCTGTTGTCCAGGCTGGAGTGAAGTGCATGATCAGAGCTCATGGCAGCCTCCAACTCCTGGGCCCAAGCAATCCTCCCTCCTCAGCCTCCTAAGTGGCTGGGACAACAGGGTATGGCTGGCTAATTTAAAAAATTTTTTTTGGTAGAGACAGGGTCTCACTATATTGCTCAGGCTGGTCTCAAACCCCTAGTCTCAAGTAATACTCCTACTTCAGGTTTCCAAAGTACTGGGATTACAAGCATAAGCCACTGTGCCTTGCCTATTTTGCTTTGTTTAAATATGATCCTGCAACTTACTTTGTTTCCAACTCTTGTTTATTATAAACACCATTTAGATAAACAGCCTAGAACATACATTTCTATACTTATACCACCTGTTATTTTCCATTGGAAAAAAATACACAAAACTAAAGAAAACTTTTACAATGTTTGAGTTATTATCCTCAGTGTGATTCAAGAGGGCACTATATCCCATAATACGAAAACAAAGCAATTAAAGAACAAAAAGTTCTTGGAAATAAAAAATGATTCTCCGCCAGACACAGTGGCTCACACCTGTAATCCTAACATTCTGGGAGGCCGAGGTGGGAGGATCACTTGAGCTCAGGTGTTGGAGACCAGCCCAAGCAAGAGCGAGACCCATCTCTCTACTAAATATACAAAAAATTAGCCAAGTGCAGGGGTGTGTGTTTGTAGTCCCAGCTATTTGGGAGGTTGAGGCAAGAGGATCACTTGAGCCTAGGAGTCTGAGGTTGCAGTGAGCTAGGCTGATACTACTGTACTCTAGCCAGGGAGACAGAACAAGACTCTGCCTTAAAAAAAAAAAAAGGATTCTTAAGAAGATATCCCTCTGGGGGAGGGGCCTGGCAGGATGTGAGAGCACTGGTGGGGTGAGAAAGGCATCCGTGCCTGGGAGGGGGGTGAAGAGGGGATCAATGAGGAAGGGCAGCCTGGTATAGGCTTCTAAGCCCAGGTGGAGAGGTGAGGGCATCCATGTGGGGAGCTCAGCCTGGCATGGGCAGAGCCCAGGCAGCATAAGGAGAGTGTTGCCACTGAGTAGCAGCCTGCTGTGGGTGAGGGTGGCCTCAAGGCAAGGGGGCAACCTGGCACAGAGAGATAGACCCAAGTGTGGTGAGAGGTATCCATGTAGGGGCAGGCCCATGTGGGCTTTCCAGAGTCCAAACAGTGAGCGGAAGACACCATGGAAGGAAGAGTGGCAGCCAAGATGGAAGACTGATCAAGTAGGTACTTATATGAAGGATGATGGGATCCAAGAGTCTCACTGTTAAAGACAGCAGTTACAAATACAAAAAAGGAGAAAACTAGAATAAGCTTTGTGGTTTTAGATGTGAATTAGAGATTCATGAATTCATAATTCATCTCCTCTCTCTCCAAATCAGGGTTTCTCAACCTCAGTGGTATTGATATATGGGTCTGATAATTCTTATCTGTGTGTGTGAAGGGGGGTGAGCAGGTGGTGCCTGTGCATTTTAAGATGTTTAGCAGGATCCCTGGCCTCTATCCCACTAGATTTGTGTAGCACTCCCCAAGTTGTGACAATCACAGATGTCTCTGGGCATTGTCAATTAGCCAAACTGAATGGCCTCCGCTTTGGGGACCACTGCTATAAACATGAAAGAAATAGATAAAGCACACACATACACACACACACACACATGCACGCATGTACCCCCTAGCTTTCTCCATTGAGAATGTTTTGGAGCAGTGATATCCTGGTTAGCAATGAACCTATCTAGTGCTTAAACCTTGGTTTCTAAATACCATTTTCTACCAAATGGAACCAGGTCACCTTAGAGTCCAGGCTGAGCCCAGGGCTAGGGGAAAATTCAAGAAGCGCCTAAAACATCTGTGCCCCCTAAGAAGGAGATATTAAAAAAATGGGATATGTCAAAAGAACATGGAATGCAGCCTGAATGGGCTCCCACTGGCCAAATCCAGAACAATTTAAGCATCATAATAAGTAATGGACCCTAACTGATGCTAAATAAATGAATAAATTAATAGTTTTAGGAAAAATAGGATATTTACATAGTTTCAAAGATTCTCCCCACTAAATATTTCCTAATAACAAAGGGGAAAAGATTACAATGGAAAAAGCTGGCTGAGACCTCTTACTTAAGTGATCAATGTGAAGATCAGTAATGAAATAGGTCAAACCGTGTTCCTGATAGGCTGCAGTGAGTACGCAGCATCACGTCTGTGATATTTCTGCCCAAGATGCAAAACCTGAATCTTATCATGAGGAAACATCAGACAAACCTAAAGAGGACATTCTACAAAACAGCTGGCCTGTAATCTTCAAAAGTGTCAAGGTCATGAAAGTTAAGAAAGATGGATAAACTGTTTAAGATCAGAGGAGACTAAGAGAGATGATATCAAAATGCTGCATGTTAATTCTGATCCTTTTGTTATAAAAGACATTTTTGGAGCAACTGGTGAAAATTCAGCGGGGGCTAAGGATTAGAGGGTAGCAATGTATCAGTGTTCATTTTTCTGACTTTGATTGCTCTCTAGTTGCACAGGAGAAGCTCCTTGTTTCTAGAAAACACACACTAATGTGTGTGTTTTATTATTATTCCTTCATATTATGGGAGTACAAATATTGTTAGGGTTACATATCTTGCCTCTGCCCCCCTCCCCCACCCTGCTATGCCAGAGCTGCTAGTGTGTCCAGCCTCCAGGTGGTGCACGCCCACCCACCACGTAAGTACATAGCCTTCCCCACCTCCCCCCTTACGCCTGCCCACTTCCCGATTACAGATTTTTTTTTCAGACATTTTGGTTACAATGTGTATCTTTATCTCTCCCTAAAAAGGGATATAGGTAATCCCTTCCCCCCCACAATGCTTACCACTTCCTTAAGATCACACACTAATGTATTTAGGGGTAATATTGCATCAACTTGGCAACTTATCTCAGACAAAAAATTACTTGTACTGCACCTCCAACTTTTTTTTTTTTTTTTTGAGACAGAGTCTCACTCTGTTGCCCTGGCTAGAGTGAGTGCCATGGCGTCAGCCTAGCTCACAGCAACCTCAAACTCCTGGGGTCAAGCAATCCTCCTGCCTCAGCCTCCCAAGTAGCTGGGACTACAGGCATGTGCCACCATGCCCGGCTAATTTTTTCTGTATGTATTACTTGGCCAATTAATTTCTTCCTATTTATAGTAGAGACGGGGTCTCGCTCTTGCTCAGGCTGGTTTCGAACTCCTGACCTCGAGCAATCTGCCCGCCTCGGCCTCCCAGAGTGCTAGGATTACAGGCGTGAGCCACCGGGCCCGGCCTGCACCTCCAACTTTTATGCGAGTTTGTAATTGTTTCAAAATTAGAGAGGATATGGAGCAAATGACACTTTCATATACTGTGTGGGAGTGTAAACTGATGTAAATGTTGAGGGAAACCACTGGCCTGCATTCATGTGTTCACTGAAACACATGTACGAGCATGCTCACGGCACCATGTGGAGTAGCTCCAAATTAGAACTTACTCAAATGCCCAACAATAGTAAAAAGAACTTTAAAAATCATAATATATTCATATAACGGGACTCTAAATAACAATGAGAACAAATAAGGGAAAATAATCACAGTAACATCGACACACCTTACAAACATAATGTTGAGTAAAAGAAGCCAGACACAAAAGGAGCGCATAGTCAGTTTATGCCATCTTGATACTGGACTTCTCATCAGTAACAATAGATGGTAGAAGACCACGCAAAATATTCATAGAGTTCTGAAGGAAAAGGCCTGTGCCCTAGAATTCTATACCTAAACTATCCTCATGGGAAAGAAGAAAAGAAAGAGAAAGACATGTAGTCTTTCCTAAAAAAGTATTTGAGGGGCCGGCCACAGTGGCTCACGCCTGTAATCCTAGCACTCTGGGAGGCCGAGGTGGGTGGATGGCTCAAGGTCAGGAGTTCAAAACCAGCCTGAGCAAGAGCAAGACCCCGTCTCTACTAAAAAAAAAAAAAAAATAGAAAGAAATTAATTGGCTAACTAAAAATATATATACAAAAAACTAGTCGGGCATGGTGGCACATGCTTGTAGTCTCAGCTACTTGGGAGGCTGAGGCAGAAAGATTGCTTGAGCCCAGGAGTTTGAGGTTGCTGTGAGCTGGGCTGACGCCACAACTCTAGCAGGGGCAACAGAGTGAGACTTTGTCTCAAAAAAAAAAAGTATTTGAGGAAGTATTTTAGCAAAACAAAAAGTGAATTAGAATAAATAATTCAGGAGGAAGAAATAGTAACCAATCAATAATGTGCATCAAAACAGTAACTATGAATAATTAATTACAATGTGGTTCATAAACTCTAAAGAAAGTAATTAAAGAGAGGTCAAATCTAAATGATACAACAACAAACCCCAAACCAACCAACCAACCAAACCACGCAGAGCTAAAATTACATATGATTCGAACACTTGGAATATGATGAGGGAAATAAAAGCATACAAGGTCTCATCTCATTTGGGAGAAAAGGCAAAAAGGTAACATTGTTAATTAACAAAGAAATATAAGTTGAAATAAGTAGGCAAAAATTTAACTACAACCATGATTAGATTAAAAATATGATAGACTTCATAAATGATTAGAAAAAAGAAAAGAGAATTTGGGAAGATGCAGGGAAAAATGTGTATTGGAGCAAGGCTAGAGTAGGGGACAGTTGACTGGCACAGAGCAGTTATCTCATCAGAAGTGAGCTGACTGCCCGCAACACAAATGGTTACCACAAAGCTGGGACCAAGTCAATAAAAGGTCACTCTTATAGTGAAACTGGCAAAATCAACATAAAAAGGCTAACAGCCAATTGTAGAAGGGCCCCACTCTAAGAGACGGTTTCTCAATGTGCTGCCCAGTGAGATGGGGGAAAGATGCAGCTCTAATTAACACTGAGGCAAATGAAGCAAACAGGAATCAGTCATGGCTATTGGGACAGAAGAAAGGCTTAAGCTGCTGTGTCTGCTCAAAGTCTCCTACGGCGGCGGGGGAGGGAAGGCAAAGACCAGAGTGCTACTGCGCTGTCCAAGCCCGAGGGTGCTGATTTCAGAGGCGCATCCCTTTCAGACAGACATGCTAGGTCAGGCCAGTTCAAACCCATCTTCAAAATATCCTTCACTCTTCATCCTAATTCCATGTGCACCAGACAACCTTCTGAGTTACAGCGTGGTCATCCGGGTGGATTTATATACCAAGAGGGAATACATATTGATTTTCCTGCCAGACACATGTCTCTGTGAATTGTGACTGATTTAAAAATTAGCCTCGACTCCCACACAAAAGTTGACTCCTCTGAGTCTGAGCATCTCCAGGCAAACTGCTAAAAAAAGTCCTTGGACCCAGCGATCTGAAGATCAAATCTTAGGTCCTGGGGACATCTCCCCTTCCCCAAAGTCCTGTCAACTTGGGAAGTCCTGTTTCAACAGCCTGCCATCTCTGTCTCTGATTCCTCTCTGTTAACTGAAAAATAGGAAACTATTGTAAAGACGTCAGCTATTCCTAAATTAACATATAAATTCAGTGCCAGCCCAGTGAAAATGCTAATAGGATCTTTCTTTAACTTGATAAAAATGATACTAACGTTCATATGGAAAAAATATGCATGCAGGAATGGTCCATAAAATTACAAGAAAAATAATGAAGACATATCTAAACTGTCCAGATTCTTTAAAGATGTCAGTGTTATGAACATTTGAAAAAAAGGCAAGGGAAATAGATTAGGGGAGACTAAATCAGCATGACATCTAAATACAATGAGATTCTTAAATGGATCCTGATTTCTTTTTTTTTAAAAAAAAAGCTGTAAGGCACATTTTGGAAATAATCAGAAAATCTGTGTTTAAGCTATAAGATAAAATTATTTTATCAATGTTAACTTTTTTAAGTATGATAATGACATTGTGGTTGTATAGGAGAATGCACTTTAAGGAGAGACACATGCTGAAGTATTGAGGGTGAACTGTCAATGATGATTTCAACTTATTTTCAAAAGTTCAGGAAAAAAAGCATAAATAGATATATAAATAAGACAGAGATAAAGCAAAATATTAACAATTGGTGAATCTAGGAAAGATCTTCATTTATGGTTCTTTCAAGTTTTCTAGGAGCTTTAAACTTTTTCAAAATAAAAAGGTAGAAAAAGATGATTATAATAATTAAAAATAGTAAGTCATTACATACACTTACAAAACATAGGTCAAAGAAGAAAATAATTATAACTTATAATCCCACCCTTACAGATACAGAGATGACTGCCATTAATAGTTTGTTTCAGTATATGGCTTTCTAAGTTTTTTCCCTACACATAACACCCTCTTTTAAGAAATTGCCCTTACCGACTTTAAGGGAGGTAACATGGCTGCTAGTAAACCCAAAATCCTCTTCTGGGAGCACTCAGCAAATACTTGCTCAGGGCTTGCAGTAACTGCCTTTTCCTCTATTGGCTTCTGAGATGACGCTTCTGAATTCTCAGCATCTGAGTGGTAAAACATCAAACTTTGAATTTTGCATGGTTCTCAGCTGTCCTCTTCTCCAGACGGCTTCCCTGACTCCTGTTTAAATAGACAGCCCTTCCCCAACCTGTCCCACCCCTCCCCCAGGCCCCTGACCTGCTCTGTTGGGCTCAGAGTATTTCATCATCTTTTCACACACTGTATCATTTCTATTTATTGTTTACTGTGTGTCTTTTCTTCAGATTTTTGTTTCTTTCAGTGAAGTATTTCAGACAGCTAGAAATGTTTCTAGAGTGTGGCAGGTACTTAATGAACACCTGATGAATGACTAAACTGCATATGAACCAGGATGCTGGTCCTCAGGGGAATCAGACTCCAGTAGATTTCAATGATCTGTACTGACATGGAGTGACAGCCTGTCTTCTGGAACTTAGAAGCACAGGCACTGCAGAGATGAGCACCAGCACCTTGTAAGAGCTGGCCCCATGGACAGGGCAGAATGCTAGGTGCTCATTCCTGCCTCCGGCACAGAGTACGCAGATGGGAAAGATTCCGCTGCCCTGGGCTGCCACAGGAGGAGGCTGAGGCTGGCTTTAGCCCAGAACACCTGCATGGCACCGATCCTCAATTCTCCTAAGACTCAGCTCTGATTTTGCTGCTGCTATTCTCTGCCACGCAGAGAAGCCCAAACTTTTCAGGAAGCAGAGTCCCACAGCACCTTTCCTGTTTCATCTTCCAGTGTTCTGCTCCATCCCGACACACCTGTGGGAGGGGCTTTTCCACTTTGGAACTTTTGTACATGCTGCTCTTTCTGCCCTGAATACCTGCCCCCACCATAGACCCTAGCAAATTCAAGGTCCCCTAAATCTCTTTCTGTATGAGGCTTTACATGGATTCAGTCTGCTCCAGAGATACCAACCACTGTTAATGCCCGCTTACACCTCTCTTCTGGGCAGAATCACATTCCACCTCAAATTAGTTACCTGCACCTTTGTCCTATGCCCTCCTAGACTATGAGCTCCATGAGGGCAGGACCTATGTGTCTATCTGTCTGAGTCAGACCCTGTGTCATCCCCAAGACTAACACAGTGCGTGGCACATAGAAGGCACTTGTGAATACAGGGAATATATAAGGTATGAAACAGTCAACATGAAGGAAAGATGACTTTCAAAGCATTAGCAGCACCATATGAACAGAACTCAGAAACCATATACCCTTGGTTGTTAGTCAATTTTGAATTGTGTGCAACAGCTCAGGGATGGGCATGTGTGAGTTTTAAGAAGTTAAGTCCACCTACCTGGAAGTTCTGTGGGTGGACTAGCATCTGCAGGCGAACCTGAGATTTGGGTCTGGCATGAAGGATCCTTTATTAACGATATGCTTTCATCTGCCTTGTTTCTCTGCTTATAATCTAAAGGTCTGACTTCCTCATGAACAGCTTTTTCTCTCTAAAAAAACAAAAAGAGTGTAAAAGAGTTAAGGTTTCTTATAACAAACTTTACTCCATTAATATTACAACTTTTTTATCATTAGTCAAACCATCTTCATAGACTAAAAAACTTGAATTCCATTAGAAAATGCCATTCATTTCTTATAATGAATCTATACTCTAGTGAAGATAGTAACCATTGCCTCACATCCTCCTGTCTTCCAAATGGCCCTCTGTCACAGCCTGCAGTCACATGAGCAATGGCTCCATCACAAACCTCTAATACATTCTATTTAGTAGTCAGATACCAAGTATGGAAAGTTCTCCCCCTGGGAAAAAGACAAAGCTGTGAATTTCCTTCTAGTATGCTATGGTAACTACCTTTGATGTACTTTCTTTTTCCCTTCAGTAGAAAACATAAATATTTATTTATAGAATAACTAGACAATTTTTCATATCTAATATCCTTAGTATTACGGAGATACAACTGCATCAAATCTAAAACCTAGAAATATGATACTGTTTTCACTGCCATAGAGAGAACTATTTTATTGATGTAGAAATTGGCATTCTGTAGGCTGTGGGACAGAGTTGTGGGCCATGTACCTTTCCTCTCAGTTTTCTATAGAATTTGCTTTTTTTTTTTAACAGGGTATGTATTCATAAAACGAATCACAGATATCATTTAATCAAAGAAGACTAGACACTAGTTCTAAACCTACACACTCACACCCTCTCTACCATGTTCTAGCATTCTTTTCTAGTTGTTCTCTATTTTAACAAATTGAACAAGCACACATTTGATGCCCTTTTAAGAATTCCATTTGGCAATGAGACTTGTTAAGGAGGCTCCCACTGGAGCTGGAAGACTTTTCTGGGACCAGGAGTCTGGTGGTGAGCAGCCCAGATGGGCAAGGTGACAGCTTTCAGCCTGCATTTCCTGAGAAGGCACTCAGAGTCCCCCAGTGATGGCCTGCATTCCCAAGACCCTCAGGGTGCTTTCCCCTGTTGGTGTACAGGCTTATATGTGGAATGTAGGCAATGTGGGAAGTCTTCTGTGCGTGGTGGAGGTACCCCAGCTCCAAGTCTGGGAAGGCCAAACTTGAATTTACTCTTTGGAGCCAAAGGTAGAGTGTTAGGCAACATCAAACACTCAGGTTATAAGGCACTGCTGTCTCCCAGGGGCAGCTAACTTAACTTATCCTCCTCTCTCTGGATACTGTAACCTCAACATCAATCCTACCCTCAACCTCCTTCTGAGAAAAAAGGTGGTTGTAAGACTGTCCTAAAAGGGTACTGAGACTGGGAGAGCTACTTGCCTTGTTACAATCATACCCTCTGAAAAGACCTCAGACATTGTACTCCCTGTACCATATGGCACTTTGTGAAGGCACTATAATTCCAAAGTTCTGGCAAATAATTTTACTCTTTATCTTCTTTCCTGTTATCACAGGACTATAAAAGGCCACTGCAGTTGCGCCCTATGGCATCCAAGGGGAACTCATTACTGGCCTAAGGCCACTGCGGACAGAATCACCCGAATGATGCCTCTGACTAACACTGGTTTCTTAGTCATTTAAAACAAAAAGTATCTTGGCCAGGTGCCTGTAATCCTAGCACTCTGGGAGGCTGAGGTGGGAGGATTGCTTGAGCTCAGAAGTTTGAGACCAGCCTGAGCAAGAGCAAGACCCTGTCTCTACTAAAAATAGAAAAATTAGCCAGATATGGTGGCACATGCCTGTAGTCCCAGCTACTCAGGAGTCTGAGGAAAGAGGATCGCTTAAGCCCAGGAGTTTGAGGTTACAGTGAGCTATGATGCACTCTACTCAGGGTGACAGAGCAAGATTCTGTCTCAAAAACAAAAAACAAACCCCAAAAACAAAAAACAAAAAGTATCTCTAGTCACTGGAGGGAAGGAAGAGTAGATAACCTTAATAAGGCCCTGGGATTGGCTAGAAGCACATGAGAGTTCAAAAAAAGTGATTTGAACTTAGGGCCGCAATGGGATATGGTCCTTAGGGCCATTGTAGTGGCAACACTCAGGTTCTGTTGCAGGGACAGTGCTGACAATTGTGGCTTTGCCAGAAGACTAAGCGCCTGAGCCAGAGGCAGGATACTATGGTGTGCCCAGCTGCTGGCAGGGCATCCAAAAGGTGGAGACAGCTTAAGAATAAAAATAATGCCCTGGGACCTCTTTGGAAAAAGTCCCATACCAGTTCCCAGGCTGGGAAAGCCTAAGCCAAGCCTGAAACATCTTTCTTATCAAAAATTAAGGAAGTGTTCAAAGAATAATGGCAACATATCAAAAGGACACAAAAGCCAGCTAGAAGGAGTTTCCACTGGCCAAACAATGTGAGCACCAAAATTAAAATCAAAAGTAATAGATTTTAATCCATTGAATAAAAAAACGCCACAAAAAATTCAAGTCCATTCTGATATAAATGACTAAATAGATAACTGGGAGAGCACAGTGCTCATGGGTGGGCTTGAAGGTGAAGGCTGCTGATTTATCCTGTCTCTGTTGATAATGTTCTCTCTGTCCCCACCATAATCTGTGGGAGGTTAAAGTGCTGCTTGAAGAAGAGATTTTGTGGTCCAAAATGTCAACAGTTTAAACACAGGCTTGATTATGTGCCCTGTCTTCCACTGGCTCTCTGGCTGAGTGAAGACAATTACGAGTTTTCATGTTTCTGCCAGCCATTTTTGCTTTTGTGTTCCTCTACACAGAATACATGGGATCCTGGTGAACAATAACCACCAGACAAGGGAATCCTTGACTAGTATAACCTGACACTGCCAGAGGACAGCAACATCAGCGGCTCCTGAGGCGAAGTCAGGGCATTTACAGCATACACTCAAGCTCCGGAGGCAGCACACAGAAGCATGCTGCACTGCTCCACGAAACAACCTTTAGTGTCAGTATCACAGGTTACACCTGGATCCAGAAAGGCTTTTCTGTTCAAGTACCTGTATGTAAATTACTGTGTCTACTTTGTAAACAGTAAGCATTTAGTGTCACCTATTTGTTGACTGAATATAAAAATAGCCACACATATCCAGTGTTCACCATGGGCTAGGAATTAATTTCTCCAGGTACATAATCTTATTCAATCCTTATAAAAACTACCAGGAGGCGGTAACAGAAATAGATAACAATAACATGGAACATACTATGAACACTGTTCTAAGAACATATATTATTAATGGCTCAAAGTGTGTAACAGTGTGTAACTGCTCACAACAACCTTGTTACAGGTAATAGTATCATCTCTATTTTACAGATGAGCAAACTGAGGCAAAAAGACTGCAGTAATATGCCCAAGGCCTGAGAGAGCAGGGATCTGGACCCAGTAGTCTGGGCTGAGTCCCTGCTATGTAGCCTCGTGTACACGGCTCTCTCAGAGCTCAAGCTGCAACTCCGTGTAGTAAGGAACTGTTATTTACACTGCAGTGCACAAAAGGGCCCACCTCTGACAGCGCCTCAGCATCCTGGGCTGCTTTCTTCTCTAGCTGCTCCTCTGATGTTCGGGTGGGGACAGTGACTGGCAGGGCCTGATTTTCTGGGGTGGAGTCACCATCTGGCAATATACCAAGCAGAGCCAGAGCTTTCAGACCTATATGGGAAGCAAATAAGAGAACAATTAAAAGTTTTGATAACAAAGGTTACTTCCATCAAATGCCACAAACTATTTTGCGACTATATAGAAACAGGATGACTGAGTTCTACACAAACCAAATCCTAGAGCAGGGGTCCTCAACTTTTTAAACAGGGGGTCAGTTCACTGTCCCTCACACTGTTGGAGAGTGTGCACTGTGGGCCTGGGACGAGTTGGCTGCTAAGCAGGACAGGAAGTGGCAGCAAAAACACCCAGAGATAAATGTGCTAGGTGGCCCGTATGTGGCCCGCAGGCCGTAGTTTGAGGATGCCTGTCCTGGAATATTGAATACAAACATCTCTGGCTATCTGAATCTATTCAGCTCCTGATCTCAGATGGTGAAAGTCTGAATAGCAAGGGATACCTCTACTTTATTAACAACAGAAGACAAAACATACAATAGGATGTTTTAGAAAACCATAAATATTTTAATTTTATAGTAGCTCCACACAACTAGATTTCTAAATTCCCACTGGCAAAAGGATAACAAAAGGGCTCTGAAGCACTGGCATTACCCACCCACTCCCTAATACAGGTCTGATTCCCTAATGCTAACTAGAACAGAGAGCCCATTATTTGAGAGAAATTTAAATGTCTTCAAGGTTTAACATTCAAGTTATTTTCTTCCTAGCACTCCTCAGTAAAGTCAGATTCATCTAGACATTTTGTTAAACTATTTTACTTGTAAACAGCTCTCATCTAGAATACAGTTGTGTGGAAGCAGATTTGCATTCTAGGTTTAAAAAAGAGTCTAGATTTCTTTGGCAAATTTTGGTAGATTCAAATACTAAATACTCCATCCACAGACATAACGGGTTTTAGTTCTTCATGTAATATTTGAGAGAAATTAAATGCCACTTTAATGCCAACATTTCTCTCAAATGTATCTGAGAACTTAAAATTAAGTTCCACACCAGGGTGAGCCCCTCTTGTGGAAAACTGGATTTTGTTGCCTCTAAGCCGAGTGCAGTATTTTGCTTTTGCTGAGGCTTTTCCTTCACCAGCAGCTGAGGGCTGGTTTCGGTTTCTGCGCGTGGAGAATAGTCACCTTTTCCCTGGTGAGCCTTCATCAGACAGTCCCCAACAAGCTGCATGCACTGGCTCCGCAGGGTGGTGGCACTGCTGCGGGCCTGGGGACCCAGCTTCTCCCCGTCCACGTCCTCCGCGCTGGCCAGGTGGGCGCTGTAGAGGGCCAGAGCGGCGAAGAGCAGCCAGGAGTAGTTGTGGATGTAGGGCTGGATGAGCCTCTGCCGGTCGCTGATCCGGATGGTCACCATTGGGTGGGCTGTGATGCTGTGGGTAGGCAGATGGCTGCGAAGGCAAGATGTAATTTAGGCTCACAAGCTTCTGTGAGGCTCTGAAAAGGAGCACAGGGCCTCAGGGGAGCATGTGCTTGGTCACAACTTGCCATCAGTCAACTCCAGGGTGTGGTTATTGAAAATGTAAAGAGAAATATTGCCCCCCCCCCCGCCCCAGAAAAATGAACACATATAAGCACTGGACATCTCATTTTAGGATTTCACAACCCCCAGAAGACTGTGAACACCAGGTTAAATAAGAATTCCTTACTGGGAATTTGTAAGGTGTGGTAATAGTATTTTGTTAAAGTGAAAAATGCCAATAACTTTTAGAGACGGATATGAAGTAGGTAGAAAGGAAATGATATAAGGTCTAGAGTTTGCTTGAAAATATTTTAACAAAGAGGAGGCTGAGGCGGGCAGATTGCTCAAGGTGAGGAGTTCGAGACCAGCCTGAATGTCTCTATTAAAAATAGAAAGAAATTAATTGGCCAACTAAAAAAAAAATAATAATAATAATAAAAAAATATATATATATATATATATATATATATAGAGAGAGAGAGAGAGAGAGAATTAGCTGGGCATGGTGGCGCATGCCTGTAGTCCCGGCTACTCGGGAGGCTGAGGCAGAAGGATTGCTTGAGCCCAGGAGTTTGAGATTACTGTGAGCTAGGTTGACACCATAGCACTCTAGCCTGAGCAACACAGTGAGACTCTATCTCAAAAAAAAAAAAAAAAAATTTAACAACAAAAAAATGAAAGGAATAAACTAAGCCTGCATAACAAAGTCTCCCTAATTGCTGAATCTGGGTAAAGGGTATATGGTCTACTAGTCTAAATCATCATACTAGTCTACATTTGAGTATGTTTAAATATTTTTATTACAGGAACTTTTCTTTTTTATAGTAAGAAGTCCCCTTTTCAAGTGAAGGAACACATAAAGAAAAGGCTTCATGGCCGGGCGCGGTGGCTCACACCTGAAATCCTAGCACTCTAGGAGGCTGAGGCGGGCGGATTGCTCGAGGTCAGGAGTTCGAAACCAGCCTGAGCAAGAGCGAGACCCCGTCTCTACTATAAATAGAAAGAAATTAATTGGCCAACTAATATATATAGAAAAAAATTAGCCGGGCATGGTGGCGCATGCCTGTAGTCCCAGCTACTCGGGAGGCTGAGGCAGGAGGATCCCTTGAGCCTAGGAGTTTGAGGTTGCTGTGAGCTAGGTTGATGCCATGGCACTCACTCTAGCCTGGGCAACAAAGCGAGACTCTGTCTCAAAAAAAAGAAAAGGCTTCATGACTACGGTCACCTGAGACATACCCATAGGAATATTTCTTTGCTGCATAGCATCCATAGCAAAGATCAAAGTCATCACACACATTGCAATTCATCCTCCGGCCTATGATCAAACCCTGGCAGTGGTCACAGGTAAACTCCATGTTGACCATTTCATGGTCGTCTCCATGGCCCTCAGGCTTTACACCACCTGAGGAAAAAAAACAGTAGTGTGAGGTGGAGAGCAGAGGGCTCCTAGAAGGGCCAGATTCCTAACCCAAACCAATCCTAGCACCAGGGCCACTCCCAGTTTACTACTCAGGAAGGCAGGGGACATAAGCATCCTCTGGAGACCAGAGTGCTTTGCCCAGGTGGTTCTGGGAATATGAATGATATTCTTGGCACAGAATTTCTCAGTAATAGGGTAGTAAACTGACCCCCTTTTTCCAGTGCAACAGTTTGATCAAATATATTACCAATTCCCAACCATGACTGCCATTTGGTGGAAACAAGTCCACAGCTCAATTTGTGAGCTGTCTTCCATGACTCCCTCCTCTGACAAATATTAAGCAGCTGCTGATGTATTGCTGTTAACATGCACTGAGGAGTAATAAGGTTTTTGCTTTTCCTTTTACACTCCAGAATCACAGATGAAAAAGGACTCTGTAAACCCCAGACCCAGTGAGTGAGAATGACTGTCATGAGAGAGACTGGCTGTTCTGGTCTCCTTCTCACTCTAAGTCCAATAGGTCTCCAAGCCCTGTCACAGATCCTACTCAATGCTCCTCACATCTGACCCACTTCTATTCCCACTGTCATGAACCCAATCCAGGCTCTAATGCCCTTGTGACTACTGTGACTGATTTCTTTTAGTTTTGTTTTGGGACAGGTCTCACTCAGTCAACCAGGCTGGAGTGCAGTGGCATAATCACAGCACATAGCAGCCTCAAACTCTTGGGCTCAAGCTATCCTCCTGCCTCAGCCTCCTGAATAGCTGGGACTATAGGCATAAGCTACTGTGTTTAGCTAATTTTTACTTTTTTTAAAGATAGGGTATCACTATGTTGCCCAGGCTGGTCTCAAACTCCTGGCCTCAACTGATCCTCCCACCTTGGCATCCCAAGGTGCTAGGGCTACAGATGTGAGCCTCCATGCCCAGCCCTGAGACTAATTTCCTAAAAGAAACACTTATACAGACAAAACCACCTTCCTCTAACATAGCTCTCACATTAATACTCTGCTTGGAAAAGCTTTCCTACTGTCTGTAGACTATTCAAATCCCTTGGTCTAGTATATCAGGTTCCCAAAATCTGGGCCCCACTTGTCTTAATCCATCATTTAGTTGGACAGACATTCAAGCTTGTCTACCTAAACTCACTATAGATGCTCATTCATTTGTCTCTGGGCTTCTCTGCCCTTGGTGGCGGCACTGTCTCCAATGTTTCCTTCTATCATCCGGTCCTAACTTTCTTCAAAGACCAATTCTCATCCCACCTCCTTCACAAGCCCTCCCTGCAGCAATGCTTCTACTATTTCTAAACTTTTCCAGGGCAGATGTGGTCCTGCACTCCAGCCTGGCTGACAGTGCGAGACCTGTCTCGAAAGAAAAAAACTTTTCCAGAAATAATCTGTACCATTCATTTATAACTCAGCACATATACCATTTATACTGAAATAGATATTCTTTGGATCTGTCCAATCTCCCTGCTGGCCTATGGCAGGGGCTATGTTCCCAGGGCAGGGGCTATGTTACCAGGGCAGGGGCTGTGTCTTTTACTGTTGGCCCATGCACACAAAGAGCATTCAACTGTGCAGTACTGCTGATCTGCTTTGGCTCAGCACCTACAAGTCAAGTGCATGAAAGGATTTTTGAGGCTTGCTTTTGGGTGTGTGTATATTTCACTGCTTGTCAACAATGCATGACTCAGAAGCAATAACTATTTCCTGGAAACTCCACTGAATGTGCATTCCTTGGTCCTGAGTATTTACCAAGTACCTACACCCAGCTCTATGGAAGATGGAAGGATGCCAGATAATGAGAGCTCTGGAGCTTATCATTTAGTTGTGCGATAAGGCCCATGTTTGCCAAAGAATCAGAGAATACCACTGGGCAGTATTTTTATTTAGTACAATGGGAATTTTAAAAAATGACCAGGGCCAGGCGCTCATGCATGTAATTTCAGCACTTTGGGAGACTAAGGCCAGAGGATCACGTAAGCCCAGGACTTTGAGACCGGCCTGGGCAACATAGTGATACCTGTCTTGACAAAAAAAAAAATTAGCTGGGCATTAGATGGTATACACCTATAGTCCCAGCTACTTGGGAGGCTGAGGTAGGAGGATCATGTGAGCCCAGGAGTTCAAAGTTGCAGTGAACTATAAACGCACCACTGCACTCCAGCCTAGGGACCCTGTCTCTAAAAAACAAAAATAACAGCAACAGAAAATACCTAAAAAAAAAATCGACAAGATCACAGAAAACAGAAACGATTATTACTTTATTACTTTCGGATATGGCATACTCAGCCCATGAAATTTACCCAGGAAGCAAGTTTTGCAGAGATCCATGTCACTACACTGCAGACACCGGTAGCGATGCCAGGGGGCAATCTCATCACACCCGTCACAAGAGATGTCCACATTTAACAGGTCACAGTAGCGAGCAATAAACATGTGCATCTGTAAGGCCGAAACAAACACAATCAACCAACAGACTTTCTAATGTGGCAGCTATTCATTAATCAATTCATTCAGTCAATAGGTACGTAAGATGTTCCAGGCATTGCACTAAGTGCTAGAATTTGAAGATGAATAAGCTCAGTGTCTAGTTGGGAATTCCCTCAAGCAAACAGATGATGACCATACAGTGTAATCAGTGCTTTGACAGTCAAATTCGGGAGGCTCAGAGAATGCAGAGGACTATGGCTGCCAGTGGGTGGCAGGAAGGTCAAGGAAGATTTTCCAAAGGCGTTAATTCCCCAGCTGAGATCTGAGGGACAAACAGGTATTAGCTGGGTGGGGGTAAGGGTAGTGGGCATGTCAGATAGAAGGAATAGCAAGTTCTACAGGAGGCAAATGGGGGCAAGAACGACAAGGGTTTATGAAATTGGCAATGATTCAGTAACAAAGGGGAGATAATGTGGGAAAAGTTAAACCACAAAGGGCCTCGAATGCTAGTCTAAAGAGTTACTGACCATTTTTAAGTAGAAAAGTAATGTGCTCAGATTTGAACATTCTGAAAGCTCTCCTGGTTGCTGAGGAAGCAATGAATTGAAGGGGGCAAGGCTGGATTCCGGGAGACTGAGCACGACCAAAGCTGTTAAAGCAACCCATGGCAGGTAATGCGGGGCTGGGACTGAGCAGTAAGCGAGATGGGAAAGGCAGGCAGACGTGAAAGGTATTAAGGAGGCAGAAGGAAGGAATCCTGGCGACTGACTGGATACGGGCCAGTAAAAGGGAAGGGTCAAGAACATCCACACTCCTGGCTTGGGTGCTCAGCTGGACCGTGGGAGTGCCTGCAGACACAGGAAACACTGCCATAGGAGCACTGCTCTTGGCACTTAAAGGGAAACTTTCTGGGGAGTTACTAAGGGTACTGTTTCATGATCAAATTGTTTTACTGGAAATCAATTGGGGGCTACAGTATAGTTGATCTTTAGGACCTAGAAATGAGGGAACTAAACCAGTAAGTAATCACATAGTGGTAGACCATAGCAAACATGCCAGGTCACTTTAGAACTAGAGAATGGCTCCCCTAAGAGACATTAACATACAAGAGAGAAAAAGCCACAAAAAGGCCCAGCTGGAACATTTCATCCAAGCACCCCAGAGGTGCTAATATGAGCAATGTGGCTGGCACACAGTAGGCACTCAATACCTAGAAAACGAATGAATCTGAGGCAGCAGATGCCCAGCACATGTGGTAATGACAAACGTAACACCCAATGTGGAAATGGACGTGGCAGGCCATCTGAGCCTGATGCCTTTACGCATTTGAATCATGTAACTCTGATGCCACGTACATATGGCTGCCCCAAGCTCACCAGGCCACCTTCTGATTGAAATGTGGCTTCCCACATTGCTTGCCTATAGGAAGAGAATGTGCTGCCCCAAGGACACTCGAGCCCAGGCCCTCCAGCAACTCTGTTTCTCACTGTAAATTAATAAATGACACCTAATATTGTATATCAGTCTCATGAGCCAATTTTCCTGAATCTTTCTCACAGGTCAGATCAGTGTGGTTAGATCAGGATTCAGAGGCCTCAGGCTAAAGACCAGATAGGAGGGTACTGAATGCCACCTGCAGCCCTCTCAGGAGACAGCCTGTCAGCACTCCCCCCAGGCAAACTCTCCTCTCCAAACTAGCAAATCACTTCAGGTTACTCTAGTTGAGAGGTCTTACTTTCCTCTGCTTCTCTGGATCTTCCTGGGCTATTTTTTCATACCAGGCCTCAAACATGCCATCCTGACATTCATCCATCCATTCTGAGTTCTGCTTGGCATCAGCAAGCTCATCTTCTTCACTCCATTGGCTGAAAAAGGACACAAAGAGAGAAAAGCATGCCTTTCCCAAAACCAAGGAAGGAACTGGTTAGCAGACTCTGTGTCCTGTGGATCTATTAGATTGGGTATTTTTTAAATTTCTGAGAAGAAAAGGTCAATTGCTTTTCAAAGTCCCAGGATTTGTCAGGTATTTGATAGATATAGACCAATAAAAAGGGAGAAACCCTTTCCATAGACTACAATAGGCAAGGAATTAGAGCTTGAAAGGTTGTACCCACATGGCATAATTCCACTCAACAATCATTTGTGGTGAACCTACTATGTGCCAGGCACTGGGGCCAAATAAAATTTTTTTTTTTAAAAAAAGAAGTTTGATTTGGACATGGTTAGTATTTCCTAGTGGAATCAGCATGAGAAGGGAGCCAGGAGACCCTGTAACTTCAGCTGTACGGCCAGCTGCTATAAGACCTTGACACGTGACTTAGCCCCAGTCCTCAGTTTCCTCATTTCAAATAAAGTTTCAGATAGATAATCTCACAGGATCCTGTCAGATGCTAAATTATAAATTTCCATAATTTTGGTTTTAGAGTTTATTTTAGCAACCAGAATTTTAAGCACAAAAGGGTCTGCTTGATAGCAAATGCAAAATATTTACCAAGCAACCTATACACATTCATTCACGCATGCATTCCAACAAAATGAGTTCAGGCATACTCAGCTCTGAGCTAGGTGCTGTAGGGACTGGTGTGAAGGATGTGGTTCCACCCCCAAAGGCTGTATTGTGCAGGGGCAGACAAAGCTTGAGACAAGGAGCAGGCGGATGGCTAAAGAACCAGCATGCTAATACCCTCCAGTGCTGGGCCCCATCTCTCTGCCAACAGCGCCCCCTGACAGCAGGGCGATGGCTGAGCTCAGTTAATGAGGAGACAGCTTTAATTCTGTCCCCCTTTCTCAAAATAGCTCTTCTGAGAGGGTAAAAATTATCCCAGTGTTGACTCATTCATTTATTTCCTTCCAGTTCTCTTAACACTTGCTTTTCTTCTCCCATTCTCTTCTCCTTTCTCTTCTACAGACGAGTGGCTAAGGAGTAAGCAGACTTAAACACAGTGGAGAAACACTGGTCAAAACTGGGAAGAAACCAGGCACAGTGGCGTGTGCCTACAGTCCCAGCTACTCGGGAGCCTACGGCAGGAGGATTGCTTGAGCCCAGAGTTAGAAGCCAGGTTGGGCAACATAATGAGAACCTATCTCTTAAAAATAAAAATTGGAAAGAAGAAAAAAACCTTTGCATACTAATTTTTCTTAGAATTTAAGTCCTTATAATGTGCAGGAGGTTATAGTGGCTAACATCACACATACATGTAATAAAAAATGTAGAAAAGAATTCTCCAGTTCAACAAGCTATCCTCCAATCTCCAAAAATGCAGAGGACCCTCATGCTCAGAGTTCACAATAGCACCATGACCACCACCAGTTTACACAGCACCACTACTTGTCAGACACTGTTCCAAACACTTAAAGATATAACTCGTATATTCTTCACAACAAGCTTCAGAGGCAGGTACCATTATTATCTCCAGCTCTAAAGATGAGGAAACTGAGGCACACAGGGGTTAAATAGCCTGTCCACAGTAACCCAGCTAATATGTGGCAAAGCCAGGACATTACCCAGTCTAACCCCAAGAGTCTGTGCTCTTACTCCTACACTAGGATCCCTGTATTTCAGAACTGCACTGTGCAGGACTGTGTTCTTACCTGATCACACTGTCATGGACACTTATATTTTCTTGTGACATTTTCATGAGGAGCTCTGGTAACTGAATATCAACAAAGAAGGCAAGATCACCAGGTTCCCAGCCCATATCCAAAAGATGAAGCAGCGCCGTCTGGACACAGGATAAGGCAGGCAGCAAGGACCTAAAGAAGCCATGAAGGTGACAGTTATCAAAGCTGCCCAGAAACAACAGAAATAATGCAAGTCAGTGACCTGCTTTGTTTGTAATTGGAAAGCAGAAGGGAACTCTACATTGCTGGTTTCGGTTCCTTTCAAATTTCTCATACTCCATACAAACATTCTTCAAAGGTTAAGCAAAAGAACTCTGGAAGGTATAAAGTAAGGTTTCCACCCTGCCAGGACTACCACAGAGGCATCTTAAGGTAAAGGACTAAGTAGTAAAAATCACCTCCCGATAAACAGCAAGATCAAGGCCAGCCCCAAACTAGCCAACGTTATGCTATTTCATTTTTACAGAAGAACCATTTGATTTAAGGCTTATATCTAAACCACTTACTAACAAGGAGGCTGGGAAATGGCTTTATATAAGTTTTTTTTTTTTTTTTTTGAGACAGAGTCTCACTTTGTTGCCTAGGCTAGAGTGAGTGCCGTGGCGTCAGCCTAACTCACGGCAACCTCAAACTCCTGGGCTCAAGCAATCCTACTGCCTCAGCCTCCCAAGTAGCTGGGACTACAGGCATGCGCCACCATGCCCGGCTAATTTTTTCTATATATATTAGTTGGCCAATTAATTTCTTTCTATTTATAGTAAAGACGGGGTCTCGCTCTTGCTCAGGCTGGTTTCGAACTCCTGACCTCGAACTCCTGACCTCGAGCAATCCGCCCGCCTTGGCCTCCCAGAGTGCTAGGATTACAGGCGTGAGCCACCTCGCTCGGCTTGGCTTTATATAAGTTTTAAAACTGTACATAATATATAATACAGTAAAAACTGAAAATAACATTCTTAGATAAACCCAGACCAATCCACACTAGATAGAAAAAAGACTGCGAGAAAATATACTAAACTAACATTAGCGATTATCTCTGGAGGGCAAGATTAGAGGTTATTTTTATTTCATCCTTTGTGTTTCTCTATATTTTTAATATTGAACATGTCTTTCTCTTATAATCAGAAAAAATACATTTTTCTTTAGAAATTATAAAGTTATCCAGTACCTGTCATTTATGCTACTAAATCCTTTAATTGCTTTGACCAAAAACAGAACAAGTTGATAGTAAGCATCTCGAATTTCTCTGTGCAGCTCAGCACCGCAGCCTTCCAAGTGTCCAAAATAACTAGAAACAGAGGAAATCACCAACTCAATCGCCAGAACATCTTTTACTTACATAATCATTACTCTTTACACAAAAAAGAGGCAAGCAGCAGCAAACTGAATAAAGCAGCACAGGAACTTAATACAAATATAATAACTTTAGAAAGTAATAGACAAAACAGCAAGTGAATCCATTTGACTAGGTCAAGAGAGTTACGCAGAAGTATGCGGTGACAATTATTTGTCTTTCTTTGTGAATATAAAAACCATCCTTCCCACCACTACTGAATGTCAGACACTGTATTAAATATTGTTCACAAATGACCTCCTTTAACCCTCTGCACACAATCATGCCCACCCCTCTGCTTCCTGCTTCACTGATGACTTTAGCACCAAGCTCATTGTCATTTCTACCTTGATTCTTGCCACCCTGGTGACCTCAATATCCCTAGGAATGATACCTCCATTCCTTTTTATCTCAATTCTCTGCCATCTTCACCGCCAATGATCTTCTCTTCCATTCCCTTAGCCATCCCAGTGTGACGGTTATTTCCTTGACCATGTCATCAGGTGATGGTGTCACCTCTGAAGGCTGAGTTCAGAGCATCCTACTCTGCCTCAGCTTTCCTCCTGCTCACCCACTGCAGGACTCCCACACAGCCCTTTCTTCCACTCCAGCGAGCCCCAGCCCAGGACACTGCCTCCCATTCCACCCGCTACTCCCGCCACGCTTTCTCTTTGCTCCCTTCTCGCCTTAGACTCCATGGCCCACAATCACACCTTGGCAAACATCACCTCCCTTACCTCTTTCTTCCTCCATGTGTTTGCCTGAGAAATTTTATACATCTATCAGAACAGCTGAATGTTGCTGGAGGAAACACCACACAACCAAGCTGACTAGCACCACTTTAAATTCGCAACCATGATTTTCAAGTAAGCACTCAACATTATCAGGCAATCTAGTAGACTTTCTCAGCTTTCATTACTATCTAAAACCTTCCTGCTTCTCCTTAAATTGCTACCACCTCCTTTTCAACCTTCATTTTTTCACTGATGATACAATCCCTTTATTTTATTTAAAAAAAATAGAAATGATCACATAGGCATCCCCTCATCTTTGTACCACTAAATCTACCAACCAACTTGCATCTCTACCATACTATCTCCTCCTGCTACCACAGATAGTGTCTCTCTGGTTCTGTCAAAGGCCAACCTCTCTACTTACATGACTGCTACTACAAATAGTCCCTCTCTTCCTGCATTAAGCTTTTCCTAGGTACTGATTCATTCCCACCAGCACACAAAAGTACTCTAATTATCTCTTAAAAACCTTCGGTTGATCCTACATCCCTCTCCAATTACTGCCCCATTTCTCTGCTCCCCTGTAAGGCCAAATTTCTTGAACTAATTGTCTGTGCTCATTCCATTTTATTGCCCCCATTCTCTTCTCCACCCAGCCCAGTTGGGCTTTTGGTCCCATGGCTCCAGTAAGACTGTTGCCAGTGTGCTTTTTCCTCAAATTCTTACATAAGTATTTGACACAACTGACCATTCTTACCTTGTGAGATATATTCTTCTCTTGGCTTCTGTGATGCCACCATCCCCTAGGGTTTGATCTACCTCAGTGGCCACTCCTTCCTAGTATCCTTTGCTAGATTGCTCTTCTTCCTCTGCTTGACCACGGCTCAGTCCTGGGCCCTTCTTGTCCATCTCTGTACTCTTTCTAGGAAGTCTCATGGCTTTAAATACCACCTATATGCTGATGGCATCCAAATTCTATCCCTAGTCCTAATTTCTTTCCAGAACTTTACACTATGACTTTTGTTTTCTTGATATCTTTACTTGAATATCTTTTCTTGGTATCTTTACTTTACTTTACTAAAAAGCAGCTCAAACTTAACATGGCCAAACAAAACTTCTGATTTTCACCCCAATCTGTTTCTTCCATACTCTTTCCCTCAGTCACATGCATCACCATTCACCCATCTGCTCAAGCAGAAACTCCAAAAATCCTAGGAGTTTCTTTTGCCATGATTCCTTTCTTTCATTTACCCTCTACATCTAATCTATCTGTAAGTCCTGACAATACTACCTCCAACATATACCTGACTCTCATCCTTTCCCTCCATCTCTAGTAATACTGCCAGGTTCAAACCATCACCCTCTCTTGCCTGGACTCCTGCAACAGTCTCCTAACTGCTTTTCTTATTCCCATCATTTTTCACATAGTAGCCAGAGGCATCTTTTACAAATATAAATCAAAGTGTGCTCCTCCTGGGCTAAAAAATCTCCAGTGGTTTCCCATCTACAGCTCAGTATAAAATCCAAATATCTTATGGTGATAAGGCTCCTGCCTAACTTTCTGACCTCATCTTCCCCTTACTTCCTTCCTAATGCTCTTCCTTCTGCCTGATCTCAGCTGGTCATTCATCTCTTGGTTTACATGTCATCTCTTCAGCCTGCCTTTCCTGATCATCCAAACTAGGCCACTTTGTACTAAAACATCATGTAACAATATCACTGCCTGACCTTTTTTTCATTTTTTAAAATTGTCTCTCTCTCCTCAACAGAATAAAAGCTCCATTAGAATAGAACCTTGTTTGCCTTGTCCACAGCTGTATAAATAACACCTAGAACAGTGCTTGGCATAGGAAATAACTCAAAAAACATTTATTGAGGGAATGTTAGAAACACTTTGTGCGTTCTTACATTAATGTCATTACTGTAAATGTGCATATATTTAGCTCACAGCTTTCAGGAACAAATGATGAGTATGGTTATATGAGGAACACAATTCTCACTGTCTGGTAAAATAAGGCTGATAAACTCATCAAGAGGAATAAACACGTTCCTGGTACTTACTTACTAAAAGGATATTAACCAAAAACGTAATGTGTATCCTACATGGAAATGATGGGTTTATTAATTATAGAAGACAAACTAGGATTCCTTTAAAACGATCTGTTTGTTTTCCTTGCAGACCTGTCATTTGCACTTACTTGGTAAAATCTTTCTGGCAGGTCAGAAGTTCCAACAGGAAAAGTATAAAAGGCGGATGGAAGCAGTGAGGCTGTCCGAGGGACTCTGCACAATACTGAATTATCCTCAGGACTTCGAGGATGCTCTGGGCTTGGGCTTTTCTCAAGGAAAGAACCTTTACAACACTGGAGACAGAACTCAAGTCAGAAACCCCAGAAAACTCCTGCGTGGTGGCAGAAGGAAAATATACCCTCCACCCAAGTTCTGCTGCCATATTAATAAAAAGGAAATGCTACTGTGAGGCATTAGAAACACCATGTAGGAAGAATATCAATACCTGTTTATTATTTTTAGTAAACTGACTTATTACAAGTCAGTTCCCACCAACTGTCCAGAAGCCCAACCTGTTTTTAAAAATTAATTAATTAATAAGAAACTTTGATATCTTCACTTCTCCACAGAGACAACAAAGCTTTAATTCTTAGGTCAGGAAATTCCTCACTAATTTAAAACATGCCATACTTCCAAAGATATAGGCCCATGAACAATAATTTTGTCAGAAAATATCAAGTCTTAAATTTCTCCCAGTGTTAAAATAAGACAAATGTTTAAGTGGCAGCTACCAAAATAAATGCTTCCTTTTGCTATTCTAACAGTACATTATTGATATATACTTTACATACAGTATCATGTACAAATCTTAAGTAAAAAAATACTTGTTTAAAGGAAAAAAAATCTTTTTTTTTGAGACAGTTTCACTCTTTGCCCTGGGGTAGAGTGCCATGGCATCAGCCTAGCTCACAGCAACCTGAAACTCCTGGGCTCAAGCAACCCTTCTGCCTCTACCTCCCGAGTAGCTGGGACTACAGGCATGTGCCACCATGCCCGGCTAATTTTTTTTTATATATATTTTTAGTTGGCCAATTAATTTCTTTCTATTTCGAAATCCTGACCTTGAGCAATCCTCCCTGCCTCGGCCTCCCAGAATGCTAGGATTATAGGCGTGAGCCACCACAGCCCGCCTTTTTCTTGAATATTATAAATAGTCTGGATCTATTCTAAATATCATTGCTCATTTTTAACATGAACTCCAAGCCCCCGACTAGACTGGGTACCTACAGCTTGCAAAGAGAAAGTCCTGGGAAGGTAATGACTGGCTCACCTCTCATGCGAGAGCGACTGATCCTTAATGAAGTCCATGACGTCCTTCAGCACAGGGTATTTCTCTTTGACTGTGGGCACAGGTCTGGCTTCCTCCATGGACCGGAAGGAGAGCAGCCGGAGTCGCCCTCTCGTGAAGGGAGGCCTCCGGCTGGGCGTGGAAGGTGACAGGGGCTCTTCCGTTGTGGCAGAGGACACTTCAGCAGCAGGAGGGCCACTGCTGGGCAGCAGCTTCGGACGGACATCCAAGCCAGGACTCCGGTCTCCGGTGGCAGGAGGCGCCCCTTCAGTGGGAGATGCCGAGGCTTGGAAATGTTCTTCCACCACAGAGCTTGTCCTCTGGCGCCTGTCCAGTGGCTGGAGATGATCAGTTTCATCAGCAGTCACCAATTTGTCACAGCTTTCTTTTGAACTTATGCCCATGGGCAGAAATTTTAGTAAGAGAAGACTCTTCTGAATACACTCTTTTGCTAAACACAAAAAATAAATTTAAAAAAGTCAAAATTAAATTTATTGCCTACTTTAGGAGAGAAAACAATCTATTTAAAACTTCACAGTTTAGGGCAAGAAACACCTTCCTTAATATAGTGAGTATATATTACTGACAGAACAGAATCAAATTTTATCTCATAAATCAAGATGTTACCAGGACTTACCAGCACATTTGAAAACGTTTTACTGTGGACATTTTCAAACATATACAATGAGGGGTATAAAGACCCCTCCATGGACCCATCACCCAGGTTTCAGTAATTATCAGCTCAGGGCCAATCTTGTTTCACTCCTACCAACTCTGCACACACCCTGGATTATCTCCATGCAGATCCCAGCACCACACTATTTCCTCTGCAAAAACTTCAGTATATTTCTCAAAAAAACCCCAAAAAACAAAAAACAAAAAAAACAAAGAAAAGTTTTGCTGGACACAGTGGTTCACAACTGTAATCCCAGCAGTTTGGGAGGCCAAGGCAAGAGGATTGCTTGAGGCCAAGAGTTCAAAACCAGTGTGGGCAAAATAGCAAGACCCTGTTTCTAAAAAGAATAAATAAATAAAAATAAAAAAAATTATCCAGGCTTGGTGGCACACATCTGCAGTCCCAACTACTCTGGAGGCTGAGGTAGGAGGATTGCTTGAGTCCAGAAATTCAAGGTTATGATGAACTATGATCACACTCCTGCCTGAACAACGGAGTGAGACTCTGTCTCAAAAAAAAAAAAAAAAAAAAAAAAAGAAAAGAAAAGAAAAAGAAAAATGTTTTTAAAATAACACAATCATGCTATCATTTCAAAAATCATAGTGTTATAATTCTTTAATTTCATCACGAAATTTCAATGTGAGCATACTTTAAAAATATAAGAAGATGTAGCCCAAAAAATATCCAGTGACTCCTGAGAGCAATAATTAGAAAGATGCTCCATTTGGAGCATATCAATGAACATCTACTCCTCTCTAGCATTTTCTCTATTTGTGATACATCTTTGAAAACTACATTTAGCATCTGTATCACTTTCCCTAGGTCAACACAGCCTCAACTAAGTTAATCTAGAAGGCAGGCCACTGGTTTTCTATGCTCTGAAATGAAAACAGAAGGCCTAGTAATGACAGCTGGGATTCGCACACTCACCCAGGCTCTCAGGGTTGGCCTCAGTAGCTTCTGAACCACGTTTTTCTTCTGCTTCATTCCCCAGGCTCATCAGGGACTTCTGCTTCATCTCTAACTGGAGGGAGGATTTGAGCCACATAATTATGCCATCCATGCAGGCCAGCAAGGGCAGCCACAGAAAACCACTTCAAAAGCACACAGTGTTGATATCACAGTGTACTCTGTAGCTACCATTCAGCTATTGAGGACACAGGACTGAGCTGTTCTTGTTTGTCCTAGAAGTCATCCAGGCTTTGAAGCTGTCTAAAAGTGTTATCTGCAGAACTACTTTGTCTTCTGTGTTATTTGGGAGGGGTTCGTAACCATGATCTTATTTAAAAATTTCTAGAACACTGGTGCCAGAGGCTCCTTTATCTAAAGCCCATCTAGCACAGATAAAGAAGCTAAGATCTAGAGAAACGAAAAGCTTGCTAGTGGCACACACCCAGTTTGCTGCAGAGGTTGGACCAAAATTTGGTATCTATTCTACCCTGAATGAGGGGACACCTCTAAGTGAAGCTGAGACTTCCAGGAAGAGAACGGTGCTCTCTTAGTACCAGCCTAGGCAATGGTCACAGCATAGGCCACAAGGCTTACAGCCCAGGTAGATGGCCACATGTGATGCATATGAGCCCAAGGTCTTGAAGAGAAGGTTGGCCTCTTGTCCAACTGTTTGCAGTCTGTCCTAAACTAGAAGCATAATCTACAACATGGCTTCTCAATTGCCAAACCCTTTTTACTTGAACTGTCTGTGATAGTTTACTTTGTCAGACACTCTTTTTCTTTCAACATCTACTACTGCGTTGGTTTCTCTGTCAACACACTTTTCAGATTCTCCTCCCACCATTTTGATGATGATGTCTTAGTTTCTTTTGAGAGATCCTGTTCATCTTGGTCTCTATCTACACAGTCTATATCGGGTACCAACTATGTTCTAGTCACTATGGACTCTATCCAAAGCTGTCTGTTCCTGTATAAACTCATATTTTTAAAAAATAAACTATTACAAATGATTTGACATTATCCCTATCTCAGTCTTGACATTTATGTGAAGCATCAGCTCTTTAGAGTCTTTCATTTACTAAACTCTCCAGCAAATGTCTCAGATAACCTAGATGTCTTTACACTGAACATGTCCCAAACTGAACCTACCTCCCTAATCCCAGATCTAAGACTCTTTTCCTATCCTGGTCAATCCTATCCATCCATCAACTCACCCTAACCGGAACCTGGGAACTGCACTGTATTTCTTCTTCCTGCTCACCACTCACATCAATCACAAAGCCCACAGATTATTTTATCTCCTCCCTTGCAGAAGCCATCCTCATCTAACTACTGCAATTAGTCTTCCGCTTTCAGTTTCATTATCCATTCACTATCCTATTTAAAGACTTTTCCCTCAATTACTGTATAATATTTGAGATGCATGTAAATATATAAAGAACAATAATACTAATACATAGGTACTCATCTCTATGCCCAAGAAATACAAACAATTCTTCTGTATTTGGTGTTTATCATTTCCATGCATTTGTATAATTTCACTACATATTTATATACACAACATATAGACTGGTTTGTGTTTAAACTTCATATAAGTTATATTGTACTTATGCATTCTTCTGCAACTTGCTTTTTCTAATCAAGTTTGTGAGAGCCCTCCATGCTCATATATGTAGCTCTATTCATTCACTTTCATTGTAATATAGTATTAAATAATAACATAGGATTTTTTTTTGTCCATTCTCTTACTGATGAACATTTGGTTCTTCCAGGTCAGTGCTGTCATAAACAATGATGCAGAACCATTTTTCTAAAGTATATACCTGAGAGACCTCCCCTCCACCTAAAACTGTCAATGGGAAAACATATAATAAAACCACAAGCAAAGGAAAGTCACCCCATATCTAAAACAAGCTTTTCGTCCTAGTCTAAAGAGTTCCGTGGAGGGGCCTTTGCAATTACTGAAGGAGAGCTCAACTGAAACCTATTTACTATGAAGACTTTCAATTATTACCAAATTATGATTTCAAGATTTATAAATTATTTTATATCTATTCATGAATATCATTGAACTTTACTTTTAAAAAATTCTGAAGTTGGCCGGACGCGGTGGCTCATGCCTGTAATCCAAGCACTCTGGGAGGCTGAGGCAGGCGGATTGCTCGAGGTCAGGAGTTTGAAACCAGCCTGAGCAAGAGCAAGACCCCCGTCTCTACTATAAATAGAAAGAAATTAATTGGCCAACTAATATATATAGAAAAAATTAGCTGGGCATGGTGGCACATGCCTGTAGTCCCAGCGACTTGGGAGGCTGAGACAGGAGGATTGCTTGAGCCCAGGAGTCTGAGGTTGCTGTGAGCTAGGCTGACGCCACGGCACTTACTCTAGCCTGGGCAACAAAGCGAGACTCTGTCTCAAAAAAAAAAAAAAATTCTAAAGTTATATTCTTGAGAAGAGAACTATTTATATTAATCCATGAAATCATGGTGAGAAAACGTATAATATACTAAAACCACAAGCAAAGGAAAGTCTTACCATCCATATTCGAATCCCATCTGCCAAGGAATACACCTGTGCAAACTCTTCACTCAGGGCTATCTTGCCTCCACTATTTACTGGGGAAAGGAGAGATGAAGAGATTACTTCAGATAACACAATTCACAACTGTAATATTAAGCATAAAATATCTCCATCTAAATCTGCTAAAGTACAGAAAAATTCCTCCTGACACTCACACATTGGGGGTGGTAGGAGAGGCATGGGGAAAAAATCACCAGCTATGCCACAAATACCTATATGGGTTCACTGTGTTACTTTAAACTAAAATGTCTAAAGTCGAAATACTATTAAAAGTGAGTAAAGGCCAGGTGCTATGGGTCACATCTGTAATCCTAGCACTGTGGAAGGCCAAGGCAGGAGGATTACTTGAGTTTGAGACCAGCCTGGGCAACATAGTAAGACCCTATCTATTAAAATAAAAAATCCAGGTGTGGTGGCATGTACCTATAGTCCTAGCTACTCAGGTGGCTAAGGCAGGAGGATCACTTGAGCCCAGGAGTCTGAGCTTGCAGTGAGCTATGATGATACTATTGCCTTCTACCTGGGGTGATAGAGTGAGATTCTATCTCAACAACAACAAAAAGAATACCTGCATTTTTCTCCTGGATTATTAGCACACTCAGTAACTTAAACATCTGTGGTTTTAATTGGAATTTCTCAGACTGTTAGAGCTACTCAAATTTAAACTAATATTACAGATAAGAAAACTGAGGTGCAGAAAGGTTGTGTGATTAACCTGAAGCTGCACAACTTCTAAGTTTTTGCATTGGGACCATGACCCGAGTTAAGGCTTCTTTCCATCAAATTTCTTGGCAGTTTTCCTTGAGAATTCTGGATAATCACTAATTATCTGCTAATTCTGAAACTCAAGGCTACTTGCCCGCCACACATTACAATCTGTTAACTATAAATTGCCCATGAATCTTTTGATTGGCAAAACAGGACTAACAAGATGATGTTTACAGTTGTAGAAATGTGTTTATAGTTTAAAATATTTTAAAATTTTCAGTTAAGATAGGCTTTCTTAAAACTTAGCAATTAGCCTTCAGATCAAAAATATTCCCTGTAATATAAGTTACCATATTTTTGCAGCTTCTCATATAAATCTGGAGTGCGATACACCAGAGCAGCAAAGGTGGCGTTCACAGCTTGATCAATAGTGGAACCAGCAACTATATCTGTCTTTGGGGCCTGTTTTCTACATGCCTGTATGAATCCTTTGCAAAGTTCTGAATATGGCCCACAGAAGTTCTGAGCAGGCTGTGACTGGGCAAAATCAAGAAGAAAATGGCAGCAGGGATCGTCAGAAATGTTCTTAACCTGAAAACAAACAAGGAAAATCCATCATGTTTAGCACATTCGTTCAAAAAATAAAATTGAGCAACTACTAGGCCAAAGCAGAAGTATAAAACATGGTGCATACTCTCAGGAAGTTTAAATCTATTTTAGGAAGACCAGACAGATATATGGATTTAAAAAAAAAGGGTAAACATAAATAAAACATCAAAAGCATTAAAACTAGCACTACCATAAAGCAAAAGATTATCAAGTGCCAAATGCCTAGACGGGATACCCAGTGCAAAGAATTCCAAGGAGAGAGATCCTGGCAGGTTAAAGTAATTAAGAAAAGCCTCCTGGAGGATATGGGCTTTGGGCTGGATCCTGAAGGACGGGCAGGTTTGGCCCTGAGGAACATAACCATTAGCAGAGGTTACGAGTCAGTGGGGAGACTGACCTGGCCTGAAGTCTCAGCTGGGGAGTGGTGGGAACTAGAGTCAGATAGTTAAGGTGAAAGGAGACTGCAGAGAGCCTTGACTGTCACATTGAGGAGTTAGACTTCACCCTGTGGGCAATGGGGAGCCATTAATGGTGCTTGGCAGTGGAATGACAAGATAATGCAGTGATTAAAAAAAAACTCGGTAGGTACCAGTGTCATAATGCAGGTGCGAGATGAGGGCCTGGATAAAGGAGGAGACAGAGGAAGGGACAGAGATGAACATCACAAGGAAGAATTCATAGGTCGTGCAGCTGAATGGACAGGCAGGGTGGAAGCAGGGTGGGGACGAAGGGAATGCTAGGGAGCAGTGGCCTAAGGCCTGGGAAAACAACAATAACAATCACAGAAGGAAGCAGTCGGGAAGACATTCAGTTTTACATTTCTGAGTTAACGGGAGTCAGGAAGGACACTGAAATGGAAATACCTAACAGGAAGACGGAGATAGGTAACCGAAGCCTGGGAGAAGAACCAGGGCTAGAAACTGACACTTAGGAATTAATCCTGCAGATATGACAGTGGACGAGAGTAGAGAGGATGAAGTCTCGGTGGGTTGTGGGAAAGAGGAGGAAGCCTGAATAAAGCCTACACTTTAGAGAAGGAGGAGTAAAGAAAGGTCAATAAAGAAGGCAAATGGAATAGTCAGATGCAAGAGAAGAAGAGAAACTGAGGAAGAACCACTGGATTCAGCAGTTAACTACTGAATAACCTGGGGTGGGGTTGGGGGAGGCAGCGGCGGATGGGGGGAGGGAGTAGTAGAACAGAAATAGAGGGAAGCAGAAATGAAAAATAGAGACAGGGCAGACTGTTTAGCTTTTAAAATACTATGCACCTAAATAATGTGCTATACTTCTATAGCGAACAAAAGGTATAGCACAACTCATTTACTCTAAAGTTTGACTCAGCAGGCACTAGAAATATACTCAATTTGTTTGCTTGATAACTCCATCAAGACAGATTTATGAGCACCTCCTATATTTTGCTGAAGCGTCATTCATTTAATATTTTTGAACACTCATTGAGCACTAGCCCCTGTGGTACACAGTGGAGATGACAAATTCACAAGGGATAGTTTCTGTCCTCAAGGAGCTAACTACTTAACGGGGATGACAAGATATCAACACAAATATTTATAATTTAAAGTAATTAATATTGGTAAACAGTTTCCACTCCAAATATAAAGAAAATAGAAGAGTAAATACCTCCTTACTATCCTGAGGGGGGTGAGTGGGCCAGCTTGCTTCCAATTCCAACTCTGGACAAATCTGATGTCTGAAGACAGGTTTCCACAAAGGGGAGTTTAGGACTAATGCCATTTTTGCCTGAGGTACTGCCATGTTACTTCCTAACTCTGGAAAGAGAAGAAGGCTCATAAAAGTTCCATTTTTTCCTTAATACGCTGAGAATCTTTAAACTGGTAAAGAGAAGAGGAAATTCACCCACATTTACCAGAAGATAATTGTGATACTTCATAAACACATATCACAGATTAACCTAAACTAGTAAATCCTGAAATGCTGCTATTCTGTAGAACAACTTCAGTTACAAGGTACCTGTGAAATGACTAATTTGTTTAGTAAGCTGAAAACAGAATGTGAACCACCTCTAGAGTGTAACAGGAGGCCATTTAGGAATATTTAATTATGGGAAAACATTCATAATTTGTAAACTTAATTTTATAAAATATAATCATTAAATATCCATCATATATATGTTTGAAATAAACATAGAAAAAATACTAGGTATAAATAAATAAAAATGTTAATAATATTTATGATTCTACTTTTCTTTGATTTTTCTCCATTATGTAACCTTTCTATGATATTTCACTTTTACAATGAGAAAAATTCAAGAAATGATATAGAAATAAAATTCATTAGAAAGTTTTATTCTATAATTCTTGTTCCTTGGAAGAATTTAATAACTAATTTGAACAGATCACTTTAAGGTGAAATCCATATTCACATCTCTACATACACTTACATAAATATTCACATACTTAAAGGTACACAATTAATTTATTCTATACTTCTGCCTTCTGGTTGGATTATACCTAACTTGACTTACAAAGAACAGATTAACTATGCTGCTAAAAAACAGTTCCCTCTCCCTCCTTTTCCTCCACAGACAGAGGAAATCCACAGAATCCTTTGTGATGTGTTCCAAAGCGGAGTCAAGCAGCTCATGACAATGGTGACAGGTAGACATTTTATCTAGTTTGGCTTAAGGGAAACTGAAAGGGAACATTATCAACACCTTGCTCTGCCACTGCATGGAGATGGCCTACAATAGAGAGAGCGTGCACCTCGCCCTTCAACATGGTTGCAAGAAGGAAGGAAGGAACAGGGATGTAGACTTACGACGTGCGGACTTGAGTGCCATGCACTGGGAGGCGAGGCGTCCCATCAGCCGGGAGACAAGGAGTTGTAAATCCAACCCCCAAGACACTGCGACGTCAGGCAGGCCATAGGCGGTGACAGTGAATTTGTAGCCCCACTCATTGTTACTGCTGTCAGAGTGGAAGAGGAACTGAAGCCTAGGACCTGCTTTAAAGGTCACTTTCTAGAGACAAACAGAAGTCAAGTGGTCAAACAGGTTGGAGGAAGAAGCATTTCAATAATAAGCAAGCTCTTGGAGTCTCAACATCTAAATTTAAAATGGGGAGGTGGGACTAAAAAAAATAAGGAAAAATAAAAAAGATAAAACTGGTCTCAATTTCCACAAGTTCAAAACTACGAGAGGAGAAAAGTACAAAGGGCTGACTGAAACAGAAAATTCATAACTGTACCTCATGAGGAAGCAGCATTGGCCAAAAATTGCTACTCAGCTTTCTAAACCTTGGATGAGCACGTGCCCACTACCTACTCAGCCAGGGGTCATGCCTGCTCATTCCTTTGCTCCCAACCCACACCACTGATAGCAAAGAAAAGGTCAACAGTCTGAGCTACCACTTAACCTCCAGCCCGGGAGAAGAAGCGGATCTAACTGTGAGGTGGACTCCTGGCTTTCACTGCCATGATCAGGGCCATCTTCCTGGACCCATCAGCCCTTTTTCACTAAGGATGTAAGCTCCCCATTTACTCTGGACAATGTTAATATAAACTAGTGGCTGGAAAACTTTTAATGTTATAGGGCCAGGCAGTCCAGGTGGCTCACACCTGTAATCCTAGCACTCTGGGAGGCCAAGGTGGGAGGATCGCTTGAGGTCAGGAGTTTGAGACCAGCCTGAGTAAGAGCAAGACTCCATCTCTTCAAAAAACTGAAAAAATCACCCGGGCATGGTTGCACACACCTATAGTCCCAGCTACTCGGGAGGCTGAGGCAGGAGGATCACTTGAACCCAGGAGTTTGAAGTTGCAGTGAGCTATGATGGCTCCACTGCACTCTAGCCTAGGTGACAGAGACTCTGTCTCCAAAAAGAACCAGATAGCAAATATTTTCAAAATTTTGGGCCACGCAGTCTCTGTTGTGACTACACAACTCTGACACTGAGTGCCAAAGCAGCTATAACTATAAATAATACATAATCATGCCTGTGTATTCCAAAAAATTTTTATTTACAAAACAGGTGACAGGTTATAGTTTGTGAAACTCTGATATAAGCCCTTCTTTTGACAAAAGTATTACATAAATGCTTCCTTCAAAGACCACACCTCCATTGCTGACAAAAGGGGAAGACTTGACAAGGAAGTATTTTATCTCTTTCCCTGAATACCACTCACCTTAGGCCACTTATCAGTGCCAACTTTTGTGTCATAGCGTGTTTTCCCACCTCTAGCATCAGTAAATTCCAGATAGTCATACCTGTGAAGGCATAATCTCTATTACTGTCCTTCTTTAATTTTTGTTCCATGATTGCTTGGGGGAAAAAAGAACAGAGGGAGCTTACCTTTTTTCAGTTTCACATCTCTCATCAAATTCGACCTCAAAATAGGTTGCCCCTGGGCTAACAAAGACAGAAACCTCATGGCAATTGTTTTCATAGTTGTGGGCAGATTCCTTAGTCCATGTGTGCAATACTACAGGCTGTTCCTGTTGCCAGGTCTCAACATCCAGCTATGCAAACAAACGAGTTGGGGGAGAAAAGGTTCTCATCACTCAACACCCAGCCACATGCGGAAGACTGTTTCTCTATTGGTGCTCCAGGCTGATGGGCTTTGACAGCCCTAAACGAGCTGTCACCTGAGGTTCCCATCTCCGCCAATAGACCACATACATCCATCGCTCAGCAGAGTAGACATGTGCTTTTATTACACAGTAGGAACTTTATAACCAGCTTTTAACTTTTAACTATAACAGTACTATTTTTTACGAATCATTACTAACATGAATTTCCAGTGGAAAAAGTACCGGAGTTAGGAGTTTGAAAATCTCACATTGTCACTTGGGTCCCTGGCAAATCTGAGTCCATTCTTCCTTCCCTCCTTTCTTTGTGGTTTTTTTGTTTTTTTCCTTGTGTTTTTACTTTTTTTACCTATTAAATATAAATATATATGCCCTTTCCACTGTCACAGGGTTATTGTAAAACTCAAACAAGATAGTAAAAAAACTTTGTGTACTACAAAATTAAGTAAGAGAAAATTCTTTGAAATACCAAACCTTCTAATTTGCCTTTCAACATACATTTTCTCCTCTGGACTTCTATCTGGGTATTCACTTACATGTTTTTTATATAACTTCATAAGATAATAAGCATGAGATTAATCTATATATAGCTTCTTTTCTGCATCTCCTCCTAATGCTGACCATACCAAATCAACTTGGACTGGTATTTATCCTTGTTGGCAAAGCCCCTGATAAAATAACAGAGGTCTTTTAGAGGGAATTTATTTGCGTAGCTCGGTGGTGTGCTTCAGGAAGCCTGGTCACACCACTCCTAAGAGAGGATACAAAGCAGGCTCAAGTGCCAACTTGAGTTACCTTATTCAGCCCTCCTTCAGGGTCACTGCACAGCTTCTTTAGCAGTTCTGTTAAGGCACTAAACTCTCTCAAGAGTGTGCAGTGTGAAATGTCTAAAGTGCAGAAGTCCAGCAGGAAGATGACCTAAAGGAAGAGGGACAGAGCGTTCAGCGTCCACCTCAGACTCTGCCTGGGCGTGTGTATCCCCATTCCCCTCCCTGCTCATTACAAACAGCTGCCATCTTTCCTTACCAGTTGACGAGCTGCCATTGAAAACACTGAATTACACAATCTTTCTACAATGGTTTTGCCACTATACTGCGACAAAAGGGATTCCAGAATCACTCTCATGCTTGCCAGAAACTGTGCCACATCTACCAAAACATAAAGAAAATAATTAATATTTTATATAGTAAAAACATTACTTGCTTAGTTATCACCCAGGGCAAAGCCAAACAGAACCAGAGAAGTTATGGAGGGGATTCCACAAGACCACAAAGACCATGAAACCATAAAGTGCCATCCAAACACATTCCTCTGGCAGGGAGAAACAATGCAAATTTTCAATAAAAGATTACTTTTAAAGTGAGTGATGTTTTTGTCTTTGCTACTTTTAGATGATGGGGAGACATTACTTTTATAGGTGAAATTACATGGTTTATCAACCCAGTTGTCAGCATCTCCTTTTCCTTTACAATGGGCCATGTATCAGTTGTGCCAACCCAACAGGCCAAGCTCTACGTGGCAGGACCCAATACTGTAAGCATTTTTGTCACAGCTTCTGAGACCAAGTTTGATGGAACTGAATTTTCCACATAAAATTTCTCAGAATCTGCTGGGTTTCACATAGTTTACTGTGGGTTTACAGAACATGAATCTGAGTCACGGCAGTACTCATATACCTTAGATTTTAAAAGTGCAAGACTTCCATTTTTAGATGTCTTGATTAAAACAGGGATAATAGGCTCTTGTTCCTGAAAAGTGAAAACATCATCTAAGAGTGCTGTATGAACTCAGAGGCAATGTTTAGGCTGTGAAATGATCTAATTGTACAATAAAAATACTTAGACATATTATCATGTTAAAACAGGAAACTCTGGGCAAAAATACATGCTATAGCATTCCACTTTAAGAAGACAAAAACAGGCCGGGTGTGGTGGCTCACGCCTGTAATCCTAGCACTCTGGGAGGCCTAGGCGGGAGAATCGCTCAAGGTCAGGAGTTCAAGACCAGCTTGAGCAAGAGCAAGACCCTGTTTCTACTAAAAATAGAAAGAAATTAATTGGCCAACTAAAAATATATAGAAAAAAATTAGCCGGGCATGATGGTGCATGCCTGAAGTCCCAGCTACTCAGGAGGCTGAGGCAAGAGAATTGCTGGAGTCCAGGAGTTTGAGGTTGCTGTGAGCTAGGCTGACGCCACGGTACTCTAGCCCAGGCAACAGAGTGAGACTCTGTCTCAAATAAAAAAAAAAGAAGACAAAAACAAATCAAAGACCTGAATTATAATAAAGAAAAGAAAGCCATATGCACACCTGATGCATGAGTTACTACAGAAGAGAATACACACATAGTCAAACCTAAACACCTACCTGTCTTCATGGATTTTATATTGAAACTCACATTTTTCAATAAGGTCCACGGCAAGATCTTTGGCTCCAGAATCCGTGCTCTTCAGCTGCAGGTAGCACCAGGAGAGCAGGCTGCCTTGGACGGACCAGAACAGGGAGAACAGCACAGAGCCGGCCTCGCCTTGGGCCCCATTGAGCATCAACAGCTCACACTGCAAGGGAGGAGACACACAGAAAGCATTCACGAGAAGGCCATTCGCAGAACACAGCCAAGGGCATTCTCTAAGGGATCAGCTGTGATCAGCAAAAAAATACTATGGATATGGGAACAGTCATGAAAGCATTCAAGTGACCAAGAACTAGGGTTACTATGAAAACTCCTCTCTTGCCCTCCAGCTTTTCAGAAGCTTTACACATTTTCACTCCACAGGACATTGCCTTCTGTCACCCTGGGAACCTTACCCAACCAGTATCTCTTCTTTCTCTCACATCTTCAAATCTCCTCTTTCTGGCTCCTTCCCCTTAACCTTCAATCAAATCTCTCCCACCTTAAAAAAATAATCCTTCATCCCTCTGTGGCTCTCTAACCACCATCTTTGTTCTCAGGAGTGTCTCTGGAGAGTCACCTGACCTCTAGAGACAAACTCTTGCACATAAGAACCACACGAGGTATGTTCATAACACAACACTGAACTGGAACCACCCCAACTATCCCTTCAAAATGAAATGGATAAATAAATTGTGCAATGTTCATAAAGGGAATATTGTACACCAACATGAATGATCTCAAAACACTACTAAGTAGAAAAAAAAAGTCACAGAAGATTGTATCCCATATGATTCCAGATGTTTGTTTGACCTTCCATAAAAGGTTAAAACCAGGCAAAACAGACATGCTGTGTAATGATAACTAGAAAGAACAAACAAAGGAATGATAACTAAAAACTTCAGAGTGGTGGTAATGTCTGGCAAGGAAGGAGGAGGGTGCACCATAAAAGGGCAAATGCGTGTTGAGGGACTAGACTTCAAAGATACTGCTAACGCCTAGTCCTTAGAACAGACAGGTGTTTCTTCAAGCTGTCCGTCCACACATACTCTTTCTATGTATATCTCATTTAGAAAGTTGCCCACATCTGCTCTGGTTTTGCTTTTCTCCTCCCTCCCATTACACTGCTTCTGTTGACACCACTCCTCAAAGCCATCTACCTCCTAGAGAGCAAAGCCTCTCCACTTGACCACTATGCTGACCACCACTGTCCCTCTTGAAATCCTCTCCTTCCTTAGCTTCTGTCTCCCCTGAATATCTTCCTGTCACTCCTTCCTACTCTCCTGGCTGCCCCTCTGTAGATATCCCTAAGATGCCCCTGCATGGAGATGTGATGCCATCTACAGTCATGGCTTCAACTATCATCCGTTTGTCATTGATTGCAAAACCTCCAACACTGACTTATCTCCTGAGTGCGCAACCAGATCTCATCACCTGGAGTCCTACCAGAACCATGAATTCAGCATGTTCAAAGTCTCAAATATCTGCTCCTCCCCATCTCATCACTGGCCTTTTGCACATGTTGCTGCCTCCACCTGGAGCGCGTCCTTCCTCTTCTTCGCTTCGTTAAACCCTATTCATGGTCTCAAATGAAGCCCCAGCATCATCTTCTCCAGAAAGCCTTTCCCCAGCTCCACTGCCCCTTCCACCGGACAGCAGTAGGTATGCTCTTCTGTACCCCACGGGACCCTGTGCTCACTTGACAGCCCTTGCTGCATTGTTTGCATTGATAAACATCCTGATTACATGTTTGTCTGCTCTTCAAGACTGTGCTTTTATCACTGTATCCTCTGCGTCTAGTACAGGGCCTCAAACACAGCAGGCATTCAGTGGATGTTTGCTGAATTAACAAAGTTTTGAGAACAATTTCAGACTAGGTACATTTTAGGCCACCTTTAAATTTTTTTCCTGTTCTACCCCTGCCTCTTTAGTATAACCATAAGTGTTTTTACTGAAAGATAATTCAGAGAAATATGTAAATGGCTGCAGTGATCTCTGGCAAGGAGGTTCCATGACATCTCTAACTTCCTTTGTATCACAGGTAAATAAAAGGGAAGAAAGGACACACATTTGATCTCTAAATGATAAACAACTATGGGAAACTCTCTTGGACAAATGCTATCTCATTACCCATCTTACAGTAAGTCTGACCTAGTGGAAAGAGGACAAGACTCGAGTCAACTGGCTCAAGGTTCAGTCCTGGCTCTAGCACCCACCAACTCCTCACACAGGAGGCAGAATTAACACCTGTGAAAACCAGGTGAGAACAATGAAGTTTTCTGCCCAGTGGCACTGATGACATGACTATAGAAGAAAGATTGGTGAGGGCAAGAGCTCAGTTTAGGCTTCAGAGGTCTGACAGCAAGAAAGGGAAGGTGTGGGAAATGGCAGAAATAAAGACAGAGATAAGAATGAACTGTGGCTAAATGGGGCAGAGAGCGAACATTGATGAGCAGTAGATTGGAGTAAGATTTTTAAGGAAGACTCAGGGATGGGCAGAAGAGTCTGGAAATAAGCCAGAAAGCAAGAGAAAATGAATGTGACAGCAGAAAATAGAGCACTGATCAAAAATAAAGTTAAGGCTTATAAAGTCAATGTTACCTTAAAAAACAGAGGCATCATGATGCAATCCCAACCCTGTATTTAAATTAATACTAGGTCTAAACAGTGGTCCGCCTCAGTGTGACCCTGGGTAATGATAACCCAGTCGCACTACTAGCTCTCTAAGATGGCTATAGGTGAACTGGGGGAATAATTACTGACTGGCCTTTCACTCCAGGCAGCTGGGAATGAATGAAATCACGGCTCTAATAGCAACTTAAAATCAGTAAAGCACTAGCAAAAATGTAAGAGATTTAAAGACACTAAGTTCAGCCACAGGACAAGATATCTTAAAGTCCATACCATTAGTTACCTCAAGGGTGTGGTTGGGACTGTCCTACAATAAAATCTCCTCTAACTCTCTGGTTCCCATATTTAATCCAAAGAGGTAGATCTTGGTTCCCTAGTACAAAGGTGCTGTTGCTTCAGAATCTCTTGTGGTGCTTGGTAAAAATGCAGATGTTCAAGCCCTGTCCCTAGAGATTCTAAAGCAATAGCTTGGGGTGGGACCTAGAGATCCAAATTTCTGTCAAACATCCCAGGTGACTCTGATCCAGTTGGAGCATGAACTACCTTTTGAGGAACAAAATCCTTCATGTTTTTAAAAAGGAAAAAAAGCAAAATTTAAACAATACCATTAGCACAGAAAAAAGAATATATTTTCAGATTTGATTAGTTATGAAATGACTAAGAAATCTTTAGAAAAAAGTCAAAGTCATTTTCCACAAAATTCACACCACTAACACATCACTGTGTGCTGGGCTCACTGACTGACACTGCAAGGGGACTTGGTACAAGTCCATTCTCTTTTTCACAGGAAGCCTTAGTGGGCACCTCTGTGTTTTATTCCTCGCAAACTACCAAGAACTGGGAAGAGTTCCCTCGTGCGTTTGCAGGGGTAGCTGGGACACCTTTGTGTTCACCTGTAATGGTCAAGTGACGGAGGACAGTCATACTGTAAATGAGGCTGAAAGGGAACTCGCAAGAGACTGCTGTACCATGTGCTCCTACAAGCATGAAGAAACAGGGAGGCAGCCATCAGATACCTCTCGAGCAGCGACAGAGAGGAGAGTGTTCATGACGGCCAGGACTTCGCTGATGTTCATGTCGGCCAGGTCGTTTTTCTCAGGTAAAAGGAGAAGGCCGCCTGGATCCTTATCACTGAAAGGACACAAACTAGTCATGACACCTGGCTTTAGGAAAGGGATTTTCATGCTTTCTATCTTAAAAGGTTCCAAAAAAGAATCCAGAAATATTTCAGTGTCAGTCCTATAGGAAGGGAGGAGTTTGGGTCAGGAAGACAGGCCGTGGTCCCAATTGGGACATGCCACTGTTTGTCCACACGTCCTTCCCAGGCACAGACTCAAATCCTCCAGTTCTTAGAGGAGATCCTAGGGTGTAAATTGGATGAATGAATCACACTGGACACCAATGTGAAATACATCTAATCTCATGACTGCTATAATCCAGGCTAAACATTCCCTGTGTCTTCAAATGTTCTTCACATGACAGCCCCAGGCTCTTTCATCATCATTGCTGCTCGATTCTGAAAGCATTTTATACAGACAGGACTCTGAGTCTGGCACCCACACCAGGTAAAATCTGACTTGCAGGCAGTTGCTCGGGCTATTAGTTCCCTCCCTCCTTCAAGGGTTTATACCTCCAGTGATGCAGGCCCATTAGCTTCTATGGTAGTCAAGACACATAACAATCTCCAAGTTCTCTCTTCCCAGAACAATTCCTTCTGCAAACTACCATTCTGTGCTTCTGGAGTTAGCTTTAATGTGGCTGAGTTTGCATACTTGAGTATAGGACCCCAAACTCCTTTGGCTTTCACTTAGAAACTGAAGTGTTCAAACAGATCCTCGATGGGTTCAACTCTAAATTGTCTTATAATGACTGGGACTTGGGTTAATTGTCAACAAGATTACTATTTTACCACTATTTTGGTCACTCCTGTGCCTAGAGGTGACTAACTACAGAAATGTAGCTTTCTAGCTAAGCAAAGTACTACTCCAAAAACACAAAAAAGGAAGGGACAGCTAAAGAAGTCAACTTTTCAAAGATTTGAAATATTTAACAAGTGAAAGGTATATAAACTTACCTAAAATACGTGCACAGTGAACGAAATGTTAGCTGCAGGGACTGCTTGTGCTCCTGCTCGGTGACATTTTTCTAAAAAACCAGAAGCATTCAGAAAATCTACTCCATAATGTTCCAGAGACTTAAAGCAGTTTGAAATACCACCACCCCCTGTTCTCAAGTATGAGGAAAGCCAAGGTCAGCAGACCACCTCACAGTGTCCAACTAGAACCTGGTCTAGTGTTATGAGGGGACAGAACCAACCATCTCATCAGAAGATGGCAGGTGTACTTTATTTACTGCCAAAGTTAACATCTTCACGCTTTCCTGCTTAGGAAGATGACCTCCAAAAGATGTATACTTTTCATCCCTGGGCATGCCATCCTAAGAGCAAAAGGCAGGGTCAGAGTACATTTCCGGTGAACTTTCTGTTTTTAAACAAAGGGGATCAAAGCTTTCCTGCGATCCTGTAGGTTTACAGTCTATGGCGACAGTTATAGGAATCACATCTCGATGGAGAAAGAACTACTTAGGACTGTAAAAGGTTGGCAGTGCTGCTCAACTCATGAGCATGAGAAGGGGAAATAACTTATCACTGATGTCAGAAGGGATGGGCAAAGGGAAAGTGACTGGAATGCTGTGCTTATAGACATCAATGTCGTTCAAGAAGTCATATGCCAAAAAAAGAAGTCATATCTCCTCTTTCTATTTTTCTGTGTGGGACATATGCTCAGCTACCTGGCGAATGCTTGCAGCAAACAAGTAGAACAGAGACCCGCCCATAGTCCAGTAGGTCAGGTCAGCTGATGCTGTCAAAGGTTTTATAATTCACAACGTGAGAAGTGATTCCTCAAGCTGAAAGGCAAATTTTATATATAGCAGGAATACAAAGATCCTTCTTCCTCTCTGAAACCTTCCTCAATCATTCAACCTCAACATAATTCTCCTCTAAATGCTTCTTGCAGATGGAATCATTTTTTCTTTGTGGCAGGTGTCTGTAGCCCTTTGTCATCAGGGACCACATTTTATGCTTCTTTTGTTCCCTTCTTTATTTCTGTAGACCTTTATGCATCCTACAGAGCACTTTTTATGTGTGTTAACAGGTTGTTGCATATAGAAATGCCTTTTTAAAATGTATCTAGTTTTCTTTGTCAAATTCTTTTTAGTAATTCTATTCATTGCTTGTCTACGCAGCCAATAAAAATAATCTGAAATCATATCATCTGCAGATAATTATTTCCAACTGTTATTTTAAAATTTCTCTTCCTTGTCCTATAGCACTGGCTAGGTCCTCTAATACAATATCAAAGAGAAGCAGTGACAGTGAGCATCCTTGTCTTATTCCTGATTTTGAAAGGAATGCTTCTAGTGACCCACCATCAAATACATTTATTATAGGTTTGGGGTACATGCCCTCCACCAGATTAAGGGAGTTTCCTTCTATTTTGAGTTTGCTAATGGTTTTCTTGTTTTAATCACCATCAGAATTTAATCTTATTTAAAATTTTTATGGGGCCGGGCATGGTGGCTCAAGCCTGTAATCCTAGCACTCTGGGAGGCCGAGGCAGGTGGATCACTCAAGGTCAGGAGTTCGAAACCAGCCTGAGCAAGTGTGAGACCCCATCTCTACTTAAAATAGAAAGAAATTAATTGGCCAACTTAAAATATATAGAAAAAATTAGCCGGCCATGGTGCATGCCTGTAGTCCCAGCTACTTAGGAGGCTGAGGCAGAAGGATTGCTTAAGCCCAGGAGTTTGAGGTTGCTGTGAGCTAGGCGGATGCCATGGCACTCACTCTAGCCTGGGCAACAAAGTAAGACTCTGCTTCAAAAAAAAAAAAAGTTTTTTTATGCATTTAGTGATGTAATTTTTTTTCCTCTCTGAATTCAAATATTGATTTTCTCATGTTAAACTATCATTGCAGTCCCAGGATAAATCCAACTGGATTATAATTTTGTTTATATATTGTTACACTGGTTAACATTTCATTAGGATTTTTCTAATTATGTTCATAAGCAAGATCAGCCTATAATTTTGCTTTCTTATGAACACTCTTAACTATTTTTTTTTTTTTTTTTGAGACACAGTCTTACTCTGTTGCCTGGGCTAGAGTGCCATGGTGTCAGCATAGCTCACAGTAACCTCAAACTGCTGGGCTCAAGCGATCCTTCTGCCTCAGCCTCCCAAGTAGCTGGGACTACAGGCATGTGCCATCATGCACGGCTAATTTTTTTCTATATTTTTAGTTGGCCAATTAATTTCTATTTTTAGTAGAGATAGGGTCTTGCTCTTGCTCAGGCTGATTTCAAACTCCTGACCTTGAGCGATCCGCCCACCTCGGCCTCCCAGAATGCTAGGATTACAGGCGTGAGCCACCGCACCTGGCCACTCTTAGCTAATTTATCACCTTAAGTCACTTATGTTTCCCTGTGTTTTACCTTCATTGTAACACAGGAACCTCTAAAGTTCCCTTAACTAAATGTTTTGAGTACAGCCTAGAAAGAGAAGTTTTTGTTTGTTTCAAATTATCATTAATTTTTTTTTCATGTATCATGCTCATTTTCATATAGAAATCCTTCTTTCAGAATTAGAAACTTGGATCTTGGCACAGAATATTCCATTTGGTAACATAATACTCATAAATACTAAAAGCATTTTTCACCCTTAGTACTAAATCTGAGTCACATGGAGAAGGGTCTAGGAAGGTAAAAAGAACCAGCTGAGGATTAAAATTTGGTTATCTTTTCTTTACAGACACATAAATATTTACCAATCAAATACATCAGGGATTTACTTTGAAATAATGCTTGGCATGGAGGAAGGAGGGATGAGTAGGTAAGGTGTATTATAGATGACACCAGATTAGCCTGGGTTTATAATTGTTAAAGCATCTACTTTTGCATTCATTTTAAGTTTTCCTAAAATAAAAAGTTAAAATGTTACAAAGAAAATTTAATTGTAGGCAAGTCATAAAGATGAAGGAGGCTATCCTGTCACTTTGTTCTGAAACACTGAATGGGATCACTTGTCATCCCCACCTTGACTACACTGCCATGTCCTTGGATATCCATGTGTCTCACACAAAGCTCTGCATATAGTATTAACAAATATTTGGGAAATTGAAACTGACACTATATTCCTAGAAAACAAAGACTAATAAATTTCATCCTCATAACCTTCAGAAATGGAATCCAGACTTTTAGTGAATACTTACCATCATGGTGAAGAGATGGTTTCGCCGGGTCTGTCGATCAGGAAAGAAGATGGCAGCCCCATTGAGAAGGGTATTCCTCACTTCTTGCTTTAATATCTCCACAGGCACAGAGTCTCCATCCACCTTATCTACCACTGATAAAAATGAACAATCGAATCAGCTTTAATATAGTCTATCTATTCACTTACAATACATATCTGCTATAACTAGCCTATAAACTCACTCTTCTCCACTTTGTAGGCAGTGCAAGTAAATTATTGTTGGCTTACATTTAACTAGAACAAAAACTGTTTAAATACCAGTTTTTATTGCATTACTTCCTATTCTTTTGAGACACAACTTGGTGAGGATTTAAAAATAACTTCAGATGGTCACGTGTGTTTCATCTTTATCACTAGTCTCTCCCCCTCAATCTATCAGCCTCATCCCAGTGTCTTAGCTGACATTAAGACTCAATAGTGTGACAGTAATTATTCTCAATATAATGTAGCAGTATATCTGAAACCAGGAAGAAATGAAGTCAGCTGATGAAGAAATAAATCCTGAATGCAAACTAGTAATGCAAAAGAGCATCGAAGAAACACTGCCCTCAGCGGCAGTCCTTTTCTGGCTTGCACGATCACAGGACCCCCTCTTTCTCCACAGCAAAAGGCCCTGTGGGCTACCAGCAGAAGGTCACATTAAAGAAAAAAAACCAAATCCCTACCATCGCATAAGTGTGTGTAGAGCTCCTTGGCAGCCTCTACTCCCTTGGGGCTCTGGGCTGGAGCCTTTTCCTCCTCTGAAGCAGCCAGCGCATCTCCCTGCAGCACCGAGAAGCAGCTCTGGAGGAGCTGCAGAAGCAGGGTTTGGGCACAGACGCATTCTTCCCTCGGGCTATAGAAAGATGAGTATCAGCCAGCGAATGGGCAAGTTGCTTTTACCCTCCAAAGCCAGACAGCTGTCTACACAGGACCTTCCTCTAGGTGCCAGGCTCCTTGAAAAGAAGCCGACCAAGAGGAAGAAGAGCAGAACAGAAAGGACATTGTACTAGGAGTCTGAAAACACAGTTTCAGTCTAATTCTGCCCATTGTGGGGATGAAAACTCACTTCTGGTCCTATTTCCTCATCTGTAAAATGAGGAGGTACTGTAATACTTGGGCTGCTTATCACTAAATTGAGTATTTTATAGAAATTAAGTATTTCATAGAAATGTGGGGTGTTATTTTCAATAATAACCAAACATCTCAAATCAGAATATATACTAGTAGGAAGCAAAAAATTTAGAATAGCAAAACTTAGTGTTTTCATTTTTGTTTGATTATCACCTTAAAACAAATTCTGACCTACTTTTGCTTTAATTTACTGTAAAAATTCCAGAAGATCTGCAAATCAAGACCCGCGAAGTCCAGAAAAGATTTGTATTTTAGGCCACTTTCCTTCTGCTGCACCTAAAAATTATAAAGACCAGAAAAAATAAAATTGAAAAATGCATTTAGAGAAATAATGTAATGCCTCATTTACCTCTTATTGTTAAGGGACGGGGTGGCTCTACATGGGTGAGATTCCATAGTACTGATGCTTATTCTCAACTCCTATAATAAAAAGTTTATCAACAACTATTTTTGGCTTGAAATTTCCTAAAATATGTGTGCATGTATATCTGTACATATGTATGTAAACATACATATATATATATACATGACCCACCCCCTCAACACACACACACATATCCATGAAGGCCCCTGACTTCAGAACAGTACTGGGGACATAAGTCAGTCTCTCTTGGATGGTGACGACTGCCCAGAACTGTACTGTAGTAATGCTTGATCCTTCCCCACTTGTGGGACTGGAGGTGCCAATCCTACTGTAAATGCTCCTGCTACCTGGAGACATTTCCCTCTAATCTGCTCTTTGTTGTTGTGATAGGAGCACTTGAATAACAAAGACCAAGCAAGCTGTATGTAAACTGAGTCACCAGGCTCTGAATGTGCCCAGAAGCAGAATGAAAGTCAAGAGAGGAAACTGTTCCAAACCACATGTGGGAGGGCTCCACTGGCCTCCTGAGGCTATGGGGAAAGCTGTAAGAATCTTCCTTTGAGTGAGTTGTCACTATGTTTTATTAGTGACTGTAAAAGTCAGTATCAAAAACAAAAATGATTTTAAATCCTGACATTATTTTAATACTTTTAAGTAAATAACTAGAATTCACCTAGACTTCAGGAATAATTCTCCTAGGACTTAAAGATATAAATCCCATGAACTTGCTTTGTCGACCCCCCCCCCATCCCCAACCACAGCCAGGGATCTTTAGGATGTGCCTGTAGGTCTATTCCAGGAAGCCTCACATGGTGGCTATAAGCCATTTAATCCTTCACTGACTGATGCCATAAATGCCCAATACCTCACCTTCCTTAGCCTTTCAAGGTCCTCACAGTAGCATGATGCCTGTCACATTCATTCATACTACATGGCTTCAGCAGGGCCAGGTTTCATCAGTGGGTACACATTTCCCTTAACACTGTCATTCATTTTTCCTAAAGAAATGTGGTCTAACAACTGAGGAAGCCCTACCAGGTCATGGGCGAGCTGCTGGATGAACTGAAGGGTCCTGAGAAGCAGCGTGGCCCCACAGACACTCTCCTCTGTATCCTTTTTGCAGTGGACACAGACGGCGCTCTGCTCTGCTTCTGCTCTTGCAGGCCGGAGGTAGCCACTGATGCTCAAGCCTTGGACTCCCAAGCGCTCCGCTGACTCCTGACGGGTGCAGAGGAACTTCACCATCAAATACTAGGAAGGACAAGAGAAGGATTCAGAATCCCTAAATACCGATAAAAGGGAGAAAAGGCCTTTCTAGGAAGGTCTTCCTATGATTTTAATAATTTATTAGGTACCATTATGCTTAGCACTGGAGACACAAAATGTAAGTCCAATATCTACAACAAAAAGAAGAAAAACACTATACAAATGCTGAATAAAGTCGGGTTTTGATAAAGATCACAATAAGGGAAATGACATTATTACTCTCTCATCAAAACAAAACAGGATAAGAGAGGATGAATAAGAGAGGTAAGTTTGCTCTGTGGCAGTCATTCTGAAACAAAAATCAGATATATGATGAAAACAGTCAATGCCCTCAGGAATCATCTCAACGTCCCTGAGTAATATTTGCAACCTATGTGCTGGGAATCTAGGAAAACAATCTTGTCTACTCGAAGCTAAGGCCATTTCAAGGCCAAACTTCTGCGCAAACCATCTGCTTCTTACAATGAAAGCTCCTTTGCTGAGGGCCTTTCAGAATACACTACTCAACTGCTTAAATATTTACTGAGCACCTACTATGTATATGCCCTAAAGATAGTTCTTAATTCTGTTATTTAAGCCCAAGTCTAAGATCTACATTTGAGGTTTAGAAAAAAATTAAGTAGCCAGATAATCACTTCTTCTTTCATAGCTATGGAAACACTACTCTCTTGCACTTATGACTCTGTTCTCACTGTTCTCTCAGCTTGTGATGCCCTCTCCACACATCTTAGCCTGGCTAAAAGATGACGGCTTAATCAACTTCCAACACTTGGCATCACGCCACCTTTCCTTGGATGGCTTCCCTAGTGAATTCCAGGATGGGTTAGATATTTTTCTCTGGACTCCGACAGCTCCTGTATCTCCCTTTATCACAGCCCACATCACAGCATCTCACGCATCTGTCTCCCACAGACTATGAACTTCTTGAAGGTCGATGCACCTCTAGGGTTCCAGTGTTGGCACAGGGCTGGTACACAACTGCCACTCAGTAAATGCTTACAGAACAAAAGGAGGGGAGTGGGCAACCACACGAGGCCACAACTCACTAATGCTTACTTTGGCAACTCTGCACTGTTGCAACTTGACATCGGCTTCATCCCACTCTTCTTCCAGCTCAAACCAGCCAATAGGATCATCCTCTCCAAGGTCATCAGACGAGCAACCAATCCTGTAAACACAAGGGTAATCAAAACATTTTCCTATTTCTAAACTTCTCAGGAGTCTATCAAAAAAGGCATCATCTCAGTGGCATTTGACTTGTATTTATAGCCTATTAACGATCGAGGGCTGGCACCTGGTACTGCTCTGAACACATCAGGGAGTTAGTGGTGTTTTCCTCTCCATTTTGCAGCTTCCTCATCTCTGAATTAGGAAATATATCAGCCCCAAATATAATCTGGGGACTAAGGAGAAAGTTTGCTTCTCTAGACAGTTGCCTCAATCGAAGAATGAGAGATAAAGCCAGGCATCTTAGATGAGATATTCAGGAGCAAAGTACCATGCAAGAGGTGGTGTGTGCTTTTGTAAGGAAACAAAGGAGATAGGCCAGGTGCGGTGGCTCATGCCTGTAATCCTAGCACTTTGGGAGGCTGAGAGAGGAGAGGATTGCTTGAGGTCAGAAGTTCAAGATCAGCCTGAGCAAGAGGGAGACCCTGTCTCTACTAAAAATAGAAAAATAAGCTGGGCTTGGTGTTGCATGCCTTGTAGTCCCAGCTATCTGGGAGGCTGAGGCAAGAGGATCACTTGAGCCCAGGAGTCTGAGGTTGAAGTGAACTGTGATGATGCCACTGCACTCTAGCCTGGGCAACAGAGCAACAACTCTGTCTCAAAAAAGAAAAAAAAGAAAAGAAAAGAAAAGAAAAGAAAAGAGAAGAGAAGAGAAGAGAAGAGAAGAGAAGAGAAGAGAAGAGAAGAGAAGAGAAGAGAAGAGAAAAAAGGAAAAGAAAAGAAAAGAAGAAAAGAAAAGAAAAGAAAAGAAAAGAAAAAAGGAAAAGAAAAGAAAAGAAAAGAAAAAAAAGGAAAAGAAAAGAAACAAAGGAGAAGCGTTTTCCATTTCCTTTCCCTAGGTCTAGCTAATGTGCACATTACCAACCTGAGGCTTGGACCTCTTGCAACAAATGAAGAGTAAAAGCCCCGGGGCTTTCAGACCCTGGAGCTCCAAAAAACAAAAACCCCAGCCTTCTTCACAGGCCTCAGTATTCTATTCTGTTCCTTAAGAAGTCCTCCTAGATACAGCTGGAACCCATTCTACTAAGTGAAATATCTCAAGAATGGAAAATCCAGCACCACATGTACTCACCAGCAAATTGGTATTAATGGATCTACACCTAAGTGGACACATAGTGGTAACATTTATCGGGTGTTAGAAGGGTGGAGGAGGGGATGGGTATATACAACCACAACGAGTAAGATGTGCAATGTTTGGGGGATGGACACGCTTGAAGCTCTTACTTGAGGGGGGCATGGGCAATATATGTAACCTTAACACTTGTACCCCCATAATACGCTAAAATTAAAAAAAATAATAAAAAATAAAAAATAAATAAAAGAAGTCCTCCTAGGCCGGGCGCAGTGGCTCACGCCTGTAATCCTAGCACTTTGGGAGGCCGAGGCGGGCGGATTGCTCAAGGTCAGGAGTTCGAAACCAGCCTGAGCGAGACTCCATCTCTACCAAAAATAGAAAGAAATTAATTGACCAACTAAAAATATATATATACAAAAAATTAGCCGGGCATGGTGGCACATGCCTGTAGTCCCAGCTACTCAGGAGGCTGAGGCAGTAGGATAGCTGAGCCCAGGAGATTGAGGTTGCTGTGAGCCAGGCTGATGCCACGGTACTCACTCTAGCCTGGGCAACAAAGTGAGACTCTGCCTCAAAAAAAAAAAAAAAAAAGAAGTCCTCCTAGAAAAGCACTCCAGCCTTGAGACTGAGGAAACACAACTGTATACCACTTTCTTTTAAAGACTGGTTACTTAAATGCTACTTCCTTTCCAGAAATTCATAACAAAGAAGGAGAAAAAGGGCAGTCTTTTCAAGTAACATTCTTAAAACTGTACACTATTCAGTCTGTGATACAGCTACCAAGTTAGCAACACATGAGTATTCTGTAAGGATAAAATAAACAAACTCAAGGAATTATGGCAAGAAGAGGAAAAAGATAATCCAGAGTGGTTCTGTAACAGAGAAAAAAATGTTCTTTTCTTAACGTAAGTCTTTCTTGGCATAAACCTTTTGTAATACAGTTAACCCTAATAGGAAAGGTGACATTCTCTTAACTCAAAACCATGTCAATGAATTTCATCAATAGTGTATGTTGGAGGATTTTTTTTTAAATCTATTTCTGGGGAGTTGTCAAGGAAATCTTTGAGATATAGAGAACTGACCATGTGTCAGAGAACAGAAAGCAGCAACCTTGTTCACTAGGCCCTGTTACACAGTAGGCAGGACAGAGAAAGGAGAGTTGAATACTAGTTTTCTTAAGTATGCACAGCACCAAACAGCTGACCCTGTAGCATGCTGACTGCCCAAAGCCTGACCACAGGCACGTGACAAAAAAAGAAAAGGCAAGAAGATAGATGTATGCACATTAATGTTTTGATTTCCAAACTAGAGAGGGACTGATAATATGTAGGTCAACTAAATACGGATTTAAGATTAGTTCAGGCTGGAACAAGAGCTAAAATCATTAAGGGAGTAACGAATAGGCCTGTTTTTAGGTTAAAAAAAAAAATCATCCTGCAAAGGATATGAAGGACCTTGTTTAATAGCAGATTTCAGAGAAAAGATCTATTTTCATATGTCCCAAGAGTGGGACACGGCTGCTTAAAATCAAGTGTCATCGCTAGCTATTATTAAAAAAGAAAAGCAACTTTTAAAAAGGCATATATGGAGCCAGGTGCAGCAGCTCACACCTATAATGCTAGCACTTTGGGAGGCTAAGGTCAGAGGATTACTTGAGGCCAGGAGTTCAAGACCAGCCTGGGCAACATAATAATACTCCATCTTTGGTCGGGCGCAGTGGCTCACGCCTGTAATCCTAGCACTCTGGGAGGCCGAGGCAGGCGGATTGCTCAAGGTCAGGAGTTCGAAACCAGCCTAAGCAAGAGCAAGACCCTGTCTCTACTATAAATAGAAAGAAATTAATTGGCCAACTAATATATATAGAAAAATTAGCCGGGCATGGTGGCGCATGCCTGTAATCCCAGCTACTCAGGAGGCATGAGGCAGCAGGATTGCTTGAGCCCAGGAGTTTGAGGTTGCTGTGAGCTAGGCTGATGCCATGGCACTCACTCTAGCCTGGGCGACAAAGCAAGACTCTGTCTCAAAAAAAAAAAAAAAAAATACTCCATTTTTATAACAAAATAGAAAAAAAAGCCAGGCATGGTGCCAGGTGCTTGTAGTCCCAGTTACTTGGGAGGCTGAGGTGGAAGGATTGCTTGAGCCCAGGAGTTCAAGGTTACAGTGAGCTATGATTACACCATTGTACTCCAGCACTGGTGACAGAGCAAGACCCCTAGCCTCTTAAAAGAAAAAAGAAGAAAGAAAAGAAATGAAAAGAAAAATGCATATATGGTCCAGGCACAGTGGCTCATGCCTACAATCCCAGCACTTTGGGAGGCCGAAGTGGGAGGATCACTTGAGGCAAGGGGTTTAAGACCATATGAGGCAACATAACAAGATCTCATCTCTATAAAAAAATTTAAAAAAATAAAAATAAAAAGATATATATATGTGTAATGGAAGGGAGATTTTAGGAGTGAGGGATATTTGTTCCAATTCTTTTAGAGGGCTAAAATGAAGACCACAGAGTAGAAATTACAAATGTAGATTTCAAGTGAACATATTCAAATTACTGAAGTGCCTTCATATGCAGTGAGTTTTCCATTGTCAAGAGTATTCTAGAGAGGCCAAATGACCATTTGTCAAGGATGCTACCAACGGAATTCCAGCAGCATCAGATCACCTGGGAGACTGTAAGAAATAAGAGTCCCTGGCCCCATCGGGAACTACTGAATCAGAATCTGCATTTTCACACGGTGACTGGCACGCATGTTAAAGCTTAAGTGGCACTGTCCTGGATGACGTTTACAGGCTTCCGTAATTTCAGCACTCCATTACCTGCGATCTGCAGAAGCACAAAGTCTAGAGTTCAGCTCCATGAGCTGTAACTCCCTAGTAGCAATAAGGGAGGCAACGCCACCAGTGACCCCTGTGGCTACATCCAATAGATGCACTTCTAGACTTTACCTTACTGACTTCTGACACCTGACAGTACTGCCCATTGCCTACTTCTTTAAACATTACTTTCCCTTGGCCTCATAAGGACACAGCCCTGGTTTTCCTGAGTTTTTTCTGTTGCCCCTTAAGTGCTAATGCCTCTCATCACACTGATCTAAGTTCTTTTCTCTTCCCAGTCCACACACTCTTCCAGAATGATCTCCTCTATTTCCACATTTTAAATTATCATTGAGATATCTCTCATATCTGCACCTTCAGCACAGACTTCTCTTCCAGGCTCCTGATCTGTTTATCCAACTGGTATTGGACATTTCAAAGACTTCCTAGAACTTTAAATTCAACAGGACCAAAACTGAGTTCACCATCTTCCCCATAAACCTGTTTTACCCTGGGCTATTTTTTTTGGAGACAGAATCTCGCTTTGCTGCCCAGGCTAGAGTGCCATGGCGTCAGCCTAGCTCACAGCAACCTCAAACTCCTGGGCTCAAGCAATCCTGCTGCCTCAGCCTCCTGAGTAGCTGGGACTACAGGCATGCGCCACCATGCCCGGCTAATTTTTTCTATATATATTAGTTGGCCAATTTTTTTCTATTTATAGTAGAGACGGGGCCTTGCTCTTGCTCAGGCTGGTTTCAAACTCCTGACCTCAAGCAATCTGCCAGCCTCGGCCTCCCAGAGTGCTAAGATTACAGGTGTGAGCCACTGCGCCTGGTCTACCCTGGGCTATTTTCTATCCAAGAGTAAGGCACTACCAGTTTCCCCACCTGCACAAGCCAAAGCCACTCACTGCTACCTAAGCTTGTTCCCTTCTCCTGCTCTACGTTCAGTCGCTCCCCAGAGCCTGTTGCCTTAGAAGGTAGTCAGTCCACACCTCTCCATCACTGCTGCTGCTACTCTAGTCAAGTCTGCCCACCCTCTGGCTTCCTAGGTGACAGTGACCTCCTCCTCCCATCCCACCTCCCTCTAGCCTTGCTCTCCTCTAATCCATGCTACACATGGCATGATCCACAGTAGTAGTTCTAAAACATGCTTTGATCTCCTTGCTCATCTTGAAACTCCTCAACAAAGAACTCCACCCAAGTCCCTGTTCCCCACTCCCACACACGATGCTTAAGGGTAGTCTAAACCCTAAGACAGAGACAAAAAATGCTTAGTGATCTGGCCCTTGCCCAGCTCTCCAGCCTCATTTCTCACCACTCACCAACTCATAGTAAACCTCAGCAACACGGGACTTGTCAGTTCCTTGGATGTGTCATACTTTACTTCTGGGCCCTCGTACCTGCCCCCTCTGTGCTTGGACACTTTCTTCCACTTCTTCAAGTGGTTAATCAACCCTAACTCACCCTTCATAAACAACATAACAGGCACAGAGAAAAGAAAAACACACACAAAAAATCCCAACATAACAACACTTACTCCAGGAAGTCTTCCCTGATCAGGCGAGATGATCGGCCGTGTGCTCCCCCAGCCCTCTCTCCCATATAGCATTTTAACACTGCAGCCACTGCAAGTTTTATCGTCTGTCTTCTGAGCTAAACAATAAGCTCTACAAAGCAGGGTTATGCCAATTGCCTCATTACAGTATCTTCAGTGCTAGCATCAGGCCTGGCACATAGTAGGTGCTTAATAAATATTTTTGATAAAAGCAGGAATGGGAGGAGGGGGGTTGGGGCAGGGATAAATTTCCCAGTGGCTGGGTAAGACTGAATACCTGGGGTTCCCCACAATTCAGGCATGTAATGCAATGTATCATAACCCAACCATTTTGAAGATGTGCATCCTGGTCACAGAAGGGACCAAGTAACAGGCTATGAATAAATTAACACATGTCTTCAATATGCTGCTAGAAAGCAATGAATGCTTATGGCCACTTAGTGGCACCTTTTCTATAAAGACAAAGAAGCACAATTTGCCAAGAAGAGAATGGATATATTCTTATTAACTACAAAGATTTTTTGTTCTGCTCCTTACCTGCTTTTTACAAATTGCCTGAACTCTTGAAGCTTCCATTTGTCATATTTGTCAAACCTTTTGAAGTGTTCTTCTGCATGAAATTTATCAGAAGATGAATTATAGGCAAATACCAACCCACACTGGGCACCAATGCCACCACGTCGAACCTACAAACAGAAGTCAGGACAAAGTATATCAAAGGGGCCTAAGTTCTGTGGTTATTTTGGTTCCAAATAATATGGTTATTTTCAAATAGCATAAAGCAAAATCAAACCAGTGAAACAATATTTCAAGTAAATTAAGTCTTGGAAAAGTAAGGGGCTTCCCAAGAAATGTTCCTTAACTTTCTCAATCCTTATACCATTCACAGACTTAATAATCTATCTTTGTGCCCCTGCCCTCTGCTATAGGCCTAACAAAGAGTAAGTAACCATTAAATATTCAATGAAAAACCAATGACAGGGACCTCTGAAATATAATACTGTTATATTATTTTTTTTTAAAAAAAAGGGTAGTAACATTGCTTAAAGAAGGTAGTCTGAGAATTACCATTATTCTGATCTGTGTAACTTGGAAGGCAGATTCAGTTCCTGTAGAAAAAATAGTACTTGCTCTGGTTTTTCCAGTCTCTGTAAGAAAACCTGAGAAAAGGAAAAACTAAAGTTAGGATGACTGACTCATTTTTATAACCCTATAAAACAATCTTATAGAACTATAATCTAACATAAACAAATGATATCCTTTGAGGCAGGGGGCAACTGGTCTATCTGGTACCTTCATGAAAATTAGAAAAATGTTCCCTTTGGACAGATGCAACTGCACTGATAAACCCCTAGGTGAGTAGCGCATTGGCCAGGGCACATTCTCTCACCCTTCTAGGCAGTCCTGCTCTGAGGTAACAATAAGGAAATAAATATTTATAAACATTGTGACTTTAATTCAAAGAGACAAAAGACAGGACAATTGATTATCTTCCTGAGCCATGTCTAAAACCATGACTGATGGTTGCCTAGGCTGATAAAAGCAAGCAGGCATAGAAACAAGCAAGCAAGAAGGGGAATAGTGAGCTTCTACAATACTCTAGATTGTGAAAGACTTTCCAATGAATGAAATAAAAACTGTGTATCCTAGCTAACACTCTCGGTTGTCTCCACCTTTTATTATCTATAAACTATTTTACAATCCTGTAAGTTGTAGAATACTGGTAGTAATGCAAATGATTCTTGTCCATTCTGTGGAAATGTAGCTGATTATTCCTTACAGATATTGACAAATTTTTTATCTACTTGTAATTAATTTCAGCATTCCTATTGGTCTAGTGTATTTTATGAATTCTCCTTTGAACTGTTTACAACATCTTACTGGTTCCCTTATTAATTAATTAAGGAGCAAAATAAAAAGTCTGATGCGTTCATTTATATTTGAATGAGAATCATGATTTACTTTTCTTGTTGTTAATTATCCTTTAACAACTCACAAAAAGGTCTTCTGCTAGACCCAAGGTGTCTTTCTCTTTTTAATTTCTGTAAATAACATAACTCATGCATATGCTCAAGCCAGCATAAAATTACTATTTTTTCTGAGACTCAGAATTGTTCTTAACCACTATGCCTATCAAAATGAAAAGACTAGAACCAAGTTCATGCTATTTCATTACTATGAGTTCAATAAAACAAAAATTTATGAAGTTGAATTTCCATAAGATAATGTACAAAACTTATCACCAAAACTAAGAAATTAAATCCAAAGAAACTTTTACTAATTTATAGAAAGAAGCTATTATATGATCTGGTTCTATTCTACATAGTAATTGTGTATACAATTTTAAAACCACATTGGCAAAAATTCACACAACTCCACTAATAGTAATACTAATCACCTTTCCCCAGAGATCTGGATGCCTCTATTTAAAGGAGTCTATTATAAAGGCTGAAATACTGCCTAGAAGTTAAATGATAAATCAGCAATTTTAATTAGTCTCAAAGCAGCTAAAACAATAATTTAAGTCAACAGAATCAGACAATCAGTCAATCTATCTATCTATCTACAGACAAGGTCTTCTTTCTTTCTACCTATCTATCTATCTATCTATCTATTTAGAGATAGGGTCTTGCTCTGTCACTTGGGATTATAGGCGTGAGCCACTGTGCCTGACCTAGACCTTTTGGTTTTGTGAGACTCTTTTTATATATATATATTTTTTTGAGACAGAGTCTCATTTTGTTGCCCAGGCTAGAGTGAGTGCCGTGGCGTCAGCCTAGCTCACAGCAACCTCAATCTCCTGGGCTCAAGCGATCCTTCTGCCTCAGCCTCCCGAATAGCTGGGACTACAGGCATGCGCCACCATGCCCGCCTAATTTTTTCTATATATATTAGTTGACCAATTAATTTTTTTCTATTTATAGTAGAGACGGGGTCTCGCTCTTGCTCAGGTTGGTTTCGAACTCCTGAGCTCAAACGATCTGCCCTCCTCGGCCTCCCAGAGAGCTAGGATTACAGGCGTGAGCCACCACGCCCGGCCTATGAGATTCTTTTTAAATAACATTGCCATCAAATACATTTACTTTTTTTTCCGAAAAGGCAAAACAAAAACCCTTAAACAATAAATAAAACCTTTGAGCTTCCTTTTCTGGGTAAGAAACCAGCTTGCATGTTTAATTGAGATATTGTAAATCTATAACTCTTTTGATACCTAGCCCTCCACTTGCCAAATTTATTCTCTTAAAATGACAGGGAAAGAAAACCAATCACAGATTTAAAGGATTTAATAAGTCTACCACTTTAGATGTATTGGCAGCATCCAGTATTCCTTTAAAATACCAGACTAAATGACAGTGGCTACCTGGAATATTAGCCCTTCAGAGTGTCTACATTCAAGTTCTCTGGGCATTCTGTGGGCACATGTCCCCCTGGTACTTCCCTGCAGTTGGGGGACTTGAAGTGTGCCTGCGAAAAGAGCTTTAATTCCTGTGGGAAGAAAAAAGATCACCCTCAAGGTCCAACAATCCTGGCTGTGAGTACTTTCCTCCTGTCTGTCTCTTCAGACTGACTGTCTGTAGTGGAGCAAGAGAGACCAACACCTAACCTGAGTTCCAAGAAATGGACAGTGACGGCTGTCAAAGGAGTGACCATTCACATCCTACCTTTGTGCTTCTCAGAACCACAACAAAAATAACAAATCCACAAACTAAAGCTAGATTTTAAAAATCCAGGCATCTAAATGAGGTGGAAGGCAAGAAGGAGAGCTGGGCAAGCAAAAGATAGAGAGAGAGAGTAACAAAAGTCTTCAAATCAGACGAGCACAGGACTGGCAAATACTCTTGATAGCTACAGAAAAGGCTGTGGTGCTTTTAGACTCAGAATAGTGGTGTCAGAAAGATTCTGCCTTACATGATCCAGAGACACAAGTTCCAATTCTTCAGAGAGTGTGAAGGGCAAATACAGAGGGCCCCTAGCAGAGTGGTCTTGCCTTTCCTGGGTAGTGGGAGGAAAACAGGGCAGAGAGCTGCCACCACCTCCTCCCAAGCCCACCCACTTTGGATGGCAGGTGACTCGGCAACCTGCTATGACCTCAGTGTGGCTAGAGATGGATGCAATGAAGGAAACTCCTCTGCAAAGGCTGAGTTGCTCAGGGAAGGCTGTAGGAAAACCATCTTGTTCAAGAGTCTACTGCTTCAGAGGACCACCAAGGAGAGGAGGTGCAACTCAGAAATCATGTTTCCCCAGGGGTCTTTCCTTCATTGGTGTTAAGAATGAATACAGGACACTGGACAGATGAGAGGCAACTGCTGAGAATGTATGAGGACTGCGCTGCTGTGAGGAAAGCCCAGGGGAAACCAAATCCAAAGCACAGGGCCAACCCCTTTCTACGGTTGATAACTGCTGGAACATTTCACCTCCTTTAGTGATCAGTAAGATTCAGAGCAGGATAGTGAGTGTAAAAGGGACACATCCAGGACACTAACCAAGTGGCCAGCAAGATGGATGAGGAAGACATTCACAAACCCCCTGGATGAGGAAAAGAGCCCACAACAAAGCAGAAGCGCATAGTAGCAATTATTCCGCTAGCACTAGGGAATGAGCGACGCTCCCTCCCAGGCACTTCAAATGCGAGATCGACGATCTTGGGAAATACCCTTCTTCTTAAATTATGTTTTCAGCAGTGAAGTGCTACTGATCCACTGAGCTTCTTAATACTTGAAGATGGCACAAGAGAAAGACATTCTAAACTTAAAAAACAATCAAAACAGTCACTTTTTATATTCCAAGACAAGTCCTTGCTTTTCAAAACTGTGAAGAGCGTTCAGGATCTCAAATACTTGTAAGTTGTTACAGGTCACTGACACCTAGAAAGATTACAACTAAACCATAGAAACTATTTGGGAACCACTGCCAACTGAAAAAAGACCTGAGTGAAGACTGCACACCCTGAAAATTTCAAAGACGATAGTGTGATTTCACACAGCTGTCTACTGAGCACACTAGAAACGGATGGACCCACCACGTACCGTCTCTTGTCCACGGTTCAACAAGGAGGTTTTCAGGTCCTGACTTATCTTCTTTTCCTTTGACATCACATGCCTGAAGAGTCAACTGGAGAGGTTTACCTGATCAGAGAAAAAGAGAGAGTGAGCCTTAAGCGCTAGCACTATGGAAAAATAGAAACTAGTATGCCTGTTAGTGGAAATGGAGTGCCTGTGGCCACCCGGACCGCTGACTAAAGTACCCATTTAACACACCGACTGCCACACTAGAAAAAAAATTTTTCCCTGGGGCCATGGTGTTTCATTAAAACAAAATGATCCTCTCTAATTTGTTATTTTTTATTGTTTTCTGTGTGTGAGTTATATGTGATGCAATCCACGTTTTTAGAATTAAATCGTCAATATTAATTATAACAATAAGGACAAGTAAGATTTTCATGAACTAACTGCAAGGTTTTGCTTTACAAGGCCCTGAGCTCAAAACTAGGTTGAGTTAAATACAACTCACATGGCAGTAATGTGTAAAGAGCTAAAAAAGAACAGTAATATTAGACAAAAGTTGACACCATCCCTCTGTGCTTTCCTGAAAGAGACAGAGGAGAGCTTATGTCCCTGAGTGATTCTAAGGAGAGGTCTCTAGAAGAATCACTGTTTAGAAACAAAGCACATTATAAGATATAGATTAATACCATAGACTTAACATGTTTGAGAGGGGGATTCCTCAGATACTGTTGTGGAGCCAATACTTAACTTCATCGTGTTGCATTTAAATACATAAATAATGTTTTAGGTCTTGTTTGTGTAAAACATCGCCAGACAAATTTTCAAAGTTTCAAAAATTATAAAGATAAACTTTTGCTATGATGATCTGAAAACTTTTTCCTTTTGTTTTAATAACAAAAGGAACGCTCATTAGTCTACAACATAACCCAGAACTAGAACATTACTATTAATGTACATTCCCCCTACACATTCCTCCCCTGCCCAAACAACTATTAATTTGAATCACAAACTTTTCTGAAGTACACTTCAGCTTCCAGGTACTACCTATCCCTGCCATTTGGGTCCCCCACCCCTCTAAAAACAGACCTTTCCAAATTTAGAGGGGGATGAACTAGATTTATAAGACATCAATTGTCTGACTTTAAAAATTAAACATAAAATAAGTTGCTAAGTCATATTAAAACAACGATACAAATAGCACGGCAGAAATATCATAGTAATGCCTCTCTCCTGAAGCAGATGGATGTAACACTGTATGTAGTGGACAGAAACTTTAGCACTAGAGGCCAGGATGGCCAGTAAGCTGCTCCTCACAGGCCAAATGCAGTCATCTGGGAGTACATTTACGGGCTCCTGTGTTGAGACGGATTAGAAAGCCCAATCCTGGCTCCCATCCCCACTCTTTGCCTACACAATGAGACACTCCTACTCTCTTAGCCTACACAATGAGACACTCCTGGATGTCACCAAAAATGGCTGTGCTCAAATGGCCACCAAACTTGCACAATTATGCCCAGTAAATCTTGGGAGTGCAGCCTTGTAGACACTCAAGTGTCCTCTTTTGCTCATACTGCCATAAATGAACCAACATCCCTCTTCTTCCTACCAACCCCAAAGTCTGATACTCAGAAGAGATGTTCATCCAGGAATCATGGAATTAGTATAACCACCCAGTCCATAAACTCCCCCAAAACACAAGAAGATGCCAGGAGGTCACATGGTGAGGATGGGTTTATGATTTGTCCCTGCTGGCATTTCCATCACACCCAGGTCATTTACCATATTTGAGGAGCAGGTTCTGTCTGACAGATGCCATGGACGAAATGAGGGATGAGGCATCGTACTGTGTGTCCAAGTGGTCAGTGATGGTACACAGAGAGCTCATCACTTTCGTAACACTTCCTCTTGCTAATGCAAATGCCAGAAGAGTCAGTTCTACCTCTGGGGTAGAACAGCAGCTATAACCAAAGAGCGGAAACTTTTTACTTCTTAAAAACATGAGAAAATACAAGTAACTCAAACCCCATGTAATTGATTACCCTAAGTAATGTTAACATACCATATGCTCTCTATAGGTTTAACAGAAATATTTTTTCAAAATCCTTAATATAACCTAAGGAAAACTATATCAACCCAGAAGATCAAGGAATTAAATCCTCAGTTCTATAACTTTAATCTTTAAATACTAAATAATACTAATAAGCCAAAAATAACTGAGCTGCTGCAATAGGCTTCTGCTATTAAGAAGCCCTGGGTAATGAGTTGGTTTGGCAAGAGAGATGAGGGTTTATGCCTTGAAGTACCAAAATTTCATTTTAGATCTACTCCACATCACTCTTTAATTTATTTTTTTATTTTTTATTTTTTTTGAGACAGAGTCTCACTTTGTTGCCCAGGCTAGAGTGAGTGCCATGGCGTCAGCCTAGCTCACAGCAACCTCAAACTCCTGGGCTCAAGCGATCCTTCTGCCTCAGCCTCCCGAGTAGCTGGGACTACAGGCATGTGCCACCATGCCTGGCTAATTTTTTCTATATATATTAGTTGGCCAATTAATTTGTTTCTATTTATAGTAGAGATGGGGTCTCGCTCTTGCTCAAGCTGGTTTCGAACTCCTGACCTCAAGCAATCCGCCTGCCTCAGCCTCCCAGAGTGCTAGAATTATAGGCGTGAGCCAACGCACCTGGCCTCTGCCTTTAATTTAAACACATTACACTGAAACTTTTAAAATTGTCTAAAAGTACACTAAACCTTTAAAATTGGCTCAGAGACTGGTCAGGGCTCACTGAAGCAGAGCTGAGTGTACCCACACTAAATAGTCCCCTTTTATCAAGCTATCCAGGTGCCCTTCCCCAATTCTACAGATAATCAGGTTTACCAGGCCTGTGTGTGAAGGATGGCAGATTCTAAATGAGGGCCACAGGCTGGGGACAGGAGTGAACTGGGAGGCCTTGCATTTTGGACTTTGATACAGACATTTATTCTAGCAAAATTGGAAGACTATTTTTCCCATATTCCCCAATTCTTGAGGTCAAGTGATATTTCTGGATAATGGAGTTTAGATGGCTAAATTATTATGTCTCTTTCTCCTCAGCTGCTAAGAATGAGCTAAGTTTAGTGGTGATCTTAAAAAGATTAAAATTTTTTTTCAAAAACGAGACCTAACAGACACATACGCCCTCCATCCCCCATAGAAAGTTCACCTCATCAACCTTGATTTTACCTAGTTATCCTTATGAGGAAACTGTCCACTTCTTCCAGCACATTGGGAGACAGGAAAGTGGAGAAATCTGTAGATCCTGGTGAGAGGGAAAGTGGAGGCATGTGCTGCAGTGCCTTCCTAGAAGAGTGAAATGTGAAATCAGAATAAAACTAGGCCAAATATTAGACAAAAAAATAAATTATTAAAGTTTGTGCTGGTTAACCTCTTACAAATCGATAACGGTCTCACCAAGAAGCTGGTACACAATATAAACCAGCCCCTTTCCTCAAGAGTCACCGTCCTAAGTAGTTTAACAGAGTTTCATATTTTTTCTTTCTCTTGGGAGTTCCATTTTGCCCTGTTGAATAAAAGCTTATTCAATTCTTGGGAATCCAGCCTTCATTTTAAGTAGAATGAGCAAAAGACATATGCACTCTACAGAAACCCTGGAGTTCTTAGAAAAACTGACCCCAGAGGCAGAGAACTTGCGGCTCCGCAGAAAATTTATTTTATATGTAGGATTTTAAGATCTGTGTTATCTAAAGACGTACCATGAATTTTGTTTTCTCCTAAACAGATCAGCATCCATCACTTTCTCCCTTCCTGTCGTATTTCTTGGCCTTTCCACCCTAATGTCTGTTTAATGTTTCCCTTTTCTTGTCTCCTTTTATATTTATCTTTCTGAATCCTTAGATTTACCTCCTCTGGACTAGCATTCGTCTAACTAATTAATGAAACAAATCATTACTGAGTCCTACTATGTGCCAGAGACTATGGTAGATGAGTGGGTGGGTATACCATGAAAAACTTGAAAGTATGCCTTGAATGTATCAAAAAATAACTCAAATTTCTACAATTGACAGTCACTTTATGATATCAGTAATGAGAATCTTGGAAACAATTTTATTTCTGCATTTCAAAATAGAGACAACATGGCAAAGCTAACACTGTGTCAGCTTCTACTCCGCTCTAGTATCTTTTCCTATCTACTTAATGAGCCATCTTTGGGCTGTACCAGCATGGTGGCTATGCTCAGACGCAGCTGATCGATGAGGTCTGATCACTTGAGTAGCATGTATCGTTTACTGAATTTATTTCCACTGATATAAGTAAACACTTTTGTCTCAAAATATTCTCTTTTTTTTTTAGAGAGACAGTGTCTTGCTCTGTCACCCAGGCTGGAGTGCAATGGCACAATCAATCATAGCCCACTACGGCCTCCACCTCCTGGGTTCAAGTGATGCTCCTGCCTTTGCCTCCGAAATTCCTGAGATTATAGGCGTGAACCACTGTGCCCAGCCAACCAAAAATATTGATTTTCTTACCTACTTTTCCTCATTTATCTTTTTTCTAATAAATCTTTTATTACAGAATAGTTTTAGATCACTGATATTAAAAAGTCAGGAGTATATGAAAATATCATTGCAGATGAACGAGTACAACTAAGTAGGGTTATAAACTTTAAAATACATCCATTCTTGCAGGGCATGGTGGCTCACGCCTGTAATCCTAGCTCTCTGGGAGGCCAAGGCGGGCGGATAGCTCGAGGTCAGGAGTTCGAAACCAGCTTGAGCAAGAGCAAGACCCCATCTCTACTATAAATAGAAAGAAACTAATTGGCCAACTAATATATATATATATAAAAATTAGCTGGGCATGGTGGTGCATGCCTGTAGTCCCAGCTACTCGGCAGGCTGAGGCAGTAGGATTGTTTGAGCCCAGGAGTTTGAGGTTGCTGTGAACCAGGCTGACGCCATGGCACTCTCTAGCCTGAGAAACAAAGTGAGACTCTCAAAAAAAATAAATCAATACATAAAAATAACTAGATTCAAACTGATCCATCATTAACTCGTTGTGTGACCTCAGGGAAGATCACAATATCCTCATCTATAAAATGGAAATAGTTTTCACAGGTACATTTCAGTGTCAGCAGGTAAAACATCAGCAAGCATCTGAAAATGCTCTATCCAATATAAAGTCCTATACAAACATGAGCAATTTTTCCCCAACGGATAAGAAACAGGCACAGCATGAGTGACCCTCTCACAAGACTGGTCCGCTTAGTGAGCTGATGAAGGAGGACTTTAGATGAACTGTGTGAGGAGGAGCAGGAAGGTGGAACGGGCGCTTCTTCACAGTCTGTGGAGTCAGAACATCAGCCAAAGAGAGCAGCAGCATGGAGTGAAGGGCACAAACAGGAAACACGAAGGCACCAGGGGCTGAGTCATGATGATCATGATCGAGTCATGATGATCAATGATCGAAGGCTGCTCAGTGACACTCCCTAAAGGATCAGAGAAGAATGAGTGCATCTTGACGGGGCTGGAAAATAGAGAAAGTGACTTACTGAGTATTGTGCAGCACTGTCTGGACAAAGGCAGGATTTGTCTCCATGGAGGCCGTCACCAGAGATGTCAGCAGAGACCAATACCATATTGCAGAAGCATCTGAGACTGAGACTCCAGCCTTCTTAACTCTCTGAAAGCCAACAGCTCTCAGACCGTGTATTCTAGTGTCACATCCATCGCTAAGACAACGCTTTACGTTAATCTGGACATCTGTCAAGCACAAACAACAAATTCAGTATTGGATTAACTTCTTTAGTTCAGCAAATGCTAGGCTTCCAACTAAAGGCAAAATAGTAATTGATATTCTGAAAAGAAAATTCTACAGATATATTTTGATGACAGAAATAAATAATGTGTGCAATGGAACTAGTATATAATAAACTTGTCAAAAAGCACTGACAAATCTAAGAAATCATAAGAATAATGTGTAAAATTAAGGGTGGCTTAAGCCTTTACATCACAAAACTTCTTAGGAACTCAATGAGTCTTGAAAGTTAGAGAGTATTTTAACAATCCTGATTGAATACATGGTATAAGACCATTTCTAGAATTCTCCCTAGGGTTCTGAAATTTGGATTGAATCATACAATAGTAGCTGGATCATAAGCAGTTGTATTTCTTTTTCGTTAGTAATCAAGTCCAAATAGATGACACTGACATGACTCACTTTTAAGAAATGTCACAATTTTTTATTTGGGTCAAAGAGGAGGAGGTGAGAAGTTAAAAAGGACATAACTTAGAGAAAAGACCAGCACAGTATGAGACAGGAAGCTTCTACTCCACAAGCTTAACTACTTTTTCACCTAGGGGTGAGACACAAAGACTCTACCTCCCTACTCAGTTCCTTTGAGCAAAGTAAGAACACTTCTTTTGGCCCAGGAAAGCATTAGAAGAAATGAGACAAAACATGAAGCATTCCGGCTCCCTGAATGAAATAAGCCTGGAAAGAAATCACAGAATTGTGATTATTTCCAAAATTCTATGTGTGAAGCAAGGTTACAATAGTATAAAACTGGAAACCACCTAAATGTCCAAGAATAAGGGGTGGGTTAAAATTAAGGCATATTGTTACAACACTAAATAAAGGTGTTTGTGAATATGATATGATAACACACTAAAAAAATTATAAAAGAACATACATAGACTATCACCATTCTTATAAAAAGATATGTGTATATATATGTAAAATATATATATACAACTATATTTTTTCTTTTGTGTTACAAACTTACATAATATATCCAACTATAATTTTTAGAAAAAAAATTTGTGTATATGTGTGTGTATGTATGTATATAAAGTAAACCACACACACACACACACACACACACACACACACACACAAATACAAGAAAAGGTCTGGAAGGATCCACACCAAGGTAGTCACAGTGAAAATCCCAGAGTAGTAGGATTTTGAATATTTTTCTTTATCTACATTTTTCTGTTTTTTCAATTAAAAAAAGGAATAAAAGATTTTTAACTAAAAAAAGGTTTTCCTACCTTTCTGTAATTTTTAAAAACACTTAGTAGATGACATAATGATCACTTTTGTGTATATCCTAAGGAACAAATCAAATCTCAAAAAAAAAACCTAACAGCTTCTCCACTTCAGAAGGTCCTCCTGCTAAAAAATATTACTTCTCTTCCTCCCTTCGCCATTCCCTCAGTTCTGTGTCACTCACAGGGCTGACTGATGTTGGCATTTTCCAGCAGTGTCACGTAGCCAGTGACATTGCTGGGGATGTGCACATCTCGGACTTCCTGAAGATCGCTGGCATTCCTCCCCACAGCCACTGTCACCTGCTGGGGCATGTAGCTCTGGTCAGTGGCAGCCACTGCAATGGATAGGTGCCTGAGCACAACATCTGGCTTCATTTTTAAACTGGAAAACACAGAGGACAGAAACTACAAAAGTTTATATGGGTCAAGAACTGACAGGGTCCACAAGTCCCATCTCAACGATCTTATTTGATATCAAATTTAATATACCCAGAGACTAATTTCCCTAACAACTACTAACTTGAAATGCTGGTTATGAGTTTCAAAGTCCTCATGACCCTCCCCTGCTTCTAAAAAACATTTCAGTTCAAGATTAATCTTACCACTCTTTTTAAGCCACTGGTATAAGCAGGAAATAACTGTATGAACATTCTAACAAAATCCTTTTCCCCAGCACAAAGCAAATTATAAATTCCATGCAAACAATTGAGTATATTCCCTCATCTGTAAATTTTATGGCTAAGGGTCAAATGTGCCCTCTAAGGGAAAACAAGACAACTATTTCTATTTTTACGAATTGGAAATAGTCCATTTTCTCAGGGGACAGGTGAAAATTTTGATAGCAGCTTTAGAACATTTAGAAATACTACAGTTTACTGTTATCAATTCCACTCCAGGATTCCTGACTATCCCATTCCATCTCCTAAACTGACCAATTCAGTTGCATACAATAGATTTAAAACATATACAGAAAGGGCCTGGGCATGGTGACTCATGCCTCTAATCCTAGCACTCTGGGAGGATGAGGCAGGTGGATTTTTTGAGCTCAGGAGTTTGAGTCCAGCCTGGGCAAGAGCAAGACCCCATCTCTACTAAAAATAGAAAGAAATTAGCTGCACAACTAAAAATATATAGAAAAAAATTAGCCAGGCATGGTGGCATATGCTTGTAGTCCCAGCTACTCGGGAGGCTAAGGCAGGAGGATTGCTTGAGCCTAGAAGTTTGAGGTTGCTGTGAGCTAGGCTGATGCCATGGCACTCTAGCCTAGGCACTTTAGGCAACAGAGTAAGACTTTGTCTCAAAAAAAAAAAAAAAATATATATATATATATACACACACACACACAGAAAGGATCTTTTTCTGCCAAATCTCAGAAAAGGGGGAAAAATTTTAAAAAAATTTAAAATAAGGAAAAAGGCAAAAAACAAAACATAATCACATGTGATATAAAAAGTACTTGCCCCTTATGATACTAATTTTCCCAAGAAACTATTTAAAAAAAACATCTAAAAATCAGTACTGGCCGGGCACAGTGGCTCACACCTGTAATCCTAGCACTCTGGGAGGCCGAGGAGGGCGGACTGCTCAAGGTTAGGAGTTTGAAACCAGCCTGATCAAGAGTGAGACCCCGTCTCTACTAAAAATAGAAAGAAATTAATTGGCCAACTAAAATATATGGAAAAAATTAGCCGGGCATGGTGCGGCATGCCTATAGTCCCAGCTACTCTGAGGCTGAGGCAGGATTGCTTAACCCCAGGAGTTTGAGGTTGCTGTGAGCTAGGCTGCTGCCACGGCACTCTAGCCCGGGAAACAGAGTGAGACTCTGTCTCAAAAAATAAAAAATAAAAAATAAATTAAAATCAGTGCCATAAAATATTAGTCAAATGCTATTTCCTCCTTTAAAACGTCAAGAAATTAACTATGTTTATGAATATATGACCCAGGTTACATGATTTTACAGGATTCCTTTGATTTGATTCTTAAACCAGTCTCACAGATAGCTACTAATGATAAGAAAAAAAGTAGAAAACATTCCAACATTTTAAAAAATAAAAAAAGCATTCTAGCACCCACCGAATCCAGTGCGAGCGGGCACTGCCATCTGACTGCCAGTAGGAGGATGTTTCTCCATTTGTCATCTTGTCGACGTCTGTAGGGTTGGAGGATGTTTCTATATAAGCATAGCACTTTGCTACTGACTTGAGTTTATCCATCTCTGGGCTTCTAGTTAAATCTCCAGGGCTTTCTGCAGGGGAAACCAGTTTATCATATGACATCTCTTTTGCAAAGGAAAAAAAAAGGTCATTTAAAATATTTAACAGAAGTATGTCTGGCACTTTGGCTCCAGAGACATTATAATGTTCCTTAAAATCTCCTTCCAAAGAACACATTGGCCAAGGATTGCCCCAGCATCTCATTACAGTGCAATATTTAAATTACTTATATATTTGCAAAACTATGCCAAGAGAAGAAAACGATGTTTTATAGTGTCACTAGTCTTCTTATCAATTCATACATTTTATATATATTATCTAATGTATATACACAAATATATACAATAGTTAATATTTACTTGAGTGTTTATTGTGAGCTGAGTACTCTTCTATTCATTCTCTATGTACTAATTCATTTTAGAAATGAGGAAACTGAGCTGGGCATGGTGGCTCATGCCTATAATCCTAGCACTCTGGGAGGCCAAGGCAGGAGGACTGCTCGAGGTCAGGAGTTCAAAACCAGCCTGAGCAAGAGCAAGACCCTGTCTCTACTATAAATAGAAAGAAATTAATTGGCCAACTAATATATATAGAAAAAATTAGCCGGGCATGGTGGCACATGCCTGTAGTCCCCACTTACTCTAGCCTGGGCAACAAAGAGAGACTCTGTCTCAAAAAAAAAAAAAAAAAGAAAGAAAGAAATGAGGAAACTAAGGAACAGAGAGTTAAGTAATTGCCCAAGGGCAGACTTACTAAAAAATTTAGTCAGTCAATTGAGTGAGTCAATTAATAATATATTACAAAGTATATTTTTGTTTCCTAGAATGTTCTTTGACTCTGCTTATGATATATTTTTGCTGTAAAGAACTTTATATTTCCATACAATCTAATTTATTAATCCTTTCCTTTGTAGATTCTGGGTTTCATGCCTTGCTTAGAAAGGTGGTATCATACTTTACGAAGTGGAATTATTTTCTTCTATTATTTTTAGCACTTTTTTCACTTGAAATGTTTGATCCATCTGAAATTTATTTTAGTGAATGGAATGTGTTAAGAATATAGTTTTATTTTTTCTCCAAATGGCTAACCAGTTGCCCTAACCCTACTTGCTGCACTTCACCTTTCTATTATAACACTGACTTTATCTGGTAATGTATTCCCATATGTACTTGGGTCTATTTCTGGACTCAATTATGTTCCACAGACCTGTTTATACACATCATCAACTTTTGTTATTATAATTGAGCCTGTAGTGGCTTCCCTCATTTATTCAAAAAATACTCATTGAGTTCCTACTATGTGACAGACAGAGTTCCAGGTGCTAAGAATAAGGAAGCAAACAAGACCTACAAAATACAAGTAAATAAATAACACTACAAGCTCAACTAACAGAAAGTGCTATTTATTGGAGTTCAGTTGGAATTGGAAAAAAAAAAAGAAAGTGCTATTTAGACCATTAAGCCTGCAAAAGTGATGTTGACCAGAAGGTGGGGAGAGGAAAGGCATCCCTAAAGTCACACCTGAATAGAAAAGTGAAAGATGAAAAATTAGTTGTGTAAAGAAAGGAGGGAGGCAGGGAGGGAAGGAGGAGAAAGATCACATTCTTAAGCTACAAACTGGTTACTATATTGTCAGAAATAAAGGCAAGGAAAAGGATTGGCTCATTTCATTAATAAACACTACATTTAGAAATGATGACAGAGTATTTTCAGGAGAGCCCCTCAAACACATACCCTTTTCTTTTTGTACTAGTTGATCCAGAGACTCCTTCAGAACTGAAGACCTCATGGTGCACATGTTATTGCAGTGCTCCAACATCGGGTAGGGTATCACCGTGCTAGAGATCCGATTGCGATGCAGGAAGCGCAGTATCATTGACGCATGAACACCAAGGCCCTCCTTTGACTCTGAAAATATGTCTATAAAACCTAAATAGACAAAATCCATTGTTGGTTTTTTAGGGAAGCCACAATAGTTTCCACATCCGCTGTCTGGTGGCCTATCCAAATTGGCTGAATTAAAAGCAGCTATTAACAATCTTCAGCTTTAATCATATTTGATATTTTCAGCTTTAATCATTTAAAAATCTAAATAAGTTTTAAAGAAATGAACCAGTAGCAATCTCAGTCTAAGAATTTATTTCACTTCAGTTGAACAGAATTTTAGAAGACTTAGAATAATGATTATTTGTTTCAATCCAAACTTTAGAAACTAATAAGCACTTAAATAACTAATTAGAGGTTTTTAAGGAGTTTTACATATAGAATATAGGCTAGGAATAAAGTTTATTGCATTAGAGAGTAAAAGCATAACTAATTTTATACTAAGCTATATAAGACAATGATAATGACAATAAAACCCCTCCCATTACCACAATTTCCAACTGCATTTTCCAATTTATAAGGTTCTTCCACATACATCATCTCATGTGGTCCTCACAACAAGATCAGGGGGTATACATAGAAGGTACAGGTATCCTTGTTTGATCATATCAACAGAATGAAGGACAAAAACCATATGATCATTTGAATTGATGCTGAAAAAGCATTTGATAAAATTCAATATCCCTTCATGATTAAAAAACTCTCAAAAAACTGGATATAGAAGGAACTTACCTCAACATGATAAAAGTCATATGAGACAGACCCACAGCTAGTATCATACTGAATGGGGAAAAACTGAAAGCCTTTCCTCTAAGATCTAGAACAACACAAGGGTACCCATTCTCACCACTATCATTCAACACAATACTGGAAGTTCTAGCTAGAGCAATCAGACAAGAGAAAGAAATAAAGGGCATCCAAATTGGAAAGGAAGAAGTCAAATTATATTGTTTGCAGATGCTATCTTATATCTAGAGAAACCTAAAGACTCCACCAAAAAATTATTAGAACTGATAAACAAATTCAGTAAAGTTGCAGGATACAAAATCAACATATAATAATTAGCAGCATTTCTATATGCCAACAGTAAGTACTAGAAAAAGAATCCAAGAAGGTAATCCCATTTACAATAGCTACAAATAATAAAATATCTAGGAATAAACTTAACCAAAGAAGTAAAAGATCACTATAAGGGAAAACTATAAGACATTGATAAAATAAGTTGAAGAGGACACCAAAAAAATGGAAACATATTCCATGCTCTTGGATTGGAAGACTCAATATCATTAAAATGTCCATGCTACCCAAAGCAATCTACAGATTCAACGCAATCCCCATCAAAATACCAATGACATTCTTCACAGAAACAGAAAAAATAATCCTAAAATTTCTATGGAATCACAAAAGACCTAAAATAGTCAAAATCATCCTAAGGAAAAAGAATAAAACTGGAAGAATCACATTACCTGACTTCAAATTATACTACAGAGCTGTAGTAGCCAAAACAGCATGGTATTGGCATAAAAACAGATACATAGACCAATGGAACAGAATAGACAACCCAGAAATAAATCCACACATCTATAATGAACTTATGTGAACTTATCTTCAACAAAGGTGCCAAGGACATAGAGTGGGGAAATAACAGTCTCTTCAATAAATGGTGCTTGGGATAACTGAATAACCACATGCAGAAGAATGAAATCTGACCTTTATCTCTTGTCATATACAAAAATAAAACCAAAATGGATTAAAGACTTAAATCTAAGACCTAAAACTATGAAACTACTAAAAGAAAACATTGGGAAAATGCTTCAGGACATTGGTCTGAGCAAGGACTTCAGCAATACCCCCAAAGCACAGGCAACCAAAGCAAAATTGGACAAATGAGATCCCGTTAAGCTAAAAAGCTTCTGCACAATGAAAGGAACAATCAACAAAGTGAAGAGACAATCCACAGAATGGTAAAAAACATTTGTAAGCTACCCATCTAGGATTCATAACTATACTATATAAAGATTACCAACAACTTGGTAGGAAAAAAATCAAATCTGATTTAAAAATGGGCAAAGCATCTGAAAAGACATTTCTCAGAAAAAGACATTCAAATGGCCAACAGAAATATGAAAAAATGCTCAACATCATTAATCATCAGAGAAATGCAAATAAAAACTACAATGAGATTTTATCTCATCCCAATTAAAATGGCTTTTATCAAAAAGACAGGCAATAATGAATGCTGGTAAGGATGTGGAGAAAGGGGAACCCTTGTACACTGTTGTTGGGAATGTAAATTAGTGCAACCACTATGGAAAACAGTATGGAGGTTCCTCAAAAAACTGAAAATAGAACTACCATATGACCCAGCAATCCTACTGCTGGGTATATAACCAAAGGATGGGAATTCAGTATATTGAAAAGACATCTGCTCTTCCACCTTTACTGTAACACTACTCACAATAGCCAAGACATGGAATCGACCTAAGTGTCTATCAAAAGATGAATGGATAAAGAAATTGTGGTACAGGCCGGGCGTGGTGGCTCATGCCTATAAACCTAGAACTCTGGGAGGCCAAGGCAGGCAGATCGCTGAAGTTCAGGAGTTCGAAACCAGCCTGAGCAAGAGCAAGACCTCGTCTCTACTAAAAATAGAAAGAAATTAATTGGCCAACTAAAAACACATAGGAAAAAATTAGACAGGCATAGTGGCGCATGCCTGTAGTCCCAGCTACTCGGGAGGCTGAGGCAGGAGGATCACTTGAGCCCAGAAGTTTGAGGTTGCTGTGAGCTAGGCAGGCGCCACAGCACTCTAGCCCGGGCAACAGAGTGAGACTCTGTCTCAAAAAAAAATAAATAAATAAAAACAACTGATCTCATGGAGATAGAGAGTAGTATGATAAGTTACCAGAGTCTGAGAAGGGTAACACAATGGGGGGATAAAGAGGGAATGGTTAATGAATGCAAAAATATAGTTAGTTGAAGTGAATAATTTTGATAGCACAACAAAGTGATTATAATTAATAAATTAGGGTATACTTTAAAATAACTAAAAGTAGAATTTGAATGTCCCTAACACAAAGAAATGTTAAATGCCTGAGGTGACAGATACTCCAATTACCCTGATTTGATAATTCACATTGTATGCTGCTATCAAAATATTACATATACCCTATAAGGATATATAACTATTATGTACCCATAATTAAAAATTAAAAGTAAAAAAATAAAAAACTACCTAATGAATTATAGCATACATAACAAAAAATACATATATTATAATTGTATCGCTCAATGAATTTTCACAAACTGAACACACTTGTGTAAGCAGCACCCAGATCAAGACTCCATTAGTCCCTAGATGAAGTTGTTTTTAATAGTAAAACAAACAGATACATTAGAACAGAATGAAACTCTGCGTTGATTTTGAAGATAAAACATGAGGCTGAGAAGAAACTCTGCACTCAAGACAGTCCATTTTAGCCAAACCCTCTACCCAAACTCTGGAGACATCTAATTTCTAAAAACTCAAAAGTCTATACAGGGGGCATGGGGGGGTAGGTGCTAGGGGGGTGGTGAAAAAAAAAGTCTATGCAATCCCTTCCCCCTCCTTTCACAGTTTTTTCTTAGCAGACTCCACAGTAATACCTAAGCCGCACATTTATGCCACTGCTGCATTGATTTTCTCCGCTCAGAACCCATGTCAAAAATTAGACTGGTTCTTGTAATGAGAAAAGTGTTTTCATAGGCTGAAATGTTTGATACATTCACTTAACATTAGATAAATGAATTCAGTTTAACGAATTCAGTAAAGGTGCTGTCTCTCTTTTAAACTCTTAAGCACAAGTACAAACAGATACAAAAGGAACTAGTTTTAGTGTGGGAGGAGGTTAGAAAGAGGGACTAAGAAACTATGAAATTCCACCACTGAGATGACCTCAGCTTACCTAAGACTGATAATTCAATGCTTTTAAATTGGGTGTTGATGGCAAATTTTGAACAGAAAGTCCTAAGTCATGAGCCTGCTATGTAATTGCCTTGGGATTTGGACCGTGGCTTTTTCTCAACCCAATCTCCCCTCACCACAGCTACTCAGCACAAAAGTGCACTAAGTATTATCTGTTGATGGACTCCCTGGTTATCTACCCCTATCCTTTCCTCCTCCAAAATCTCTTCGATGTGTCCAAATAAAGCTCCTGATGCCATTCACATGCTGATAATGCAAAGGCAGGGGCAATATATAAATGCTAAGATATAAATTAGGTAAACTTAATCCAAAGTATAATTTTGATTGCCATGAGACTAGGAAAAAAGTTAATATACATATAATGCTCTATAAAAATTAATTAAAGACAACTTGAGGAAGAATAGAAATACATATTCTTCACTAAGATACAAAAACCATCCTTCCCTAGTTTGACACATCATCACTCAGCAGTAAGCTGCAGCAATCAGATATACATTTATGCACCTGTCAAAACTATTTTGTCAGCCGGGTACAGTGGTTCACACCTGTAATCTTAGCACTCTGGGAGGCCCAGGCAGGAGGATTACTCGAGGTCAGGAGTTCGAAACCAGCCTGAGCAAAAGCTACCCCGTCTCTACTATAAATAGAAAGAAATTAATTGGCCAACTAAAAATATATAGAAAAAATTAGCTGGGCATGGTAGCACATGCCTGTAGTCCCAGCTACTCGGGAGGCTGAGGTAGAAGGATTGCTTGAGCCCAGGAGTCTGAGGTTGCTGTGAGCTAGGCTGATGCCTCAGCACTCACTCTAGCCTGGGCAACAAAGCAAGACTCCGTCTCAAAAAAAAAACAAAAAACAAAAAACAAAAAACCTATTTTGCCTCTGTTGCTGCCCTAACAACTTTGTTATGACAAGCGCACAAAGCAGGGAAAGTTCTTAGGTAAGATGAACTGAGACTAAAAAGAGTTTTTTCCCTTTCAAACACAATTCTCACTGGAAAAAAGGGCAATTTTATTATGATTCTGTCTTTACATAAATCTGAGCCCCTTAAGGAAATCATACAAAAATTTAGGCCAAGTTTTTTCATATGTACAATGCAAAATAAACATTATTTAATTTCAAGCTATTTTTATATCTACTTAGACTTTAAAGTATAGCAGTCCTCCCTTGTCCATGGTCTCAGTTACCCGAGGTCAACTGTGGTCCAAAAATAGATGAGTATGGTACAATAAGATATTTAGAGAGAGACACCACATTCACACAACTTTTATTATAGTATGCTGTTATAATTGCTCTATTTTATTATCAGTTATTGTTAATTTCTTACTGTGCCTAATTTATAAATTAAACTTTATCATAGGCATATATGCATAAAAAATATTATATATTTTTGGTTCAGTACTATCTGTGGTTTCAGGCATCCACTGGAGGTCTTAGAATATATTTCCCACAGATAAGGGAGGACTACTGTAATAGCTTTCTTAAAAAAAAAAAAGTGCTTATGCAGCTGAAGTTTCATTCAAAAAAAAAAAAAAAAAAAAAAAAGATGCCAAATGTAAAGGCACAGCAAAAATAAGAATGTCCCTGCCCTCATGGAGCTCATAGTAGAAGAGTGAAGAGAGACATTTAACAAGTAATTGAGTAATCAGTTAATCAGTTACAATGGTAATATGTTGTAAAAAAGAAACCACAGGATGCTAAGATAAGACACAATATGGCCATGGAAGGCTTCTTAACAGAGCAAATTAAAGAGATCCACTGGCAGTGCATCACACTTGCAATCCTAGCACTCTGGGAGGCTGAGGCGGGAGGATCACTTGAGGTCAGGGGTTCAAGACTAGCCTGGGTCAAAGCTAGACCCTGTCCTTACTAAAAATAGAAAAAATTAGCTGGGCAACTAAAATTAGAAAAAATTGGCCAGATGTGGTGGTGCACGCCTGTAGTCCCAGCTACTTGGAAGGCTGAGGCAAGAGGATCACTTAAGCCCAGGAGCTTGAGAGTGCTGTGAGCTAGGCTAATGCCACAGCACTCTACCCCTGGGCAATACAGCGAGACTCTGTCTCAAAAAAAGAAAGAAAGAAAGAGATCCACTAATGAAGGCAGCCTCATCACAAAGGTTCATAAAAACATAGAACTGCTCAGCCATTACTGTATTAGCGAAGGAAAGAGACCAATTACACTGAATGCTAATTCAGACCATGTGTCTAATGAACACTGTTGGGGGAGTTTACTTCATGGTACCAACAAGCTTACTTAATTTCAACCTATAGTACAGCAAAGTTCATTTTGGTTCTAAGAGAGCACTCTTGAGTGCATGGCACACAGATGTGAGAGCCTTACCTGGAACAAGAGAACAGGCTTGTAGTTGTCTGATGATGTGGCTCAGCTCCCCTTGAAGATTAGCTCCACTGGAATTCTTGAGGGCCTCCAGCATGTTCTCAGCATCGACTGTTCCATCACCCTCGGCATCAAACTGGGCAAAGGCCTACAAGATAAGAAATGAGAGGAAATCAGGGCTGTTCCAAATAATTTTTTTTTTAAACAATTCTTAAGACTAATGATTTTTCCTTTCTTTTTCATTTTGGTTGCAAGGAGAAGAGCTCACCTATATCATTCAAAAAATAAATAAATTCAGGATAATAACTCACTGTGCTTTGTAGGATGTATACATAAAAGTACACATGTATAAACACTTTTATCATCTCGTCTCTCTCCCAAGACAGTAATTTCTCTTTCTTCCAAATAATTTCAGAAGAAAGCCACCACTGCAAATTTTTCAACTGGGAGCAAAGTGTCAAAATATAAAGCAAGAATCAGAAAAAACTGGCTCAGAGTAGTACCTCAGGTTTAGCTGGGCTTTTTCTTTTAAACACTCTTTGGACACAGAGCTAATCTGGTTTATCTGTCTCCACAGCCTTGTTTTCACTAATCTTTAACCATAATCTAACTTGCCCCTTGCCCATCTTGGGCCATCTGGGGAGCCTGGTACAGCATGGAATTTGGTTTGAACCCTGCTGTCACTAATCAGCTGTGTGATTTCACATAAGTTTCTTTACCTCTATAAACCTCAGTTTCTTGAGCTGAATGATGGAACAAATACTGCAGAGTTCTTAGGCTGCTGCAAGGGTTAAGTAACATTTGAACAAAGCCCAATACAGTGAAAGTACATTAGCAGTGCAAACAGTGTTCCCCTTCTCCTTTCTAATCTGCAACCTCAGGTGTCCCTGACCCCAGCTGCCCCTGCTCCCAGATTTCGACCCCTCCCTCATCAACGGCTTCCATCCTCCTGCTGATATACTCACTCACAGACCTCCCTCACCAGGAAATACTTCAGGAATCTCCTAGCCTCCCTTCTAAGTTAATTTCTCTTTTTTCTAAAACTACTGCCCCTTTTACTTATTTCTCTCTCCCGCAAAATATGAAACTATCCCAGTGAGGTTTCATGACTGGCTTATATATGCCTATTTCCATCACAGACTTCTGAACAATGCAGTGTTTAATAGGAACAAATGCAAACTTCTGTACATGGATCTAAAAACCATGAGCATAAATGCAATGTGAGGGACAGAGAGCTCAGAAGCAGTATGGGAAAGATTATAGCATTCTTTTGCCCCAACCTGACAAGACTTCCAAAAAGTTAACAGGATCAAAGACTACACTAATTAAGGTATAATATTCAAAAGGAGAGGAGACATCTTGTTCTTCTCTGACCAGACTCAATCAGGAAAGCTGAGTTTACTTTTGAAGCTACACACCAAAAGGAAGTGAACAGAAGAGATCAAAGGAGAAGACAATGATGGAGAGAAGACTAGAGACTGTGCCCTGCAGGGGACAGCTGAAGGACCATGGGATTTTCAATGCAGAGAAAAGAGGACTGGCAGTAACAGAGTCCTTCTCTTTAAATATCTGACAGGCTGTAATGGAAAGGAGAGAAGCAGCAGTTACAATTAAGGTCATTAGAAATTAGAGGGAAATGCTCATCAGAAAGATGTATTTGTTATCAGAGGAGTACAAAAATGGGCTAGGAGGCTCTGGGGAAGGAATGCCTACCATATCTCTCAAGGCTTCAGAGCAACAGCCAGACAACCAGCCATCTGTAGTGTTTAAAGAAGTCATACTGAACACATGCATTTACCTCTGTTCCTTCCCCAAATCCCACTGAGACACTATTATAAAGAAATTTGTTGTGTGTTTTTTGAAAACAAAGACAAAGAGAATGTAAGATTATGCAACAACTATAACATTTTGGAAGCTGGGAAGCAGATGGACAAGTAGTACTGAGCTGGTTAACCCAAAAAAGTGGAATCCTAAGCTGGGAGTGTAGCTTTGTGCAGTGGCAGTATCATAGCCAATGAGGTTTACTTGAGGTGTGATTATTGCTAATTGACACTAAGCTGGGAGCGGACAAAGCTGAAGAAGCAAGCTGCTTTATACTGCAGGGCTCCAAAAGACTTAGGAGTTGGCAGCCACAGATACTGCTGAAAGGGGACATAATTAGTGAAAAATCTGCTTTAAAAAGCATTTAGAACTGACTAGATAAATGCTAATCTTAAGGAGTCACTGGGTTTCTTGTTTTGTTTTTGAGGGGAAAAGGGTGATATCAGTATTGCACATGTTTTTTTAAAGAGTTCTTTTTGGCTGGGCACGGTGGCTCATGCCTATAATCCTAGCACCTTGGGAGGCTGAGGCAGGAGGATCACTTGAGCCTAAGAATTTGAGACCAGTCTGAGCAAAATCAAGACCCTGTCTCTACTAAAAGTAGAAAAATTAGCCAGGCGTAGTGGTGTGCACCTATAATCTCAGCTACTTCAGAGGCTGAAGCAAGAGGATTGCTTGGGCCCAGGAGTTTGAGGCTGCAGTGAGCTATGATCACAGGACTGCACTCTAGCCTGGGTGACAGAGCAAGACTCTATCTCAAAAAAAAAATTCTTTTTTACAGAGATACATAATAAAATGTTTATGGATGAAATGATATGATGTCAAGATTTGCTTCAAAATAATTTGAATGGGGGTATAAGAAAGTAGGTGAAGGCCGGGCGCGGTGGCTTATGCCTGCAATCCTAGCACTCTGGGAGGCCGAGGTGGGCGGATTGCTCGAGGTCAGGAGTTCGAAGCCAACCTGAGCAAGAGCGAGACCTCGTCTCTACTATAAATAGAAAGAAATTAATTGGCCAACTAATATATAGAGAAAAAATTAGCCGGGCATGGTGGCGCATGCCTGTAGTCCCAGCTACTCGGGAGGCTGAGGCAGCAGGATCGCTTGAGCCCAGGAGTTTGAGGTTGCTGTGAGCTAGGTTGATGCCACGGCACTCACTCTAGCCTGGGCAACAAAGCGAACCTCTGTCTCAAAAAACAAAGTAGGTGGGATTTAGATCATATAAAATTGGCCTTGCATTGGTAATAGTTGAAATTGGCTAATAGGTACATGGGAGCTCATTCTACTCTTATCTCTTACTTTATTATGTTTAAACTTTTCCACTAAAAACATTCCGACTCCCCTCCCGAATCTTGGCAAAAGCCTGGGCATTGATTCTCTAGAGAGAGCCACAGCTGAAAGTGTGAAGACCATACTGAAAATGGGGGTATTTATGCTTACCTGCTAAATATTTAACACTCAAATTTCCCCAGGGCTCCTAGAATGCTGGCAGCCAGCCTCTTACCCTGCTATGCAGGAGAATGAAGAGTCTTCTCTGGGAACCTTATAGCCCAACGGAATATTTCTACAGACACTGACATTGGGGATATGCATCGCCCAAGAAAAGGCCCAGCCAATTCATCTTAATGTGAACAAGCCAGACATATAGAGCATCCAGCCTTTTAGTCCCCCATTCTTCAATGAGAGGACGGACAGCCCAGGACCACGAGACATTTGAGGAAAGTCGTTCTTTCTTTTTGAGACAGGGTCTTGCTTTGTTGCCCAGGCTACAATGCAGTAGTGTCATCATAGCTCACTGCAATCTCAAATTCCTGGGTTCAAGCTATCCTCCTGCTTCAGCCTCCCAAGCAGCTCGGACGACAGGCATTCGCCACCATACCAGACCAATTTTTCTATTTTTTTGTAAAGATGGGGGTCTCACCATGTTGCTTAGGCCGGTCTCGAACTCCCAGCCTCATTTGATCCTCCTGCCTCAGCCTCCCAAAGTGCTAGGATTACAGACATAAGCCAAAGTGTCTTGCTTAAAAGATATTTTTAATACCAGTTTTACTGAGGTATGTAATTCACATACCATAAAATTCACCCTTTTAAAGTATACAATTCAGCAGGTCTTAGTATATTCAGAGTTGTGCAATCACCACCACTGTTACTTAATATATAAAAAATACATTGTAACCATGGACGAACAGGATACTATTACTAAAAACAAGATATTGAGAAAATTTTTAAAAATCTCTTGAAAACTAAAATATCACAACAAAATGAAAATCTCAACAGAAAGGCTGGAACATAAAGTTGCCTCAAGTGCCCAGAAGGTAGGGCAAAGAGACAAAATGACGGAAACTGGGAGAGAAAAGAGAAGGAAAATCAGGAGACTAGTCTAGGAAGTCCAACATCCAAATGACATGAGTTCCAGAATAAAGGAATACAGAAAATGTAAAGGAGGAAATCACAATTGTTATGATTCAAGATAATTTCCCCAAACTGAAGGTCATAAGTTTTGAGACTGAAGGGGCTGAATCCCCCACACAATGGATAAAGTGCATCATAATCACAATTTTGTAATGGGTGTGTGTGTGTGAAGAGAAGTTCCTACTTCCAGGGAGAAGGAACATTCCATGTGAAAGGTCAAGAATTAGAATGGGACTTGCTCAGCTATCACAGTGGAAGCCAAAGGCAATGGGAGCAGTGCCTCCACCATTCTGGGTTGGGGACTAGGAGACTCTTTTCTAACCCAGAAGTCCATCATCTCAGAGAGCAGAACAAAGACATTCTTACATATGCAAGGTTCTCAAAAAATAAATTATAAAACTTAATAGTCCCTTTTTCAGAAGGCTACTAGAGGATGTGGCAACCAGAATGAAGAAACATGCTAAGTAAGGGCAAGAATGGGATCCAACCAAGAAAGTGAATCCCCAGGAAGACAGAGATTCTAAGGTGACACCTGCACAGCGGACCTAGAGAATAACGAGTACAGATTAAAGCAATCAGAAGGCTCTGGAAAATATTTCTTGGAGAAGATAAAATTGATAGAATACCCATGTGTTCGAACATATTGAGTATTTGTGGTAGAGGAGATTTAGACAACTGGCAGAGAATATGGGATTAAATTAATGATAAAAGACATAGAAAACTGGCCCGGCGCAGTGGCTTACACCTGTAATCCTAGCACTCTGGGAGGCTGAGGCGAGAGGATTGCACAAGGTCAGGAGTTCAAGACCAGACTGAGCAAGAGTGAGACCCCGTCTCTACTAAAAAGAGAAATAAATTAATTGGCCAACTAAAAACATATAGAAAAAAATTAGCCAGGCATGGTGGTGCATGCCTGT